TAAATTGATCATTTGGGAGACATTAATTACTATCTGAAATATATAATGCTTATAACGTTCGACTTTTTTTTCCAAGTTTTTAGGTTTGCTACTTTAATTGAAAATTTAAAAAGAAGATTGTTAAAAAGGGTATAGATGAAAATAATAATTACTCGAACCTGTAAGCCCTATTACACCTTATAATATAATATAATGTAATATAGTAGACAACATTGCTATAGTATAGCGGGTTTTATTAAAGCTCGTTTATTAAAAACTTAAGTTTAAATACAAAAAAAACTACAGGGTGACACTAGTCTTGAATAATTGTTTAAATAAGCGTTTGAGCAAAAAAACTGTTTTTCTTTTGTAACATACCCCGAAGACAAATGTTTTTGGTTATGTGTTAATATGATTTTTTATCATAATCTTGCCTGGACTGCTACTTCGACTTCAACATTAAAACAATAATTATTCCTCAAATTTTTGATATCAAATGAACGTTCCGTGGCAACGAGTGCTGATTCTGCACTAAACGTGACTACGGCAAATAGACCAAGTTGAAACGAAGGGTTTAACATTGTATCATAAATCTGTAGTGTTGGAGATAGTCAATTTAATAATAATATGTATTCTATAATAAATTATTATGCGATTACGATACTTAAAGATTCGAGAAATCCCATTAAAAATATAGACTCCATTTAATTCTCAGAACGACGCGATGGCGACGTAACGCGAAGTATAAATAAATAAATATAAATTTCATTGTATTTTTAAAAATTATTTCGGTCGCCTACACGTCTATTTTTTTGTTTCCAAAAGTATGCTAGGAAGGAAGGGTATCTTCGGAAGAAGTCTCATCATATTTAAAATTTAAATTTAACAGAAATATAATATATTATTAATAATCTATTTCTAATATTTCCAGTATATACCTACAAATAAATACAAGACAGAAATAATACATAATACGACAAAATATAAAATTTCCTTCACTCGCACCATTTGTACACTCCATCAGCAATCATTCACCCATTCTCCCAGTTGTTCTGGAAAACTTGTTTCACTCTTTAATTATTTTTTTAGTGAATACTTAAATTGACTTTCGTAGGTGATAAGTCTGATACATTTTAATAGGCTTAAAAGTTCTGCAAATTTTTTTGGGTATTCATTACCTCCCCAATGTGCACACTGCCATCCCAAGCGACAATACCGTATGATAATGTGCCTAATAAAAGGATAGAACGACCACTCTAGTTACAGAATTTCTCAGTTTTTGAGAACTTGATATAAATAAATCACAATTAAGAATTACACACTAAACTATACTGTGATTTGCGAAATTCCTAGAAAAAATGAAAATCAAATCAAATAATGACAACATTAAAATTACAATAAAAGTGGTGGTGATCCACTCCGATTGATTGAATGTAAAAGTTGTTAATGTTGGGTGAAACCGCAATTTTTGGAAATATTTAAACACTACATAAAGATGCAAGGGGAAGATTAGCATTTAAAAAAATTAATTTCTTCAGTTTTATAAATTTTTCACAAAACTTCTGGGTTCCTCCTGCGTCGGTTTTTGTTGAGTCAAACTTGCTAACGTTTCCCCAATCGTCCTGTTGGCTTCTTCAGACGTTAAATGAAACAAGTTTGACTCAACAAAAACCGACGCAGGAGGAACCCAGAAGTTTTGTGACAAGTATTACAGTAGCTTATGAAAAATTTTATAAACTCAATGGTTATTTGCAATTATTCAAAAAAAAAGTCATTATTATCACAAATCGTCCTCGCAAAACACGGCAACGCAGGAACACGGCTTTTTGTTTTAACTACAGCCGCAAATTTTGTGTTTACATGAATTTTTCATATTGTTAATACAGGGTTCGATCCAATGCTGTGCTTATGTGAATATAGTCAATATTTAAAAAGTTACACTTCGTTATTATCGAGAGCATTAACACGCATAATCAGTTGAATGGGGTTTTATCTACAAATATGCGCTTCAAAAAACTATAATAAATTTAATCACTGTTCAGGACCCGAAAAGTAAAATGTTTCTGCATGGGTAATCGAAAAAATTGTCGAACTGGTTGATTTAATATTACTAACTGTTTAAGTTTTTTTAAGCTGACGTTCTAAAGTGACGCTGGGTGCTTGTATTTTAGAGTAGGGAGAAGAAATTTTATTTTTTATTATTTAGTAGACAAGTTTTCCGACTGAAACTTCCAATTTATGAAAATATTCAGCGGGCGACTCGGCTAAACAAAGATTAGCCTGGCAATAGTCAAGTATAGTGGAAACCTACCACAGTGATACGCAATACCTGTCGATTATTATAATAGGTACACATTTAATTACCAAAATCAAATCCTTGCTTCAAAATCGCTACAGAAAGTGAGATAGACTTCGAAGCTCCTACTTTTTTGTACAACATTATATCGTTTTGTTTTAACAGGATGTCAACTAATTACATAATGCCCTAATCTGTGTAAGTGGAATTTGTTAATTATTATGGCTAGAAAGATATACGCGTTGCGGCTGTGAAAACCCGTCGACGTATAATAAATAATGCTCTGCGGGGAATTAATCGCATGCCATAGAAAACCACGAATAACGATTATTGTCTGAGGTCGTGTGGTTGCGAATTAGGTCTGAGAAACGACTGGTGGCCCCGTTTTATGAAATTTGCATACACGATTCGTCGTTTTTTCCTTCCTTAACGGTTTCATGTCATTTACATTTTGGTGAGAAGGTTCATGCGTTCCGCATCTATGTCGGACCATGAGATTGAGTTACACAAAACGAATGTTTTCCATTGGCGATGTAAGATTTTGTGAAATGGATAAATTGCTGATACGTAACTAACTAAACTAGGTCGAACATGCTTAAAACTATTTTTACAATTTGTTACACTACCAAAAACTTCTCAATCACGGGAATTAAACAGTCTTTGCAAACGAACCAATGGACTATTCAAGCCATAGTTAGTAAGTTCCTCTAGTTTTGTCCGATTATTAGAGGTCTCCGCTCATTAGAACAATATAATCGTAAACATGTATTACGTTTAGTTCTTTAAAAACATACAAAAAACTATACAAAAAAAATGTAGGTGAATGAACTTTAATTATTTAATTACAAACTCTGACGCATATTTATTGTTTTTTGCTTTAACAAGCTATTTATTTTTTTCTACTCCCGTCTGTAAAATACCTAATTACCCACTGATCTAGCGTGCGGGAAGCGTCGCTTTACCACGTCAGTTTCGTTTCCCACGAATCCGAGCCACTTCGAACGTTTCCGAGATTTTACCGCACGGGTTTGGGAGCAGTCGGATGTGTTCGGAGATATTTCCCACACTTTGAATTTTCACGTTTGTCAATTCTGACGGTCATGTCAGTCAACGTATTCGTGTTGTTTTTCGAAAATGTAGCCAAAAACTAACGGTCGTAGAAAAAGTATAGTAGGCAACACGTTCGGTAAACTTTTTAAGTCACTCGTTTATTAAACACTGGCTCCGCTCGTGTCAAATAAACTCGTGAGTCAAATGCCGTTTACCGCACTTGTTGCACAATATACTATGTAAATTACAAAAATATTTTGTGAGTATAAAAGTTAGGGTGAACGTTAGTCGCAGCAGTAGCGTGTAGATACTAAACGAATATGTGTAAACGCCATTATAAAGATATGTAGTCGAGATTAAACATTGTTTTTATACGTAACATTTTCCAGTAGACAATTCGGCTCTCATTTATTATTGCTACCGCAAACATACATCTAAGAGAGTGAAGGACCTCAGTAATTGCTGTAACAATTTTAATTGCGCTACAAATTGTTTACTATTCGCTTTTGTCTGTTAAAAATAGCAGGCACGTATGTTTCAACTTAAAAATAAATGCTTATTGACACTTCTCAATAAGGTGGTCAATTTCTAATCGAAAGTTTTTTTCGCCCATAAAGCGTACGGGAATGATTATAAATAAAATGGAAGTGTGTAATTAAACATTCCACCGCTTTTCGCCATTCAAATTGTAGCGACATGCCTAATATAAACGTCGTAGCTGTTTTTCAAAATAAAATCGAAAAAAATCAAAGCGATGATTCTTTGTCTAAAATACGGGGTAGTTTTGTATATATAAACGTTGGGACAAAAGTCAACCTTTAGCTAGATATCGCACTATAAATATAAAGTTTTGGCTAGTTTTCTATCTTAAAAAAGAAAAGGGATGGAGCAATAAAATATTATGAAGATATTGAAAGAAACATATTTTTTGCCTATTTTTCACTTTTTTCGAATGAGTAGGAGGGAATCATTCTTCCTAACTAAATTTTAAGAACAACATTTTTTTTCGACAACGGAACAATTTTTTAGAACAAAAAATGAATTTCTAAGTAAATTTGGCTATCAAATTGTTTTTCCCATGTCGTTACGTAATTTACTCCTTAAACTTAGTTATTAGGAAGTAGTCAAATTTAAAAAACTGATAAAATAGGCAGAAACTGTGTTTTTTTATAATGTATAATATACATGTATAATGTATATGTACTTATAATATGTAATAAAGTATCCATTAAGTTATTCGCGTTTGTTTTGAAACACTGTGTCTACTGCTGCATATTTTTTAAAGAAATTTCAATTGGGTGTTCTATAGAACTTATTTTCCTTTTTATAAAACTTCTGAATTCCTCCTGCGTCGGCAAGCTCTGAATAAGCCAACAGGATTATTGCCGAATTAGCTATTTTATAAAAAGTATTACAGCAGCCTGTGGAAATTTCTTTAAAAAAAAAATGCTTATTTTCCATTAATAATATATCGTGTAGAGAAGTCATTCTACTCACCAGTTGTAAGATGCAAGCATACCAAAATTACAAACATTTTGGAAAGAAAAATTAAACGGCGGGTTTTAGATACCAGATTCATTAATCTAATAAATCATTCGGAAAAGCAACTTTTGCTAACGAAAATTATCATACGGAAAAGTGCTAAACAGTATTAACGAATTCGTTTTTGTTTCAGCGAAGCTGCAAGATATAGAAAAGTTCTATGGAAGGACGTTAGGGTTGGGGATCTCATTCATTTATCAAACAACGAAGTAGTACCTGCCGACATTTTGTTGTTACGTTCGAGTGACGTAAGTGGACTTTGTTACATCGACACGGGCCATCTGGATGGCGAAACAAATTTAAAACAACGCCAGGTAGCCAGAGGGTTTTTAGAGAAGGTAAGCAAGACTTTAGACTTTCAGCAGAAAGAATGAAAGAAGCAGAAATTTGCCTTAGAAAAAGTCAAAAATCGTATTGAATTAATAATTTTTACAAGTAAATCTACTTTACTATCGTACCCTCTGGACTATTATTATTTATTCCCAATTAATATCTGTTTTATCATTCTTTTAGTGATCCTCGAATAGGCTACTTCCATTGATGGTTTTTATTTACTATAAATGTTTATTAGTAGATTAAGAACACACCTGCCAAATATTTTTTAAATACACAGAATAATTTTACACACATTTGAAGCTTGAATCGACGTCCGCGAAAATTGTCAAAATCGACTGCGACGCGATGCGACGCGACCGTCAACGGCAACTTATATAAAGTATCATATAAGGTGCAATAAAGTCCCACAATCTTAAATATGCATTAAATATAACCAACAATACCACGGAATCCATAGATAAAAGAGTTTACGATAGTTTAATAATTCCCATCGGCTGACAATATATCGTGAAGTCACAAACGTTTTCGTGTGACGTCATATTTAAAATGCTCTGTGTGATCTTTAAGTTCCCATTTTATTAGCAACATTTTTTTTAGAAAAATAATTTTTATCAAGTTCACGCAAGGGGCCTGCTCTTTAATTTCACACATCGGAAGTACAAGTTTGAATGTGAAATGGATAAAATGGATGGATGGAATGGATAAAATCTGAAATTTTGTATTTCATATTTGATTCATAAGTTCCCGTACTATGAGCATTAGTACACCGTGTGCCAAATAAAACGACTATACGATCTGGAAACCCATAGCAGATACGAAAAAAAGTTTCTTACAAAAGTTCCTTGGACTCTCCTGAAGATTTAAATTATTATAATTTGGTGAGACAGGGTGTCCCAAAAGTGTCCCCTCCGACATCAACTTTGTTATTTTAAATGGAACAACCTGTATATATCGACATTTTTGGAATCCTGGGTTAAAATAAAGGTCATTTTGTTAAAAAAACCTATTCGAATTTTGCATGGTTTAGGCAGAAATTGAGATCATGTGTTTTTTTTTTTCATATTTTGATTGCCCCTTATAAAATTGTGTTGTGATGCTACTGATCCAGGTATTGCAACGAAAATGTAACCACAGACTAAGGAGATGATGCACTACTCAATCAGATTGACAGATGCGACTCAGCTTATACAGGGTGTTCCACATAGGTGGAGCCCTTTTGGCGAATTCAATTAACAAAGTCTCAAGAGGGAACACCTTATATTTTTACTCAGATGTCAATTCTAGGATAAAAAATAAGGTAAATTTGTAATTTATCTTATATTTAAATTTTTCTTACTTTCTGAGATATTCGAGGTTTAAGATAACACCCGTATAAATTCTTGTTGAATTTAAAGCTGCCCACATTAGGTCACTTTTTGGCGATATTAGGTATTTTTTAAATGGCAAATATATGATACTACTTCTTTTAAAGATATAATACTCCAGATATACGAATAAAATCTATTGCTAACAATACAGGGTGTCCATTATTACCTGGAGATTTTGAGAAAAATCGACTCTCTTTACTGCACACTTTAACAGATTTAATAAAACTTCAGAATTCATATTTAAAGAAACATTTAATAGTTAATTATCTAGCTTGATTGAAAATACTTAATAACAAAAATAAATACTTAAAGTTTATAGGTTAACCAAAAAACTATAACTTATTTAAAATACAAATAAAATATATACTAACAAAAAACTTGACAACTATGAAGTTTTTAATTAGAAATATGAAAAACAACAATAACAAACAGAAATGTCAAAGTTTGTTTATACCTTAATGCGTTAAAAAAAAAAGTAATGTCATAGCCAACTATATTTTTAAATATTTTGATATTTCTTTTTTGTTTTGATGCTAGATGAAGCGAGCATTTTAAGAGGAACGTTTTTAACGAAACTTTATGGACCGAATTAACGAACAATAGCTAGTTAATTAACTATTAAATGTTTCTTTAAATATGAATTCTGAAGTTTTATTAAATCTATATTGTTAGCAATAGGTTTTATTCGTATATCGGGAGTATTATATCTTTAAAAGAAGTAGGATCGTGTATTTAAAAAATAGCTAATATTGCCAACAAGTGACCTAATGTGGGCAGCTTTAAATTCAATAAGGGTGTCATCTTAAACCTCGAATATCTCAAAAAGTAATAAAAATTTAAATTTAAGATAAATTACAAACTTACTTTATTTTTTATCCTAGAATTGATATCTGGATAAAAATATTTGAAAATTTGAAAATGATATTTTGTTAAATTAATTCGTCAAAACGGCACCACCTATTTGGGACATCCTGTATAAGCTGAGGGGCATCTGTCAAACTGATTAAGTAGTGCATCATCTCTTTAGTCTGTGGTTAAATTTTTGTTGCAATACCTGGATCACTACCGTCACAACACAATTTTATATGGGGCAATCAAAATATAAAAAAAAAACACATTACCTCAATTTCTGTCTAAACTATGCAAAATTCGAATAAGAATTTTTTAACAAAATGACCTTTATTTTAACCAAGGTTTCCAAAAATGTCAATATATAGGGGTGTTCCATTTAAAATAACAAAATTGATGTCGGAGGGGACACTTTTGGGACACCCTGTATCAACAAAATTATAATAATATATATTTATATATTAAATAATATATAAAAGAATATCTTGAGAGGTTAGTTGATCATGATCTTCTGCTAAGAAGGTTCGCTATACTGCCTCTGAGCTTGCGCAGAGACTTGCAATCTGTTTCATTTCTCTGTAAGTTACAATTACGCTTTCATGTGCCGCGGCTGGAAGGGAGACATCAATCAACTTTCTTACCGCAGTTACCCAGGTCCAATATCCATTTTTAAAACCCTATTTACAATATGTCTGCTACCTTCAACAAACTGTCACCGTACTGCGATTTATATTATAATGGTCTCCAGGCCATACTTCTGCAATTTCGATTGGCGTCGGATTATCCGTACCGATAAGTCTTATCCTTTTCTTTCTCATTCTTTCCTTCTTTTTTTTTTATTTATAAGATTAGTAGATTTACGATTAGTTTCTACGTCTCCTGGTATATATATTGGATGATTTATATTTAGTATTTCCTGTAATTGGGTCATGTTACCTGTAGAAAATAAAATGATATTTTTATTATTATTATTATTACTAATATTTTAAATCTTCAGGAAACTTTTGTACGAAACTTTTTTTCGTATATCCTATGGGTTTCTAGATCGTACAGTGGGTGGTTTAATTTGGCCCGCAGTGTACCTATATGCTTTGAACGCAGACAGGGCGGCCTCAGTCCATTCGGTTCGCTTGTCACAATAAGTTGCAATTTTTATATTGTATTATATTATAAATACGAATTTTAATGCCAAAACTGGCAATTTTTTTTTTTAACAATTATATACCTGTCTGTAGAATTTATACGTGGTATTGAAATATATTTAAAAAAATTGGATTTTATCCCTTAATTTTGACGTTTCAGCAACACGTCTTTGAACCGAGTAAATTTCGTAGCACAATCGAAGTCGAGGCGCCAACAACGAAAATCTACAGGTTTCACGGGGCCATAGTTCATCCTTCCGGTGCTAGGGTTCCCGTCGGTACCGACAACTTACTGCTCAGGGAATGTTTGCTTAAAAATACGGATTTCATCGAAGGAATCGTCGTCTACGCAGGTTATTTATTGCATTACGTGCCCGCACAATGTCGCTGTGTTGCTATATAAAACAATTGCAGGACACGAAACTAAAGCTTTGTTAAATAACGGCGGACCACGCTACAAGAGGTCAACTTTAGAAAAGCAAATGAATCAGGACGTGCTCTGGTGCGTTTTGATTTTGATTTTGTTGTGCGTCATAGGAGCAGTCGGCTGCAATCTGTGGCTGCACACATATTCTAATTTAACGACGCCTTTCAAAGACAATTCGGAAAGCACTGAAGCGTTTTTAGCATTTTGGACGTATATTATAGTTTTACAAGTAAGTGTTAAGCAGACTGCCTTTCCCGAAGAAAAATGTGTATGTTGTAATGTAATGTATCTTGCAGATTATGATTCCGTTGTCGTTATATGTAACATTGGAGTTATGTAAAATAATACAAGTGTACCATATCCACCACAATGCGGATTTGTATGATCCTCTGATGGATAAAAGAACCGAATGTCGAGCTTTAAATATAACAGAAGAACTGGGACAGATACAATACATATTTTCGGACAAGACCGGAACTTTGACTGAAAATAGGATGATATTTCGGCGATGCGCAATAGCGGGTGTCGATTACGGACATCCGCAATTGGCTAATGAAGGACGAAACGGTAGGATTTTCGGTCAGCTTGTCGGTATAAAGAATTTTCAACCGAAATGTCTCGTTTCAGGCAGGCTAACAAACTTGAGTGTGGTAGTGAATCCCACGCTATGGAGCGATTTATGTCTAGAAGGAAACAATTTACCTGAGCATATATTTAGCAATAAAACCCTGCACAGTGCCAGAATACAAGAATTTTTATTGCTGTTGGCGTTGTGCAATACAGTGGTCTGTTCCCACCATCCTCACTTTGACACGATGAATGCCAGTGGTAAGTGTATTTTTCTAAAACATAAATGAAAATTCATTTTTATTATTTTGTATATTATTTTATCCATAATAAAGTATAAATAATTATCTCAGTTTGTTGCACGCAGTATATGCATACTTATAAATTGTAATTATACCAAATACAAGCAAATGGCTACAATACACAAAGGAATGAATTGTTACTCACAAAACTTTTGAAATGACATTATCTTGCAAGTAACAAACGAGTTAGAGTGTACCTTAAAAGTGTATTAAATAACTACAGCGTTATGAAAAATCAAGTTATAAGATAATTTTGATAAAGAAAGTTATTTATCAATGATATGTATATTTGCGAATTATTGTTGCGTGATCACGGATGCCATTGACAAATATATAAAGTTTTTTTTTTTTAATTTCATTCATAATAATTATGTGTGTCCGCTAGTTGATACAGAGTCTAATGTTTAACATTTTTATTACGAAGTTCAATTGTGCTCCGCTAGCTTCGCTATTTTATGGCTATTTTTACAGTTTATTCAATAAAACAAGTTCTAGTTTCCATCATGGCAATAGAAGTTACTCTGGGGGCACCGCTATAAGTACTATTAACTTGCTAGTCAAATTTAATGTAGAGCCAAAGCAGCTACGCCCTCTAGCGATCGAAGTGAATTAGTTCCTACCATATTATATTCCTAGCCCCAATTAATAAAAATATCTGCCAAAATTACCCTAGATTTTCAAAATGTTTCCTGTTTAATGTTATCTTGACGTTTTGGTACTCATAGTACTTTTTCACACAATAATGTTCCTGTTATAACTTGATTGGTTTTACAGAATGTTGTATTTACGAGGTGTCCACATTTCCTTGCGTGTTTACTCGAGCAATTGAAATTTAGGTCACCATCGTTTTAGGGATAATTGAACCAGTTCCTAACCTACTTGCTGATGGTGAAGGTAGTGTGAACACCAACGAACTGATCACCGCTAAATCCGCAAAGTTAAATGATAAATACACGCGGCTAGACGAATCGAGATCAGTAACACCATCACCACCTTTACCATCACCATATTCAACGGACATTCAAAGAGGTCATGTTTCTACACTGCCGCCGATAGATTCGATACAAAGCTCACCGGTCGATTCGATACAAAGTCAAAATAGTTCTAAATCGCGTCCGAGATTATTGAACATACCTAGTATCAGTTTTTTGGCGAAACGCAATGGAAGCAATACCAATCTAACAGACGAACAAAAAGCTACACTAAATCAGTCCGCTACGCCGTCACCATGCGATTTAAAACCAATTTACGAAGCAGAGAGTCCAGACGAATTAGCTTTAGTGGACGCGGCTTATATTTACCGATGTAGGCTTCTGAAGAGAACACCTACAGAAGTAATCGTTGACATTCCAAAAGAAGGCAAACTCGTCTTCAATATATTGCACATTTTACCATTCGATTCAACTCGTAAACGTATGTCTATCATCGTACGTCATCCGATCACGAAGGAAATTATTCTCTACTGCAAAGGCGCCGATACGAGTATGATTCCTTGTTTGGTGCCTGCGGAAGATGACTCCGAGCAAAAACGAATTGTGAATAAGACACAACAACACTTAAACGGCTACGCGAGAGAGGGATTAAGGGTGTTAGTTATGGCTAAAAGGGTTTTGACTCAATATGAGTATAGCGAATGGTGGAGGCAACATCAGGAAGTCGAGTTGGCTGCTGATAACATGGATAGAAGACTGAGAGATAGCTATTCAAGTATTGAATGCAAAATGACCCTCTTGGGAGCTACTGGTAAGTTGCACCTGTATATTAAATTAATCACAATACTCATTCGTCAAAATCCATAATATAATATTTGCTTATTTTGAGTGATGATACATTTGATAATTGAAACAATTTGATAATGGCACATAAAACCACATTATGGATTTCGTCAAGTAAGTCAAAATTAGGTACACAATATAGGTCACATGAAAAACAACAATACAGTGATAAAAAACATTAATAAGTAAAATAATTCTTTAAATTATTAAAACAGTTTTGTAGGAGAAAAAATTTTAGTTTTTGGATTTAAAAATGTTTATATTACTACTGCTTTTTGGCTTTTTAAACTCCCTGAAGAGAAGCATGCACGAACTATTCAGCGACGCTCCAGCGATACACCTTAGTTCTTTCTTTTGGGATTTGTAAACAGATGTCGCAAAAGGAATAACATAGAGTAATCTCGAATGGATGTGAGCATAGTAGAAATTTACCATGCATTTCCCATCCAAAACAGTTTTTAAATTTTTTATTATGAAACAATAAGTGTGCAGCTTTGAAGAAAGTAATTGCTATAGAGTTTCTCAAGACAGGGTTTCGTCGAGTTCTAGTCCCAAAAATTTAACGTGCTTTTTTATTTCAACGGCCTCCCTGGTCGAGTGGAGATTGACAGAAAAGTTTTGTTTTTATTTTGTGAGCATTTGAATATCAGTACACTTGTTTTTTGGACATGCAAAAAGAGGTCGTTGGTGTTAAACCAGCTATTTAGCAGTACAAGTTCTCAATTTATTTATTTGATCACAGAGATTAAACTTGAACCCTGATAAACCCAGATGAGCAGAAAGTTCATTGCTAAAAAGGATAAATAAAACAGGGCCAAGCAATCTTGCGGTACGCCTCTATCGATTGGATCTATTGGATTTTTTAATTTAACATAAGTTGCCTTTTTCCTGCCTTATTTCAACATACTGCCTACGATTTGTTAAGAACGATCTAAACCAGTTCAGAGCTTCCGTATTGTTCCATCCTATTCAAAAGAATTTCGTGGTTCATGCAGTCAAAATTTTCAGGAATTGAAGATCGGCTACAGGAAGGTGTACCCGAAACTCTTTCCGCCTTAATTTCGGCCGGTATAGTAGTGTGGGTTCTGACAGGTGATAAACCTGAAACCGCCCTCAATATCGCTTATTCGGCAAAATTATTTTCACCCCAAATGGAATTACTGAAGATCATGGCGCGATCTAAAGAAAGCGCCGAAAGCACAATCCATTGTTATTTAGCTGAAGTAGAAAGACAACTTAAAGAAGCTCAGGTGATATCAGAAAATAGCGCGTATGACATTGGCGCTACGTCTTCGACAGTTATCGGTCGACGGAGGTATTTACAAGCACCTGCAAAAAATAACAGTAGAGCTTTAGTTGTTGACGGTAAAACACTAACATACATTCTGGATAGAAGATCAAATCTCACTGTCCCGTTTTTGAAGCTGACCACTTATTGCAATTCAGTGTTATGCTGCAGAGCTACGCCCTTGCAAAAAGCTTACATAGTTAAAGTGGTAAAAGAAGAGATGAAAATGAGGACACTAGCAATTGGTGATGGTGCAAACGACGTTTCCATGATACAGACAGCCGATGTAGGGATAGGTAAATTGGCAAATGATCTGATCTGCTTAGATTATATATTATTGCATATTGTTTAGGTATTTCAGGTCAAGAAGGTATGCAAGCAGTGATGGCAGCCGATTTCGCCCTCTCCCGGTTTAAGTATTTAGAAAGATTTTTGTTGGTTCACGGACATTGGAGTTATGATAGACTGTCAAGGATGGTGCTGTATTTCTTTTATAAAAACGCGGTTTGTTTAAAATATTCAATGGAAATTTTAGCTTGTAAATTGTTACCTCTTTTAGACATTTGTGTTCCTAATGTTTTGGTATCAGTTTTTCTGTGGATTTTCTGGAATGGTGATGATTGACCAAATGTACCTTATGCTATACAATTTGCTTTTTACTTCGCTACCACCCATCGCAATAGGTAACATGTTTTCTATACTTAATATACTTATGAAAATATAACACTTTGTAATGTGACATTGACAAATTTGGAAACGGGATATTCGGTAATTATAGATATCATAGAATTTCATAAGTGAATCTCAGTGCCATCTTGATGCTAAAACCATTTAGGTTATTAGGTTGCACAACAAACATAAGTTACTAGTCCCAAACCATTATAACTGCAATTTCCACAATTCTCTTTAGTCCATCTCCCTAAGAAGGGATTAGTGACTATGATGCTCTTGAAGCAGTGCTTATGGTATTGTGGCATTCCGTTGTATTCTGGGCCATGATTACGGTTTCATGAAGGCTATGGCTGATAAGATCCTTGGTTTGGTCTATCCATCTTTTGGGTGACCTTCCGCGCAGGCGTCTTCCTTTCCTTCTACTATTAGTAGTTGCAGCGAGTCCGTTCTTCTTGCAATATGGCCAGTGAATGTTAGAAAGCTTGGATTTATCGTTTTTTGACACATTTAGATGAATATTTAATTCTCGAAGAACGGACTCATTCGTACAGTGGGCCGTCCAGGGTTTTCCGTAACAGCCGTCAGTACGCCCACATTTCAAAGGTTTCATTCTTGATCGTCCAGGTTTCAGCTCCAGAAGTGGCAATCGGGAACACAAGTGAATTCAACAATCTTACTTTGGTATTTTTAGGGATGGCTGTATCCCTCCAGATCTTACTTAGCTTAGTTATGGCTGTTCGAGCGAGTGCAATTCTTCGCTTTGTTTCACCTTTATATGCACCGCTATTGTCAATTAAAGATCCCAAGTACAAGTACTTATTCACCACATTGAACCCAGCAATGTTTTTTGACATGACAATAGTTTTGTTGGGATTTAATTTCAATCCAAATTCTGCACTAGTTTCCTGGAGACGGTGCATAATAAATGCCCTTTTTATACAGTGGCATATAAAGTGAGCCGCGCCATTCGTCTGGCCAAGCTCCTGTCTTCCAAACGATTACATATAAAATGTAAAATATTAACCTCTGGCTGTTCTATTGACATTAGTGTCTCTGCAGCTATGCGATCGATGCCTGGAGCTTTATTGTTTTTGAGGCTCTTTAAGGCGTGTTCAACCTTCGATTTAAGAATCCAAATTTTATAATCTACCAAATTCTAAATATCATTGGCCATATTACCATAACTACCCAGGCAATTCCAAACAGCACTTACAATGCATAATACATTGTTCACCATAAAGCTATCTAACAAAAGGATGGGGTATATTAAACTAAAATAACAAAAAGAAACAAACAAAATGGAGGGCATCTGGTTATTTTACTTAATCACAATATGATCAAGGTGTGCTTGCATGTACCGTTAAGATATGAAGGATTGTATTTTTCCCCATACCATACTATCAGCGTCATCTACCTTCTAATAGTTGCAAGCATTGAGTCAAACTAATTATTAGTGATTTTGTTAATACCAAAAACCTTTCATAGTCCACAGAGCAAAAGTAGTAACATGAAAACTCACTTTATTTCATAATTTGTGCTTAAACTACTTGCATTATAGTAGAATAATAGAGTCAGAACCACTCGTAATGCTAGTAAATAAAGTATTGAGGTAGTTAATTAACAGAGGGGAGATAGGAGTACCACTGCAACCTCTGGCGCTCTTATTATTCTAAGTTGCAACAATTAAAAAGAATATGTAAAATACAATAACACTGTATATTTACTGTATTTCCAAAATTGGTACCTAATATAGTTATATTTTTGATAAACTGGAGCACCTTAATCTTTGAATTTGATGACAAGATGTAAGTAAAGTTTAGTTTTTGCAACGAACTTACACTTTCAACCCTTTACGTAAATGTTAATAATAATAACTAATGATTTTGTAGGAGTGTATGATCAAGATGCTCCCGAGTCTCTCTTGTTAGAGAAACCATATCTATATAAAAGGGGTCGACTAGGCAGGGTGTACAGGACATATTCGTTTTGGTTGACAATGGCCGACTCTCTATACCAAAGCCTGTGTGTATATTTCATCTGTTATGGGGCCTATAACGGAAGCGATGTGGATGTGTTTGAATTCGGAACTGCAGCCACGACCGCCTGCATGTTTGTCATGCTGCTACATGTTGCTATAGAAACTAGATCATGGGTAAAATTTGGTATTTTTCCAACAATGGATTTTTCTACTAATCAGGATTCTTTTCAGACAATAATTCATGTGTTATCGATAGTGCTTTCGATCGGGATGTTTTACGTCTATTCTATACTGTATAATTCCTTCTGCGTCAACTGTTTTGGTTTGCCAAGCACTTATTGGACAATACAGATGGCGATGCAAAGACCCGCGTATTGGCTTTGCACTTTGTTATCCTGCGTTGTTTCTCTCTTGCCAAGGTAAAATGCTCAGAAGTCCGGTGCCTATAATAACGGTTTTTATATATAGCCGGTGACAAAAAAGTTATAAGCAGTAAATTTCGTTTTTTATAAGGGTAAATGGCTGTTATTATTTGGTCTTTTCAACCTGGCGGTAATAGAAATTTAGCATTCTTTTCTGTGTCATAACGCTGCAAATTTAAAATAATTTTTTCTTCGCGCAGGCTTCTGTATCGAGTCAGTCAAACGGTTTTAGCACCCGACGAGGTAACCAGGGCGCTCGTTGCAGATCGCAGGGCGCATAGAAGAGGTGAGAAGTTTTTAGTGTCTTGGTCGAGATCGACATCCACATCGTCCATTTACAGGTATCTGGAGTGTGGAGATTTTTGCTTTTTTCTGACATGCTGCCCCTTTCTTCTGCTTTTGCGCATTCTCGACCAGAGCACTCGATACACTAACAAAACATTGTAGCTCATAGAAATTCCGAACTGCAACAAAATAAGAATTCAGTACAGAAAATCTCTTATATCGCTCTTGAAAGCCTGAAGATATTCACATTTGACTTAAGGATTAAAAATTTTTTAATATTTTTCTTTGTTGTTTTAACTGTCAAATTCATTGGAATAATTTGTATTGTTTAACACCCTTTGAACATACTCTTACGTTAAAAGTCAAATTGGAATTTTAAACGTCAAAATACTTTCTTTCCTGAAAGAAAAATGTAAAAAAATCTAAATCACTAGTATAACTTCACTAAACAAAGTCTTGTACAGTGTGTTTCCTAATATTTCACATAATTTTGTGAGGAAAATGTAGTATTAAATTTTTAGGAATGTCGCTTTGCTTTGAAAATGTTAAAAAAATTGATATTCTAATGATTTGATCTAATAATAATTAGTGGAAAATGATATTCAAGTAGTATTGGGTACGGTAATTCGTTTTAGTACTTTACTTAGTGTCGACTTAAGACTGATCAATTAGTTTTGTGACCTACATTTTATTATAAAACTGTCAAAGATAAGAGAAAAAATTAAAAAACGTAATCATTCTTAAAATTGTTTTTCAAGATATAAAATCAACATAATCATTTATTTTTGCGAAATAATGGTATTCGTTCCCCTCATGTGCGCCATTTAACTAATTAAAAATTGGAACGACTATTACTTCTACCATAGATCTTTTTCCATTTCGTAGTTATTCTATATAGAGGTTTGACAGACCTTCCAGATTGGTTTGGTTTGCTGTATTTTTTGACACTTCTTTTAAAACTTTCAAAATTATTTATTGTTGTATGTATGTTTATTGGTTTATTTGAATTGATCATTCATTGTCAGTGAGTGAGTTACTTATTATTATTTATGATAAATGACTTCTGTGATTTTTTTTTAATAGCAAAAATAAAATTTAGGGTATAAATATTATAGTATAGGGTATTAGAAGATAAAATTAAAGGAAAATAATGCCTATTCATGCATATTAATAAAGTTTACATAGTACTGTTCCAATACAGCTACTACTCAAAGTCTCTTAAAAAGTTTGTAGTTTTTGAGGCTATCAAATCTAGGTAGGTATGATAAAACTCCTCGATTTCGTTGTAATATTTTTTATAATAAATAATTTCCTTTCCTTCCTTTTGATTTTAAATTTAATAATAAATCCTAGGAGCAAAAATTAATCATCATTCAATCATTCTATGTAATTATGAGAAATTAATTGGGCACTTCATTTACTTGCTGTGGTTAAGACAAATTTCTAGTACAGAGAATGTCGTCTCACTACTGTTAGTATTCACTCATTTTCTTTAAACAGTGGCACTACTATCGTTTCAAATAATATTTATACAGGATGTTTCAGAAAACATGAGCCATCGCTTAAGGGGAGATCCCTCACGTAAAAATAATACTTTTTTTATATCAACATGGATCCAATGCTTCTTGATTTGGTAGCTACAGGACGTTAAATTTTTATTTTTTTGATTTACTACAAATTTATTCTGCGCGCCACTGACTTTTCTTTGATTGCAAAATTAAGAAGGCTGTTTACTGCCTGTTGAACGTTTGCCGATTTTATTGCATTTGTTACAGTCATTTTGGATACAATTGGAGTAAATAAAAAAATATGAATTGTTTAACACTCTGGAGCTACGAAACAAAGCAGAATCGGACCCATGTTGATATAAAAAAAATATTATTTTTACTTGAGGAAACTCTTCTACAGCGATGGCAAAACTTGTATTTAGTATCATACCTTTTCCAGGAACTTGTTTTACAGAAATCTACTTATCATCCAAGATGAGACTTTTCCAAACTGGTTACATACATAACTACTCTTCATTTGCATTGGCTAGCTTAATTATAGTTTTCCTAACCCATTTTTCTTCACTTTCTGTGCATAGTTGTGTCATTAGCGCCAGTTATAGCATAGTGATTTTCTATATTCAAAACGTCTGCTTCGCTGCATTTAGGTAATTTAATCAGTTTTCGTTAGCTATTATCATTATTAAGAGAAGGCCTCTCTTGATGCAAATAACAAGTGCAATCATTTTAGCTAGACACAAAAACTGGCTTCATTTCATAATTGTACAACCACGCAATTTTTTTCTGCGGAAAAGTTGCTCTGTGAGAATAATTGCTAATTATATGCTTTTTTTTCTAGATGCAATAGGGGTGATAAGAAAGCAAAAAGAACAAATTTAAACTTAGTTTACTCTATACAAAAGCAAATTTCGCAATTTGATTTTTGTGTCAAAAAACATTTTAAAGGAATATGCTTGACCATCAGGCAGAAGTTCATGCGTACATTCCGAAAACAAGCTCTAGTTACAATTTCCCCAGTGTAAGTGTTGAATTTTACGATCATCTCATAAAAATGATAGTTTATAGTTTTCACCTAATTAATTTCCCCAGTACCACTATGCACAGAGAATATTGCTCACATCTACAAATAACCAAAAATAATAAGTGGTCCCAAATTTCTGCTGTTTAAAGGTTTTCTGCAGAAACTAAACATGTTCGCGGATGATGGAAATAGTTTTTAGTAATATTTGGTTTCTTTGTGTGGGTGTAATTTTTAACTGAATGTGGAGGATCCTGGCTGATCCTAGCTATGATCATTAATTAAATATACAAAATCACTTACTCATTTCTATGTTTTTTTCAGAACAACCAATCAGAGGAATCAGCATATTAACCCTTTAGCAGCAGTGGGTTAACCCGTTGTTTTCGTACAAAATGACACTTAAATTTAGTGATTGATTTAAATCTAGTGATCCTGCATTTTTAGGCTGTGATGCTTGTTTAAGGGACCAATTAATAATTGTGTTCTTTTTAATATTTATTTAGGAAAATACTGTTGTAAATATTTTCCAGGCATAAATTTAATGGAATCAAATTTTTGTTTGTGACACAATGTTTTTGGAGTGTCACAAATATTACTTTTGATTTCTTAATAATATCTACTTCTAAATATGGGTAGCTGCCTTGCCTTCTAACAGTGCCATTTTCTATGTCGTCAATAAATATTTAAGGTACTTAGTATAAACCTGATTAAAGTTACCATATTTCTTCAACTATTTTTTATTTCTATTACAACAGGGTGTCTTACATGTATGTAGTGGTCTACCACTACATGATTGTTTTAAATCACTTATGTACTGTTTTGTTATTTTTAATAGAATATAAATCCAGTATTTCTAGTTTTAATAAAATGTAATTATGTTTTCTATATTTCCTAAGGTTTCATACCCAGTTCTTACTAATTAAGGGTTGACATTGCATATTTTTGTTTTGAGACCTAACCATCCAAATTAAAAATATGGGCAAGTTGAGAAATGTTATTACGAGGTAACCGATCTTAATTCGGCAAAGCCCAACAATACACCTCAAATATGCTTTTTGCATCTTTTTTTTTTAATTAACCAATGATTTTATAGATGAAGCACACTGGGATTTGTATTCTTAGTGTACCATTCAAATAGCATATCTCCCCAATTCACTAGTGATATATAAAAGCGTCATATTTTTCTAAAATATTATGAAATGTATTCAATTCTACCGTTTAGACTTTCAAATTATATTTATGTACATTGCAATCCTCAGTATTAAAAAAATGTTGAACTATATTTTGTTTATTTTTGTTCGGGAAAAACAGTTTCTTACAAGAAAATTTATTATTCCTGCTAAATGAAGTGTTAACTAAACTTTGAATAAATTCATTCATAGTTAAAAAAAAATTGGGATGCGTTATTTAATTTATTTATTTAAATAGAATATTAAACATGTATGTACAAAATATATACATTTAAAAGGAATAGTATTATGGGAAGTGCTCATTTCTTATATGTCCAAATTGGGTTCTCAGGTTTTAGGTTGACTTATCTTTGCCAAATTTGTACTTTCCTCAAAATATTGGTTAGGATGATTTATGATGTTGGTGGCAGGTTGACCATGGATACATTCAAAATATTTTGTGCAAGCTATCTGATAATGTTCACTTCCAACCAATTCGATTATTGAATTAACACCTACAACATATATATAGTCTGTTAAAAAAAAAACACTATGAACACGTAATTATCACACTTGCCATAAGTCATTTCTTTATTTTGTTAAAAACCATCAGACTTACCTTCCGATGGTACACCATATTCATTTAATTTCTGCCTTAAAACTGAAGCATCCCAATGTTTAAATGGGCATCCATGATGTTCTCCTGGACCTACATTATTCATAATGATTTTAATACAACTGAATGGTGAATAGTTGGTCATATTTCCGACTTTACCATATTGATGATTGATATTGTAAAGATAACTTTTATCAAATTTTGTGGAGTCCATTATTTTGGTAAACTCTTGTCGCCAGAATTCCACAGCTTGTTCATACAAAACACCTAAAAGCACAACATGTTTGACGAACAATGAGCAGTGAGCATGACAATTATTGACCTATTCCCTTAATGAAAAGCCCATATTGCAAACGACTGTGATGTTTAAGATGATGATTGGCTCTTAGAGTCTCATGTAGATGTCTCATACACAGTGGAAAATGTTTTCTTGAAATATTATCAAAATTGTCCATATCAATGCCGTCCTTGTTATTAGCTTCGTAATTGTAATTTTTCCCCGTATATGTCAAATGTAAATTATATAAAAGGTCAGTCAACCTATCATCATCAATCAATGGCAACTTATGATTAATGTAACTCAAGCTTTCACTCAAAGATGCCCTAAATCTTGATTGAATACAAACCACCAGATCTGACATTGGAATATATGCAAACCTAAAAAGGATAATGGGGTTTTTTAAATATTCATGATTTCTTATTTTAATTATGTACAAACCCTTGCTTTAAATATGCTCTTCTATTCTTGACTAAAGGGATAACTTCTATAAATGGGACCTTATAAAAATCGCTAGTGTTACATAAAACATCACTCATTCCAGGAATAGAAGCGATTAATTCGTTTTGCATTCTTTCCTTTTCACTCAGAGATATTGGTATATACTCCAGCTTGTTTAAACGTAAAAATTTTAAAATTGACTGAGGTGTTTGAACCATAAATCGCAGGCGAAACCATTCCAACTCACGATTTAAAAACCACCTTCTGAGCTCCTCACTACGACAATACGTTAAACGTAAAATAAAGTGAGAAATATAGTCTGCCCTCCTGGCTTGTATATCATTTGTTGACTGTCCTCCTGAACCGTTTAGTAATCGAACAAACTTTTTGAGATTATTCTTCAACAGATCTTCTTTTATCGTATTTTTCCATTCCTCACTATACATCTTTGGTCCTTTTAAAGAAGCTTGCTCGATAATTCTGAGCAACTGCAGTCGATCTAAAGCCAACTCTTCAAATTCGGAAAGAGAAATTTCTAATAAAGGAATCTGTGTGTATAACGATACGTCGTGATTATAAATATTCGCTTGAACATCGACGATCGCTTTGTGTAAGCGTCTTCTTCTTACATTTGTATCCATATTTTACAAAGAGAAAATATTTTCAATTTTTTCTCGTACACGTTCATCAAAATACTAACCTTATAAATATTTCCCGCCAACTTCTTCATTCATTAATTCTTCTTCTTTTATAGTAAGTGGGCAAGCAAGTTCACTAATAATTTTTTGGGTAGTCCAGTAGAAAGTGATGTAATTTTTTGGAGTAAAATGTATTTGATTCTTTTTGCTAAATTTTGCTTTTACACGAAGCATTTTAAATTTGGATAATATAAACAAAACATTTTAATTAAATGTATTTGCCAGGCATATAACGTGCACCTAAATGGTTTTCCTTATATAGACTTACAGAAAATGCATAAAATTTATAATTCTATTAGTCATCTTTCATGATTCATTAAAAATATAATTATAAATATTTGCCTGCTTCTGTACAAATTGTCACAAGAATACATGGAAACCATCAAGTTAAATACTTCTGCGTTTTTATCGGATAGTTGCATGTTGTTTGAATTCAACAGTAGAAAAATGTCTAATGTTCTCAAAGGGAATGCTCACATTGTTTTCGACCGGGCTGTGAATTTTGATTTGTCTCAGATGTGTGTCTCTTCCATTCTGATGGTTACTGGTGACAGCAATTTGAATCATAAATACTCGAATTGGTTTGTCATAAATATCTCGTATTGGAACATGGACCCAACCTTAAGATAAAACAGAGTGTGTCAACAAAATTATAAATAAAGTTATGAAGAATACCTGATGGTTCTGATAATGGCACAACTTCTATCTCCTGTATATCATTAAAGTGAGTCCCAACCCGTATGGATATCCGACTTGGTGTATAACTTTCATCTAGTTTGTAATCTGTGTAAATATAAATATCACTTAGTGTAGTTTTTCTCTGAAACTGAATGTTGACTAGATGAGGAAGTTGACCGTCCGATTGCCAATAAGTATCAGCTCGATCGTCTCGCAATTGATCCACTCCAAAACCTGCTAACAAAATAACAAAAAAAACATTTTTACAATAAAATAGTAAAAGCGCATTTGCCTGGTTTGCATGATGAAAGACTCCATATGGCGTGAGCGCCTACTTCTCTTACATTTCCAGTTCGTTCATTTTTAATAGGATCTACCTCTCTTGTCGACTTGACAGACATAACTTTTAAAATTCGCGCACAGATATATCCTCCACGAAACAGACACTTTGCCGCCTTGGTATTAAAAACAATTAGGTTACGTCCATTTCATCTACGTCAAGTTGAAATGGTAAAGAAGAAGATTAGCTGCAGGGTGGAGTTCTGATTGGTGCGTTCAATTTATTTAATGCAAACAACTAACCAACCGTCCGGGTTTTATTTTAATTCTGTTTGCCATTTTTTCCTAAAAATAAAGATGAAGAATCCCTGATTTATGTTCAAAAATTTTTCTGTTGGTCGAATGATCTTTGCAACCTTACCCAATTGCAATGAAGAGAAAGAAAAACATTGAGTCTGTCCAAAATAAAAACTTCAAATAAATAATTAATATGTAATAATTTTTAATGAACTTGAATTTCCAAAATAGGAACACAAATTAAATTTTTTGGCCTCCTTAATTCTAACTAACGTCGTGCCGAAAAAATTCTTGCTAAATTCCTTGCTGAACTTGCCAGATGTCTGAATTTGAACCTGTCAGAGTTTCTAATGAGTATGAAAAGTTTCTTCGAGAATTTATAGCAGTTTTCAAAGAGTTGCCAGTTCTGTGGGACAAGCGTCACCCAGGTTACTCCAACAAAACGGAGAGAAACAATGGAATCGAAATTCTATTAAGTAAATGCAAAGAATATTTTCCGGATGTTACTTATGAATTTGCTAAAGTAAAACTCGAAACAATTAGAGGATGTTTTCGTAGAGAGTACAAAAAGGTAGTTGTAGTTTTCTGTGTTCCGGTATATTATTGTATTAACTACTTTAAGGTGGTACAATCTAAAGAAATTGCAAACTCTCCAGAGGAGATATATAAACCAACATTATGGTATTATAGTTTATTATTGTTCACAGTGGGTGAAAATGCAGATTATGGAGATATGGAAGCATTGCAGAATTATTCAGTAACCAATTTTCCTTCTTAAATTCATTCAGAATTATTAAATATGCATGTATTTTTAGAAATCATCTTATTGGACTAGAGAATATACACTCATCTTAATTGATTTATTAAAAAGTCAACCAATGTTCTACTCAGCAGATTCATGCAAATATAGTAGAAGTGAAAAACTTTTGGCATTAAAGAAGATTGCTGATGGATTATTGATGGAAACAGGCAAAAAATTTGAATTGATGGAAATAAAAAGAAAAATCACAATGTTAAAAGATCAGTACAGAAGGGAACGCAGAATGATGAGAATCAAAAAATCAAAAACAAGTTCCTTATGGTGCTATGAAATGTTAAGTTTTTTAAAACACAATGCTTCAATGAAGACAAAAAAGGTAAAACAGATATTGTCAATTTCAAAATATAAAAATTTATTTTTTTCAGGAATCAAAATCTACAGAAGCTTTACTTGATGTTACATTTGACAGTGTTACTGTAAGTCTTGTTACAATTTTTAAGTAGGTTTATGTGTATTTTAGTTTGTGCATTTTTAGAGTCCTCCCATTCTTGAAATCCAAGGTATTGAAGAAAATGACACAAAAAATTTTGACTCAGTTGTTGGAAATGTTAGTAATAATATGTTGGTTTCCAATGCAAAGTACAATTACAATGACATCTTTGACACGATTGGAAAGAATGTTACCCGCAAATTAAAAGATATGTTAGAAGACCAAAGAAGATATGCAATCAATATTATTAATGATATTCTCTGTCATGGTTCGATGAATCATTTAAGCTGGGATTTAGGATTGTCCATCAAGTATGATGAATGAATGATTGTCTATTTTATAATATATTTTATTTATTAATAAATGTATAACCACCTTATTTCTTAACCCTTGATTTCTAGATATAGCATATTATTTCAACTCTCAAGGCTTTTTTGAAACTCTTAATACTAAAGTTTAGTTGATTTCACAACATTCATTCCTAAATTGTTTTTGCACTAAATACTAAATAATTACAAAGCTTTAAATTTTACTGTTCGGGTTCTGTCTTTTAGCAAATGTGTGCATATAAATAAAGTCGCTTTCACCCGTAGCTCTGTGTTTATTATTTTCTTAAACATGAAAAATACTGCCGACGATTCATATGAAAAAAATTTAAGTAGCCAATAGGCCATACCAAAGGAATTTTGAATAATTTTCAAAATTTCATGATTTCAAGTTTTTAAATTAGAAGGTATGGAAAACCTAGAGCGTGTTTTTTTGGTTAAACGTTTTTAACAGAACGCGTAAAACAAACAAAAAGTACCTACTGATGGAAATTTTATGTTAGGCAAGTTATTAACAGGTGGCTCTGGTGACGCGTTTTATTTAATTTTTTGCTTTGAAAATTAATAAAAACCGAGAAACTGGAAATTTTTGTTGCCAGTAGTATTTAAACATGCGGTTTATAGTGAAGATTTTTTGTATGGTAACTTTATGTGTATTTTGTTTGAGTAATGAATTGCCCTATTCAAAAAATAATGCTAGAGAATTGGCAGATATATTCTTCAAAAATTTAAAATTTGATCCCTATATAGAAGGTATGGATCAATCTTTTAATACTATTTCCTCTCAATACAATAATTTGTTCATTTTAGAAGACAATGGCGAATTAACTGAAAACAACAAAAACTACATAAATAGAAATGTTAAACTATTTGTTGATATTATCACAGAGAGGCAAGGTGTGGCTTTTTCAAGATCAAAAAGAAGTTCAATCAGAGGGGCATTGCAAAATAAGGAGTTAATAAGTGAGTTAATAATTTACTTGCAAATATAAGCTAACATATTTTTGTACATTAAAAACTGAGTATTTACATTTACATTTATGATTATATTACTTATGGAGCCTTTCCATCTACCCCAAACAATTCTTTAAAGATATATCCAAGCTTATGAGCCTCCAGAAATTTGTAAAATTCACCTTTATCCATGTGATTAATTTTGGCACCACCTTGATAACCAAAAATTACTTCCTCAAAGTTTTCAAATTTGAGAAATGTTGATTTCTTTTCATTATTTTCTTCTGTCACCTGTCAATAAAAATTGGATATTTTGGATGTTATCATGCTGCTTTTAAGAAAACTTTGCTTTACTCATACCTTGCAAATAATTTTTTTCCAATTTAACGACCTCACAGTTTGCCACCATTCATTGCAATCACTTGAATGACCCTCTACACAAATAACACCTGGCTTGCCCGGCATAGAAAAACCTGTTAACTTCAACTGATGCGCCAGATCAACAATTTCTCTTCTTTTGGTTTTACTATAAATATGATGAGAATATATCCAAAATCTAACCAGTGTATCATCCTTTTCTTCCAGTCGTGGCACTGGAGTTTCAACACTTTCTGTGTATTGAAGTAAAACATCTTGCAGCCAAGATATTGCTGTAAATATGCATGGTTCTCCTTTAGGAAGTTCAGCAATGAATTCTCCTGAAATTGTTTTTTTACCAATTAATCTAATTTAGTAAAAAAACAAAAAATATTAGCTACCTAGCTTTTTATTTACTTCTATATGCTGATTTCGATTGAATTTATGGTTTCTAATAAATATTTCAGGTTCTGAAAGAGGGTATTCATGGGATAAACTTACACACAACTCAAATTTAACACTTTCAATAAACAAATTAACTATGAAGTCCAAACAGGTGGGTAGAAATTGAGATTTTCCATCTATAAATTCTTTCATGTCAGATAAAATACACGGATCTTCTATCCGTATTTCTCCTGGGTTATAAAATGTGGCCTGCAAACACTCAATTTCATCTAGTTGAATTTTCAAATTTTCAAAAAGTTCATTGCAGTATTTTTCTGAAATTTTCTCTGTCATTGTTGACTGTTATATTTTTGGAATTATCTATAATTGACTTTATCTACATAATTTCATGAAACACGCAATTATGATGTGGATTTGCATCATATACCTAGAGACAGAGACATTGGTATGGTATAGGTATATGTTTTACATCACTTGACTTCCACTGTTTTTGCTGGAGGAAACTGCACCCATTTTCTGTTTTTGTCTTTTTCATAAATCCAATAAAAACAATATATCCAGTAGGTGCGTACGACGCGCACAAAAAAAAAACAACCTCAAACCTCAACAAACCAGAACTTCAGGAAGACAGTTCCATAGATAAACATTTTTTCTTTGCATTGACTGATCTATAACTCGTATTTCGCAGGTAAAATATGATGTCGTTATAGTGCTTTAAAGAAGATTTATTTACGATATGATATAGTAAAGCAGAGAATACTGAAAACAAATTTTCGCTTGTTTATTATTGCGAAAAGAAGAAAAATATTTCCGGTTATTATTTTTTTTATTACTTCAGGTTGCCAATTCCAAAATTTTCTAGTTTTTGAAATGTCAACAATATGCACTATTTTTCTATCGTAAAAGTGAACCAGGCTACTACATCACTTAAAAAAATACTGGGATGCTACACCACATGTCACTTTTATATATTAATAAAAAAAGTTGATACTTAACCCAGGTAGACACAATGCAATTTCTGCATATATTTCTGCATATACTTTTTTCATGCAAATACTGCAACTACTATCAAAGAAATTTGTTTTCATAAACTTGTGGGTTTAACCTCTATGAAAAATGTAAATAAAGTCAAAATCACAAAAAGGTGGCTCCTAAAAGTGCAAATAAAACGCAACGTACGAGAATTGCACAGAAATTAGTTTTAGAGAATACATAAATTAATATTAATTTCTTTTTAGTATTGGGATTATGGATATTTCTTATACGTCCACAAGGTCGTAAAAACTTGCATACAATTTACTAACAATCATCGTATCGTTTATTGGATCAAAATTTAAAAACAACCTCTGAAAACAGAAGTCCACGAATATAATCAAGCCCATTTCTTTCGAAAAAATTGTATAATGTATACCATGCAAAATTACCAGTTAAAAATACGTACAGAAATACGTGTAGAAATTGCATCCTGTACGGGGCTTTAGATTTTATTTAAATCCTGTAAAAATTGCTCATTAATAAAATAATTAATTAACATTAAAGACATTAGGAAAAGTTTCTTCAGTTGTTTTACCTGAGTTAAAATTCAGAATTCAAAATTCAACTTAAAACAGTGAGCCAAGTGTGCCTTTACTCACTGTTTAATTGGTTGTATACTCCAGTATGGTGGTTTCGCAAATTAATACAAATAATAGGTACTTCTCTGAAAGTAGAAAGAACATCGTTTCTTTATATCATTTAACAAAAAAATGTTTCGTTTTTATAATACAGGGTGTATAATTTTTTTCACTTGCACAGTTTATTTTATATTATATTTATTTTTATTTTTTTTATATTATATTTATTTTATATTTATACAAAACACGCTGAGATATCAAGATCAATTTTAGCTATTTTTTCACTAAGGGTAACGTCACGCATGTACAACATTAATTTTTCAAAGAAACTTCCACAGGTTACTGTAATACTTTTTACAAAACTTCTGGATTCCTCCTGCTTCGGTTTTTGCTGAGTCGAACTTGCTAACCTTTCGCCAATCATCCAGAAGCCAACAGGATGATTGGCGAAAAAGTTTTGTAAAAAGTATTTACAACATTGTTTTCTGAAATACTTGTATTAGTGGAGTTCGGTGACATCCATAGGTCTATCGAGAAAGAATATTTGAAAAAAAATTGTGTCGCTTTCTGAAAGCCAGATCAATTGTCGCTATGACGCATTGTTTTTGAAATAAAAATTATTTTGTTAATCTGTACAGTAAACTATGTTTGGAATCGCAGTCAAAAAATAGTAATTTAGTTGGAATTTTTTATTCCACTCTGTAGAAGGTATTAAATCCCCATTCTCACATTAGTGGGACGCAGTCTACCAGTGCTTGGCAAACAATACTACAAACAACTGAAATATACCAATAAGTCAGAAAAAATATGCGAACGCCATTTAGATGTATAGCTTCATCATTTAAACTAAATTTTAGTACACTTTTTCTTCAAAAAACATCACAAATAAAATGATAGCTAATTTTAGAATCATTCCGAATTATGTTTGTTATGGCATTGATTAATAAAATAGTTTTTATTTTGAAAATAAAATCGTTTGCATGCATGCATTTATATTATTATTTATGTCAAATTCGTTTTTCACTATCTGTTTTAATGAAGTAAAATCAAATACTACGAAAAGCTCTTTAAATTGAATACCAAAAATTATTTAAAAAATTTCTTTGGTTGCTGTTTCGTCGAATTTCGAACGTCCAGTAGGTCAAAATGAAACGCTTATAGCTCGTTCTTTTTTTTTCTTTTGTTAAAAATTCCGTATCGTGCTGTAAAAAGCTTTTTTTTTGCGTTTTAACATGCAGAATTCTTAAATTTTCTTGAAAACATTCATTACTTTCCATTGAGCATTTCATTTTTCATCACTTGGCTTTCTTAATACGCAGTTTTCTTTGAAAAACAAGGTATCCATATTATTTTTCTACATAGATATGCTTTTAGCTGTCGTTCCAATTGCTTATATTCCAACTAAACTTTTGGATGACATAAAGTTTCTTTCCGATATTGAGGATTGGATTTATGTGGGTCTGCACCATGAACAAGACCTACTAATTTTCCGGAACGAGGTAAGTTCCTACCGAGTAAATTAAAATAAAAAAGGATATCGTTTTAAAAAATATGCTTGTGCTATTTGTCATATATCAAAATCAGAATATCGAATATCGCAGATCCCAATATTAATGTTCTCAGTGCATTGAATTTAGGCGTGGATATTCAAAAATCGAATCATATTATTATTCATTAATCAAGTATACGATGTATCAACTTTTATTAAAATTTTAAAAATTTTGGTTTGGGGTTCTTCAAAGTGGCCTGTATGTATAACTGTGCACTGCACTGATTCTACAGTATGTAACTTTATTATCATACAAGAGAAAACAGCCTAACGCACATCTGGTCTATTAGAGATATATTCAACTCGATTTTAAAAATAAACAGGATACCCTACAACTCTACAGAGACTGTCTAAGCTGTTAATACAGGAACTTTTTAACCAACCATGAAAAATCCCTTTCTCAACCAAGACCTGTTAACGAACCAGTAATACCATTCGAGTTACCTGTTAAATTTTCAGACGAAAAAAAGAAGAGTTGAGTAAGTGGAGCTCGCGGTTTAGAAAGAAAATTATTCACAGTATTGCTTAGTGTGTGAAATAATTGATAACGAAAATGTCCTATAGTAGTTCTAATCTAATTAAATAAATGCATAGTAAATATCCTTGATTAAAATAAAGGTAATTTTCTTATTCCTATTCGAATTTTGCATAATTTAGGCAGAAATTCGAGGTAGGTATAAATTCTTGTTGAATTTAGGTCGCTTGTTGGCAATATTAGATATTTTTTAAATAGCAAAGGCACGATACTATTTCTTTTAAAGATATAATGCTCCAGATATACGAACAAAATCTAGTGCTAACAATATAGGATTTTCATTAATACATGGAGATTTTGAGAAAAATCGACTCTATACTACACACTTTAACCGATTTAATAAAACTTCAGAATTCATATTTATTGAAACATTTAATAGTTAATTATCTATCTTGATTGATAATACATAATAACAAAAATAAATAATTAAAGTTTATAGGTTAACCAAATAACAATAACTTATTTAAAATACAAATAAAATATATACTAACAAAAAACTTGAAAACTATGAAGTTTTTAAATAGAAATATGAAAAACAACAATAACAAACAAAAATATCAAAGTTTGTTTATACCTTAGTGCGTCAAAAAAAGATTGTGATGTCATAGCCAACTGCACTTTTGAATATTTTGCTATTTATTTACTGTTTTGGTGCCAGATGAAACGAGCATTTTAAGAGGAAAATCTTGAGATTTTCTTAACCGTACCAAAACGGCACCTAATGTTTGGGTCACCCTGTATACGACGAGGCGCATCTGTTAAACTGATTAAGTAGGGCATCATCTCCTTAGTCTGTGGTTAAAGTTTTGTTGCAATACCTGTATCAGTAGCGTCACAACACAATTTTATATGGGGCAACTAAAATGTGAAAAAAAAAACACATAACCTCAATTTCTGCCTAAACTATGCAAACTATTTTAACCAAGGATTCCAAAAATGGGGATATATATATAGGATGTTCCATTTAAAATAACAAAGTTGATGTTGGAGGGGACACTTTTGGGACATCCTGTATCAACAAAATTAAAATATTTTAAATCTTCAAGAGAGCCCTATAAACTTGTGTATGAAACTTTTTTTTGTATCTTCTATGGGTTTCCAGGTCGTATAGCGGGTCGTCTTATTTGGCACACGATGTACATTAACGTAATGGTCCTAAGACATTATGATATTGTATATATGTCTATAGTATAAAACAAACTAAAGCGAAGCACTGTGGAACATTGTTCTTATTAGTTTCAAAAATTATTTTCAAAAATCATTCTGAATATCATGTCAGTTATTTTTTCGGCGCATTCAACTGAAAAAGTGTGTTTATCTCAATCTTCCAACAAACGCAAAATCTCGAAAGAAACATTTTGTTTCAGACGGTTTTGATTAGAGAAAATTTGTCTCATTACACATCCGATCTTTCCATTATCGAGTCGAAGGGGTTTACTTTACTAGCTGTCGGCACTGATCAAGCGGTAAATGTATTTGAGTTGATCTTGAAGGAGCGAAACCTGAGAAATGTGCAAAGTTTAAATATCGCTAACGCTAGTCAGGTCCAACTTTGGGAATGTAACGAAGATCTGTATCTATTTGTAACGTGGTCTAGCGACTGGGAGCACGTTTTGAAAAAATCAACTGTCACAATTTACAAATGGCTCGGGAAACATTTTGATCTCGTTCAGAGTATAACTTCTTCGAATGTTGCGAAATCGATTCCATTTTCGATTCACGGACAACAATTCCTCGTTCTTCTTCGGTCAGAACTGCACACCGGTAATTTTAAAATTTCTTAGAGTTCCTTGGTTAATAATTTGCCACCGTTTCAGATGAGTTGGAATCTTACTCGCATATCTACAAATTCGATCCGGATGAAATGAAATATGTGTTATTCCAGCGCATATTTACTCCAAATTCAAAAAATTTACGGTACTTTACAAGCACAATCAACGGAAAACCTGAACATTTCTTTGTTATCGATAATGTTGATATCACAGGTACGTTTACAATAACGCGATTTAAAAGTATTTTCACAACTTTCAGGGAATGCGCAGGTGATAATATCAACCAAAATAAAAGGTTTGGTTCTATAAATGTGTTGTCAAATCTTATTAGTACAAGAGGGAGAAAATAATGGTAAATTTTCGAAAAAATACTATAATTTTAAAACGGAGAAAGATATCAAATACAAAATTAGTAGTGTACTAACGTTTTCGAAAATGAAAAATCCAATTTCCGCATTAGTTTTAACCTAATTCCTAGAGGATACTTAATGATGAATTATATAATTACAATATCCGTTTTTATCAATGTACGAAAATCAAAAATTTCACAATGTATAACATGTATATTTTCATAGTAATTGTTTTCGTTATTCATCTCTTTTGTCAATAATTTTAATACCTTTACCTGTTTTAATTTGTGTGTGTGTTTTAAATTGTAATTTTATAATTTTCGATACACTGCCAAACATTTTATTTGTTTGCAAACTTTAATTTTGCTTAAACTATATTGTTTAATATAAAGCACAGGGTGTTTGCAAAAGATGTGGGGAAAATGAAGCTTCATATCAATTTGGTTTTAGTTCTCCAAAATATTCGGTTATGGGGAACGGGTACGAAGGAGGATTGTCTGCATTTAATTTCATATTGATTAGATATAAAAATGGTATATGGGTATGGTTTTGTTTAGTTTGACAAATGAAAATATTCGAGATTTTGGTAGAGTTTAGCACTTTTGTACGCGTTTTTATGATTTACTTTTTTTACAGGATGTCCCAAAATAAGGGCCCAAAACGTCTTAGTTTTTAACATACAGGATATTAAATTTGAAGAGGTGATGGCGATTTTTTGTAAATATTTTCGAAACACGTAAATATTTTGAAATAAAATTTGGTACAGTTACTAAACGTTTTAGGCTCTATTTAACAAACTAAAACTTAGTATTGGATTGTCTTTAGGGGTGGGTAACATAGGGTAGGCGTGGGAAAAATTTGCAGCAAATTTTTTGTTTGTCGAATTTTCATAATTTGGACTGCAGCTTTTTAAAATCTGAAATTTTGTATGTTAATAAGGTACTCTTATCGCCCATCGGTAGAACACACTGTTTTCGAGAAAAATGCTCTTGAAAATTTAATTACAGATTATTTTTTTTATTTTAATATTTACAATCGAGGTGCAGAGGCAAACCTTGGAATTTAATGACGCGTTTCATTTGTTTGTGTAAATAAAAATTAAATGTCAATTATTCGACAGTTTTCAATTTTGTTCATTGTTGGTAAAAAATAATTTTTACTTGGATTGTTCTTATAAATGATTTTATTAACCAAAGACAAATCAAACTATCAACTGTAAACCAAATTATTCTAATAAAAATTATAAACTTTACATTTTATGATTGTTGATGAAAAATAAGCTATTTAAATCTGATTGAGTTGTTTTCAAATAGAGAATTAGCAGATATTCATTTTGAATACGACTTTTGCAATGGTAGAGCTGGGGGGGGGAGCTGTACAAGAGTATTGTAGAACGTTTCCTAATCGTCGAGAACCTGATCGGCAAGTTTTTATTAATACACATTGGCATTTAGTTGAGCGTGGATCATTTGAATGTAATCGTGGACAGGGGAGACCGCAAATTAAGAAAACTCGACAAACAAAAAATTTGGGGCAAATTTTTCGCACGCCTCCCCTGTGTTACCCACTGCTGAAGACAATCCAATACTAAATTTTAGTTCGTTAAATAGAACCTAAAAAGTTTACGTGTTTTTCCGTGTTTCGAAAATATTTACAAAAAATCCCCATTATGTCTTCAAAGTTAACACCCTGTATGTTAAAAAGTAAGACGTTGTGGGCCCTAGTTTATATGAACTTTTATCGTTATTTTGGTCACAGAATACGTGGTTCAAATATTGACGTCTAATTTCCTGTATATACACAGTGCTTTTTCGGCAGATAACTTTCCCTGTTTAACCTATCCATCTCAGTAAGATTATAATTATTGGGAACTCACATTTTCAGGAACAAAATGAACTATGATGAAAGTGTAATAATAATAAAGTAGTACGCAAACAATTAATTATGATTTATTTCATTAGAGTAATTAAAGTCATTAAAAAATTAGTATACAACTGATGGGGTAAACAAAATATCATTTTCGCTACTTTTTCATGTAGTAACTTTTGGGGCTAGTTTCGTATTTCAGGTACAGAACGTTTCTGAAATATTGCATTTGAACTTTTGAAAACTTATTGAAACTAACCAAACCTATTACTTAATTAATTTATTAGTATTTATTTATTTATTTATTTAATAATGATAATGATAATGATACAATATTTTTGAAGCGGTAGTGAATCATCCAGACTAAAAATAATTTTAAAATGTATTCTTAAAGTAAAGCAACCAAAATGATTCCGAAGTAGTATTTTAAAAAAGGTAGGAGAGACCAAGCAATGAAGTCACATTAAGTTTTGATTTTAGAAAATGATTTTTCTGAACCATCTGTCGGGCCTGTCATCTACAAATACGTTGAGATCCATTTTATTCCATTCCAAAGGTTAGAAATTAGAGACTTGGTTTCTAATATGCAACCTGTGCAAGTGAGAAAATTTTTAACCATGCCAACGTTAGCATTAAATTGGAAATTCTTTCTTCCAGGACATTGAAGGTAACACTGTGCTGCTTTTTTTCACAAAGACTGGTTTCAAGGGATTTCAATATGATGGATGGAATTTTTCGGAAGCGCTAGTTCAGGTGGATACTGCCAGCACAGGTTTCGAAACTAATATTCGAGCTATTCATATTGAGCGCGTTCAGGGCCAGGATGCTATTGGTAACTAGAACCAATATTTTGCAAGTATAAATTGATATCATAAAAACCATCTTATCGTTTTGGTGGACAATAGTGCACTACTATAAGTATATGGCTGAAATATTTGATATAGTAACAGCTTCTTTCTGTTCTTCAACCTTGAAATACATATAATACTGGAGTTGTTCTTGGGTTGTTGTTGTCACTAATAGAAAAAATTCTCTCTAATTTTTTAAAAATTTTATTCAAAGTTTCGATCACAATTTGGATTTTTATTAAGAATCTATAATGCATAGAAAAATGAAATAAGCATTTTACATAGTGATATTTTGAATAAATTAAGAAAGTATAAATATGAAATTTTATGTTGCAAAGGATTTATTCAATTTTTATAAAGTGTATATGATTGAATTGTGATATAATTGACTTAAATTTTTTGATAATTATTATCTTGTGTTAAAATTTTGTTAAATTTTCATGTTTACGTAAAGTGGTTGATACATTTTTAGTATATTTATATCCATTTACACGATTTTCCAAAAGTTGGCTTGACATTCCAATATATTTTTTTGGTCAATTTAAATCAGGTATTGAATATACAAGATTGACTTCTTCTTAATTGGAATTTCACTTTTTAATGGAGTAAAAATTGATTTTATTAATTTGTAAGATTTCTGTATGTTCTAATTTGTCAGATAAATTATTTATATATGACTTGAACATTTATAAAATCGTATGCTATACTATACATAAACATGAAAATTTAACAAATTACAGATTTAATTTTAAAGAAATTAAAATTTTAACACAAGATAATAATTATCAAACATTAGCAATGAAAGAAATAATGTGTATGAAAAAAGAAATAAATCCTGGAAATGACCAAAAAGGAGTAAAAAAAGATATTAGTCTAAATTAAATCTAATAGTGTTGAAAATTAACCAACAATTAAATTAATTCTTAGCAACTAATAATAAACATAAACTTCTAAGTCAAAATATTAATGTAAATTATTTCATATTTCTTAATTTATACAACACTAAGATATGTAAATATTTTTATATAAAATTCTTGATAAGGATCCACATTGTGATCGAAACGTTGAATATAATAAAAAAAAGAATTTCGCTATTACTAACCTCAAACCAAGTACAACTTATATTTATGTAGTAGTATAGTAACGGTGAAATTAAATTAAAATGGGGATCTGCATTATTTTGTGATAGCTATAACAATTTGATCATTTAAAAAATTTTTTCATTTTTTAAATGTTTATATGCAATTAATTTATGTTTCATTGCTAATCGATTAGTTTTCGAAATTAAGGTTCGAAATCGAAATTGTTGACTTCTTTCCACACGATCGAAATGTGTATAAATGCTTAGCGCAGACTATGAGACTTGTAGGGATACTTTTTCTGGATTTTTTCTGCGTCCGGTATTGTCTGTGTCAGACGGCGCTCGACACAAGCCAGCAACATGTTTGGCGAAACGCCAGCAAGATCCGACACAGGAGAAATTCAAAAAAAGTCTACCTACAAGTTTAACTTTGTAGTTCTACTGTGCGATTCTTGTGACGGGCTGGCCAATGTATTCCGCGTAAATTTTATATCACGAGACATGATGGAAAGCGTATATTCTGACTTACAGTCGTGGTGTACAGCGAGACTGAAAGAGATCGAGTCTCGTGATGAAATCGAGATTGTTGGCGAATCCTTAAGAGGAGATTTGAACGAGGTACGTAAATTTAGTATAAGCCCGTTTTTCGAATACGTATTGAATTAATTCTATTATCTAGGAAATAAATTTAGAAGAAGATGCAGTAGATCAGATAATCGCCGAGCTTAAAAACTTAAATGAAACTCTTACAAACCTGGAACAAAGCATCGGCTTTTCGTCCTCTGAAAATGGCGATTTTAAATTCAAAAAAGCCGTAGACACGATTGTTTTCAACAGATCTGCCATTATAAATTCACTGCATACCGAATATATTAACGATGAAAGTGCCGGCGGTGTTGTCGACAGCATTCTAAGCATCAAAGATGGTTTTGAAATTAATGCACCCCTAACTTTCGACTTCTTACTTGTTGAGAACGAGTTTCGATCAAAATTAATTAACAATAAATCGGAATCCGAATTCATTCGTGCAAACGACGATCTCGATTTGCGAAATTTGAAAGTCGGCGGTTTCGTCACTTTTCAAAATGACGTAAACATTTTAGATAACATCAACAACTTCAGCATTAATATGTCCAATATACTTCTTAGCGAAGGCGATCAAGAACTATTTAATCTCAATACTAACGACGTTGCTATTCTTAGTTTAAAATGCCAGTATTTGAATAAATTACGCTTTGCCGATATATCAAGCCGATTTAATGAGACCCGTTCCAAACTTAAAGAATTGGACGAAGTGGTCGCAAATAATGTTGACATCGGTGGGTTAATGAATGAAGTGAGCCTCGAAATATTGAGGGATCAGACGTTAAAAAAAGTTGGAGATCAGCGTATTGAAAAAACGTGGTATTTCGACTTGCTTACGACGGAAGAGCTCACTGTGAACGGCCGAATTTCTTCTCAAAAGTTTCCGGAAGATATGGTTCTGATAAACGGCGAAGAATACGTAATCAACCAGGACGTAAACTTTGAACACGGTAAATTAAATTCAGATGCACAGTTATCAATCTAAACAAATTTTTCTTTGTGTTGACTTAGCTTTTCTCTTATAGAACTAAAAGTAAATAAACTGGAAGTGCTGAATTCGCTAAATGACATACCCGTCAACGACAACGGCGAGCTCGAAATCCTGCTAAAGGATTCGAATCAACGCCAATATATTCGGGGCGCAGTTTCGATTGAAAATTTACTGATTGCCAATCCTATTTTACTGCGCAGTAAAATAAAAAATGATCGTTTCTTAAATAAGAGTCCTTTGATTATGGATGCAGGTGATCACGTTATCGACGATGATCTTGAAATTATCGGAGGAGCGAAAATCAAAGGGATTTTGCAGGCAAATGATCTGACTGCGATAAAAACGGAACGGTCTGTGGTAGAGGCTTTTGAAAGTGCTGTAAAGATAACGGTAAGATGATACTATTCATGAGGATGTTTTGTTATTTTCACGAATGGCCAAATATACATCGTGCTTTTCAGTAAGGGTGGTGCTTTACCCGAATTTATTAGCCAAGGCGTCAATTTGTCACTTTTAAGGATATATAATTTCGTGAAAATCTGAACTTTTAGTTCTTATTTATTTTGATAAATGGATTTTCATCAAGTAAAACCACCTCAGTTCAATTTTTAAAAGATAGTTTTGAAAAACTTCAGGTCAAAGAAGATACTAATTTTCTAATAAATTTCTAATAAATCAAGTTACCTAGGTAATCCACAAGGATAACAAGATTGCTTTCGAAAAATCGTCGCTGGGCGGAGTAAGTTGGTAGCGCCTAGCGCGAAGCAGCTTTTTTTTTTCAAAGGAAGAGCTTTGCGGTTTCTTGTGGTACAGGGACGCATCGTTTTTCTATCGTGTTCCCGCCGGCCACTATGGAACTTTCGCAAAATCGATGTAATTTTATTGTGCATACACCCTGTATAAAGCGTTTTTTACTTATCGCCGTTCAAGTTCAAAGTCACAACAAACTTCGATAAATATAAAAAATTGTACAAGTAATAACAATTTCCAATTACATTATTCCAAGTATCTCGCGCACTCTGTATTATAGACGAAACTTGAAGCTCTCTCTTTCGACACAATATTCGAGACTGTTTAAACCAAATTATCCCATATTTTATAGTTTTTCAATTACGGCTAATATTTTTTTCCATGAAAGTGGCAATTTTCAGGGTCTTTTAGATTTTTTTTACCATAATCGACACATCCTGTACATATTTGAAGAAATGTCGGGAATGGAGGTTATAGCCCTGGATCTTCAAAATCTAATAGTCCAAGAATTTTTCTAAAATAGTAAATACTTTTCAAGAAAATAAGATTTTTCTGACTTCATGCAGTGCATCGTAATAATCAATGTCGTCATCGCGTCTAGTCTGCCACCGGAATAGTGATTTTCATATGGATTTTTTGAAATATCTCGAGCAGCGTATGCGATAGACGAAAACCCCAAATACCAAAATTGTAGCTCTTGATGCGGGCTATGACACTGTTCTAACCATATTCGAGCCATACTTTTTACAATTTTTGATTTGCAGTTAATAATTTACTCTGGAAAACAATAATTTTCAATGTCTTTTAGATTTTTACCTATAATTTAAAAACCCTGTAGTCAATAACTTCAAATTTCGGACACTTATCGTGTTTCATAGCAGCGTCCAAAAAACAGTCGAAAATCGAAAAAAAAAGATGTACTCCGAAGCGTGAACGCAGCCATTTTTATATATCTAATGCACCTCGTGGGCGGTTAAAAAGGAGCAAAATTTGAAGCGTGTAGCTCAAATCGTTCGGAAGTTATCGTCGAAATACCCTAGAACAGAGAACGGAGAAACGGAGAACAGAGAACGGACAGACAAAAATTAAAAATGTCTTTTTTCGATGCTGATTCCATCTGTACCAACGGCTACGCTGTACGATGCACCTTTATCAAGATCTCCAGTTTAGTGAGGAGCGCGTATATTTTCGGAAAGAATCGATTTCATAGATTTTTCGAAAGTAACAAGCAGTAACAAGCAAAAAGTAAATATATCGATTTCAATGTGTTTTCTAATTATGGTAACATATTTTTAATAACATGCTGCCTGATATCCAGCCTTAACACTGAACTTTTCAACTCTTGGTTAGGGAACTGCTGTTAGGCATAAAATAACATCTTCCCTCTCAATTAAACGGAGATACTTAGTGTAGATGGTTATTTCATTTTTTAAATTTAATATGAAAAATTTCTTTCTTTTTGTTTTGTGTATTGTTTAGATAGCTTGACTTATTTGAAAATTGCCAATACAGCCCGCCATTTTTAATACAATTGTCAGGTTGTGATGTATCTTTGAAAAAGTAGAATATAATGCTGTAACAAAATATTGCATGCGGTATGCTCGTAAGTGATAATAAAAGAAATATATATTCACATATATATCTTTTGGCAGAAGTGACGCTTTAGACGCTAGAGAGATTATTATAAGGATTTAAAAGAAAAAGTTTAAATTAAATTAATTAACTCTTGCCAGCGTTTAAACAAATACACGGAACAATCTTAAATTAAGAAAAGCCACACCATATGAATTTTTGAAACAGAATTCCATTATATTTTGTGTCTATTTAATATACTTTCCTGATGATAAAATTCGTTTTCAGTACTAAGTAAGCCATTGAAATTTATTTTAATTAAACTACTGTTTAACTAAAATTATTAATATATAAATAATTTCATTAACTAAACGGCATAGTTTTCTCTAATCTCAAAATTGAGTAAATTCCTAAATTGATTTTCTCTTTTTCGTAAAAATTCGACACTAACTCTTAACTATGAAATTAATTTAGTTTTTTATTAAGAATCTATTTCTAATAACTCAAATTAATATATGTTAATTATTAACTTTTATGCTACGAAGGAAATACTAAAGTCAAAGAATTTGTTTTTTTTTTTAATATTTCTTAGTTTTTAATTTTGTTGCCTTTTTGTTCCATATAACCGACCTTGTATTTTTAATGGTTTAAAAATTCAATTGAAAAAGTGACTACCCTTACCCACCCACCTTACTATTCTTGGTTTTACCCGTCTCTGCAAAGGCTTTAAGGAACTTTGTAGGTGAATATTTGTGTGCGGTACTATTTCATTTCATTCAGCATACATACATACATATCTATTGCGTAAATTGTGTTTCAGGATAAACTAATAAACATCACTTTAAACTTTACCGAAGGCGTCTGTTTAGATCAAACGTTTGCAGAACGCGTGAATGGAATCGATCCCCGGGATTGGTTGTTGAGAGAATCTAACGTGTCTCAAGTCATACGGGGTAGGAAACGCTTTGTAAACGATCTAAAACTCAATGGTGTCGTGATAGTCGAGATTATGAACGATGTTGACACCACTGTGCTTGAAAAAAATGCACTGAAAATAACTGGAGATCAGGATATTAATGCTGAGATGGAGATACCTCTGGTAGCAGCAGAAAATGGGTGGGTATTGAAGGAATATTATGTTATAATTTCCTTTCATCATAGTAAAATCTTGATTTTTTTATTGATTTTGTTGAATTTTATGTAAGTTAGGTATTGAAAATTTGCATTCGAATGGTGTATAATTTTGACGTAATCATGGCGAACTACGGCCGCTTTTATTCTCCCCAGTTTCAAAAAGGGATATAAAAAAAAAGCTGATAGCGGGTCTTATCCGGAGTCACCTAAAGCCAACCAAACTAGATATTAACAGTTAAAAAAGCCCTCAGAAAAATGCAATTATTATTTTACTTATTAAGGGATTCGTTAATTCATACATAAGTAAGGCTCCATGACAATTTCATTATTTATTGACTATTAAAACGAAAATTTATCATTTGACTAACTAAAATTAATTGACATTAACTAGCTCTCAACATTTAATTTGGATACTTCTTTTTTCAATAATATAGCAATAAATTTTCTTTTTATTCAATGGAAAAAGGCATTAGAACTTAAATTTAGGACTAGAAAGTAACAAACAAGTAGTCAATTACACTCGAGCAGCTCCACTAACTTCATTATTTGCAGTATTTTCTTATTAAACATTATTCTCTTTTAATTTGAATATTTAACTGACAATTTCTTATTATCAAAATCAATAAAAGATATCGATTTTTAATAGGGCAAACCCGTTTTTGGTAGCTTTCAAATTAAATCTCCAATATTTAAATTAATTGTAAAATATGTTGAGTTTATTATTTAGTAACATTTAATTCCAGTACGGAGTCAAACGTGCTCAACTTTGGTTCAAATCCGTGGAAAAACTTAGCGAAGCACTCTCAACGTGAAATAACTCACAAAACCATATCCGGCAATTTGTCGTTGAACTTGCTTCAAGCCAACAATACCGAAATTAAGGGTTCGATCAATAATCAGTTCGATCTTTTGCGTTCAATAAATGATATCACTCGTAAAGGAACCAATTTTAAAGTCTTTGGAGAAAAGCGTTTCGATACTTTACATATAAAAGAATTGAGTTACAACTTCGAGCAATGTATTGGACGTATGTTGAAAGCCATTTCCGAGAAGAAAATTGATATCGACGGACCTGTGAGTTTTTATAAAGATATCGAAATTAGCAATATCAATTTCGAAGGGTTATGTAATGGTCTGCGAGATGATCAGTTTGAACATATCGCGAAAATGGACGAAAGCGATTGCGTAATCAACGAAGACATGAGGTACGACAATGTTTTCGTAGATGGAGAAGTCACTATACAGGATAACGAGATAAGTGGAGTAAATATCACACGAATCTATCACGATACCGTTAAAATTGACGAGAGTTTCCATTTTAAGAATGCCGTTTTTGGTGAGTGTCTTACTTTTTGTTTTGTGCTATGATCGATTATTTCACTTTAGGTAAAGATGTAATCATTGAAAATGATCTTCTTGTGGAAGGAAATGTTGACAATTTGGATATAACTAACATTTTCGAACAAAACTCGACCACTCCTGTAACGCTGGCTGATAAGACATTTGAGCAAGACGTGTTCGTTGAAAATACTCTTAGTATAGAAAGTGTGTCTAAAAAATTGAACTTCGCTACCTTGTGTGATGTTTGGCAGCAAGATAGTAATATTAGAAGCTTATATGTTAATGGTAGGTAGTATGTCTTATACAGTTTCCAGTATTAAATAATACGGAAGATGTGTTTAAGTAATTAAAAAATATTGGTTAAAACTAACTGACTAAACTAACGAATATTTTTCTAAACTATCTATAATACAAAATGGAGAAGGTTAAATTACTTAACCAAATATTAATTATAATTCTTTGTGAAAAAATGGGTACGATTAATAGATGTAATTTATGACTGTGAGCTGGAAAGTTTAGAATCTAAATACTTATCACTATATCATAGCAAAATAAATAATAATAATAATAATAATAATAATGATAATAATAATAATAATAATAATAATAATAATAATAATAATAATAATCCGGTAAAACAGTGATGAATATTATGTGCCAACGAAGAGAACTATTTACAAAAAATAGACTGCCACCAGACGTTACTCGACGTATTCGCAATGAAGTAGCTGCCAGCTTAGGACACCAAATCGTTGCACAAACAGAGGAAACCCAAGACACACAAAACCAGATCTTGATAATGCTACCTGATGATGAGCGACAGGCGGACGACCAACTACAGGGGAACATCACTCTGTTTCGGGGAATAGACCCGAATTTGAGACCAAAAATTCCCAGATTAAAAGCAAACAACAAGATTACTTCTGTTTTAAAGATTATCAACAACGCACTAACTAGACGAATTGAGCAGTGTAGGAGCTTAGCGCAGCTACACGATCTTGTATATGCTGCAGCAATTACAACATTAGAGATCCACGAGCAAAAGATCCGAAAACAGAAAAAGAAACCAAAGTGGGATTCTAGGATTAGCATGAAAATAGATAAACTACGTAAAGAAATTGGAGTACTGACACAATACGCCAGCGAACAACGAGCAACTGCAAAAGTCGAAAGGAAAAGCCGTGACATTATCAATAGATATACCAGTCTATCTAACCCCACTGCCACTGAGATACTAGATCTTTTGAAACAAAAACTCCAAATATATGCATATCGTCTCCGAAAATACCGTATATCTTATAATCGCAGAAGAGATAATCAATTGTTTACGAGAAACCAACGAGTCTTCTACCGCAACTTACTAAATGGCTCACAAGAAAAAACAAACGACGCACAATACCCTAATGAAGCAGCTGTAAAGAACTTCTGGAGCAACGTTTGGGATAACCCACGAAATCACAAGCATAATGCTGGATGGATCGCAATGGAGAAGAAGAAAACCGAGAAGATACCCATGATGCTACCTCCGACAATTACAGTATACGACATTAAACAGACACTCTCAAAATCACAGAACTGGAAGGCACCGGGTCCGGACGGAGTGCAGAACTATTGGTATAAAAAATTCGTTGCAACACACGCTAAGATGGCTCAACTCTTTCAAGAAATCCTGGTTGATCCACAGACATTCCCAAATTTTCTTGCAAAAGGGACAACTTACCTTCTGCCGAAATCTGATCCCCCACAGGATGATCCTGCAAAGTATAGGCCGATAACCTGTCTACCGACATTATACAAACTCTTCAGCGGTATTCTATCCGAAAAAATCTATCAACACATCTCTGAGCACAACCTCCTTGCAGAGGAGCAAAAAGGCTGTAGAAAACACGCGCAAGGGTACAAAGAGCAGCTAATCATAGATTCAGTTACTATCGAAGACGCAAAAGTAAACAAACGAAACATCTATACAGCTTACGTGGACTACGAGAAAGCTTTCGACAGCGTCCCGCACTCCTGGCTAATCGAATGTCTTTCATTATATAAAATCAATCCGCTCATTATAAACCTACTTACTAGCATGATGAGGATGTGGGAAACCAACGTTACTATCAGCTCCAAATGCCCAGTGTTCAAGCCTATAAATATAAAAATAAGAAGGGGTATATTCCAAGGCGACGCCTTAAGCGCCCTGTGGTTTTGCATAGCACTAAACCCACTATCCACGGCTATAAAGAGCAAGCGAAGCGGTTATAAGATACCCAATACGAACCAAGAAATAAGCCACCTAGCCTACATGGATGACATAAAATTATACTCAGAAACCAACAATGGATTGAAAAGGCTCCTACGAACAGTAGAGGAATTCTCAAATGATATTGGGATGAGTTTTGGCCTTGATAAATGCAAGACCAACTCTGTTGTCAAAGGCAAATGGAGCCAAGGCCAGGATTTCCAACTTCTGCAGAGATCAGGCGGAGGCGCGATTCTACCAATGGACAGAAATGAATCCTACAAATATCTGGGCTTTCTGCAATCACAGGGAATAGACAAAAAAGAAGTTAAACATCAATTGATTAACACCATGAAGGAGAGACTAAAAAAGATATTGAAAACATCCCTATCGGCAAGGAACAAAATAACTGCTACAAACAGCTTAGCAATACCTGTTGTCGCACATAGCTTTGGAGTCATTAAATGGACCACCACCTTGAAGATGCAAATAGGACCATTAGAACCATGTATACAAGATTCAGGGCCCACCACCCAAAATCGAGTAAAGAGCGCTTCCACCTGCCAAGAAGGCAGGGAGGTAGAGGAATCACTGATCTACGACTACTACACAGAACTCAGATTAAAAGCCTTCGAGAGTTCTTTACTAAAACCGCAATGACATCGGCCCTTCACGATGCTATAAACAAATGCGACAAATCCCTTACCCCCCTTAATCTAAGCAGCATACACTTTGAAATTGACCCTGAATATAATGTGGCAAATCAGACCCAAAAATGGATGAGCAAGGAATTGCATGGCAGATATCCATTTATGCTGCAATCAGAAAATATTAATAAACGGGCGTCACTGGGATGGCTTTTACATGGGAATATTTTCCCTGAAACAGAAGGGTTTTTATGTGCCATCCAAGATCAAATACTACCAACAAGATCACATTTGAAATATGTTGTGAAAGATCCACAGATAGAAAGATCCTGCTGCAGGATGTGTGGGGAAGGCAATGAAAACATTGAACATATTATAAGTGGGTGTAAAATCCTAGCTCCTACATACTACACTGCTAGACATAATGATGTTGCGAAAATTGTCCATCGAGAGCTCTGCAAAATTGCCGGAATAAAAAAAACATGAAGCTCCATACTACCAGTACCGACCGGATCCAGTAACGGAGAATGATAGAGCAAAAATCTACTGGGATAAGACTATGCTGACTGATCAAACTATGCAACATAATAGACCTGACATCTGCCTGCTGGACAAAGATAATAATGCGCTCACGCTGATAGATGTTGCCGTCCCTGCGCCTGCCAATCTGGAAAGGAAGCACACTGAAAAGCTGGAAAAATACATACCTCTATCAAACGAATTACGAAGAATATGGAACGTCTCAGGAATTCGCACAGTACCATTGATTATAGGAGCCACAGGAGAAATCCCGCAGAAGACCCTTGATGGCCTAAAACAACTGCAGATTCCCGAAAAATACTATCTTGAGATGCAAAAAGCGGCCATACTTGCAACCTGCAACATAATGAGGAGGGTATTAAATATAGAAGAGTAGAGAAGAAAAAGAATGCTGTCTTGCCCAACCAGGCCGACAACATTATTACTTACCGTTGAAAACGTGAAAAAAAAAAAATAATAAAAAAATAATAATAATAATAATAATCGAATTAAATGCATTGAAAAGCCTTCGAAATCCCAAAACAAAGATTCTGGAATGTAATTCTAAATTATTTTAAATTCTTCTTAACTTCTGGGAAACCGCAAATTCAACGCAAAGTTAACGTTTTACAATAAAAGTTTGGCTGAGAATAACCCGTGTATAAGAAATAAAATATTTTTTTAGGCAATATTGTTATCGTAAAAGGTCAACAGATTAACCGCATAAACGGCTACTCTATCGATGATTTAGCAGACAAAATTTGGTTTTCGGATGAAGCGGGTGAACTTAAAGGAAATTTGAATTTCGACAATACGACCTTTCGGAATACTATTAATGTTACAGTAAAAAAATATTTATTTGAGTCGAAGGGGTTTGTCAAGCAATTGAATTTTTAGGGCCTTGTCGACGATATTGCAATTAATCTCTTGGCGAAGAACTACTTAAGCCTATCCAAAGAACAGACAATCTTGTCCAATCTCGTGTTTGAAAATGACGTGGTTTTTAGTGGAAACGTTTCTACTCCGGAAATATTTCTCGAGGGCACCATCAACAATGTCCACTTGAGAGACGCGATTGCAAATATTCTTTTAGATCATGTTGATCAGGTGTTTGAAAGCGTCGTATATTTGGAGGAATGCGATGTGATCGGTATGTAAACTGCTTGCTGATCGGGTAATTTATATCAAAAAACATGAAAATTACATGATAAGAACGTGAGTTTCATTTTTATCGTGGTTTTATATATCACCATGTGTGAAGAGAATCGATATTTTGTTTTCTTATATACGAGGTGTGTTCAGAAAGTAATGTGACTTTTAAGTTTTATCAAAAAGTATTTATGTATTTATTTCTCAAAATTAATGTTGTCTCCTTCAAAGTAATTCCTCCAGATATACACTTGTGCCAACGTTTTTTCCAATCCTCAAGGCACTTCTGGTAAGTACTTTCTAATATAACCTTGAATTCTTCCAGCGATGTTTTCCTTATCTCCTCAATCGTTCCAAACCTCTTTCCTTTCATGGGTTTCTTGAGTTTTGAGAACAGGAAAATGTCGCAGGGGGCCATATCGGGTGAATATGGTAGCTGAGGCATGATTGTGGTTTTGTTTTTGGCCAAAAAATTAGACCCAAGCAACGATGAGTGAGTAGGTGCATTATCGTGATGCAAAATCCATAAATTGTTTTCCCACATTTCCGGAAGTTTTCTTCATATTACTTCTCGCAAACAGCTCATAACTTCAAGGTATTGACCGCACGACCTTCTGGTAAGAACTCTTGATGTACTACGCTACCATAATCAAAGAAAACATTAAGCAAACCTTGACATTTGATCGAACTTGACGTGCTTTTTTCGGTCTTGGTGATTCTGGGTTCTTCCATTGGGACAACTAGGCTTTGGTTTCGATGCCACAACCATATACCTATGATTCGTCAAAAGCTATGACCTTTTTAACAAAAAAAGGATATCGCACATCGAATGTACGTAGACTACCCAATTACAATAGTCATCTTATTTTTTGAACACACCTCGTATATTTTAAAAACTAACATTTTTTGCACATTTATCTAGGCTTGGGACATAACAGAGTAGCAAAAGGATCTGTTAATTTTCAGTCAGTCGAAATGTGAAACCGGGCAGCACGCAAATATAAGTAGTAATGTGTATATAGTTCATGACTATGTTATTTGTTCGGGTAGTTTAATTCGTCCTGTATGACGAACCTGAACAATTTTTGGTCGGTTTACACAACGTAACAATACCTTTTAGAGTAACGCCAAATGTTGCCCACCAAAAACACGCAGCAATTTGGTGGTTTTGGTTTTTTCATATACCACATAGCTATGTCCTACTTCTCATCCATTATAATTTCTCTTCCAGCCATTGAAAATGTTACGAATTATCTTGTAAACGGCTTGAATGTGCAATTTGATGTAATGAGATACGACACGGAAAATATTGTCACCGGTCGTAAATTAGTTGAGAACGTCGTCACTGAATTCTCGAATGTGTCAGACGGTGTAAAAATTCAAAACGTGGACATCATTCATTGGCTGAACAATTCGGTGTTGTCTGACGGCAGCTTTAGAATTACTGGCAACAAAGTATTGGGTAATGCGTCGTTTAAGAACGGCTTGAGGTAATTTTTGCATTTTTTTATTTTTAAGTATTAAAAAACAAAGTTCTACATAAAACGGTCCACTATATGATGCATTTTTTTATTTTTAAGTATTAAAAAACAAAGTTCTACATAAGACGGTCCACTATATTATCTGAGAAATGGGAAGAGCGTCTCAAAAAGTTTAATATAAAAGTTTCTTGTGTTCGCTTAAACTTTTTATATATTTACCTTTATGTATACAGGGAGTTTAGTTGTTTTCTTTTTTTGACACAAGAGAAAACTGTCATAGCAAGACTATTTTGAAAAACTTCATAATTTAATTGTGCAGTGGAAGACAACTTCAATGACATACAATAATAGAGGTCTAATGTAAGCATTTTTAATAATAATAATAATAAAGTTTATTATTAAAAAACTACGAATTTTACATGTGAGAACAAATACAATAATATGCAACAGGAATTGCCAATAGAGAAAAAAGAGGAATACTGATTGCGGGGATCGCCTCTGAACCAAAGCCATTCCAACTCTTCAAGTCTGTGGGAAACTTTCTGCCTTTGCCTTATCTTAATCTAATACGAGGTGTTCCTTCAAAAATACTATAGTTGATAGCTGGCTAGATAAAACTAAACACCCTGTAAGTAAGTAAGTTAAGAAGACGTTTATGTATAATAAATAAAACGGCTATCATATTTAATTTTTGCATAATTTTTGATAAGTTTTTACTCCTTGCCTCATTTCTCTATAAGCTTACCATTAGTTTAATATGAAATATGCCTGGCTAGTGGCTAGTGAATCATCGTTGTCACAGCTCTTAATTCACCACTAAATCAATCGTATTTCAGCGTCAGAGGCAAGGTCAACAATGAAATTTTCACAAAGAATTCAGTAATGCTGACCAATTTGACCCAAACCATTGCAGGAGCAAAAACATTTATTGGAATAGCGCCGCAGTTTAAAACTTTGAAATCTAAAGCATCAGTCAATGGGATCGATTTAGGAGAACTGGCTAAAAGTCAGGTAAAATAAGATTGGATCGACACCGAATCAATCATTTAATATTCTTTCATATTTTCAGTTACGAATTAATGGAGATAATACTATCAAAACGCCCATTGAATTTTTTGGCAAAATTAGTGCTAGAAATCTAAATATTATTGAGTTGAATGATGGCATTAACGTTATGAATTTGTTGAAAGACACTACCAAATTAAAGAGCCTAAATAACATTGTGGAAAGCTATAATGACCTGTTAAATATGGCGGAAGGAATGCAGAAATCCTTAAAAGGTAAATCTCAAACGAGGTAACGGAAAATATTAAGTGGAATTTTGTTATCAAGATTTTTTCGAATGAACTGTTGAAAACACATTCTAATTAATTCAATACTGCAAAAAATCAGTTCTTAACAAAGGATGACTGCGTAGAACACATCGAATTCGTAACATTTAAGCTAAGCAAGATGGTAGAAAGCGGCATCAGGCATTTAAACTCAACCTTTGTTGTTTTTTATTGTTATTGTTATTATAAACTACCTCGTTTCATTTGCGTATAATTTCAAATAAAAATCCTAAAAATTAAAAAAAAATGATTGACCTTAGAGATAATTGTGGTTTAAGGTTCTTATGGAGAACACTGATATAGTTTAATTTTTTCAAAATTTATTAATTTGTTGGAAGGCACAAAGTATAATTTATTTTGAGTAATTTAAAGTTTTCGTCAATTTAGTCACAGTTTTCTGGATTTTATTGATCGAGACTGTCATTTGTGCTTCTTTTTTCGATTCTTGGAGTTGATTTTGTTAACAAAATTTGAGTTTATTTCATTTTAAGGTGAATTATAGAAGTTTCTCACCATTCGGGGTGAGAATATTGTCTTACAATAATTACATTTTTAGATCAGGCTTACTTTTTAAAATATTATAAGGAAGTAATGCATTTTTCCAATGCATATGAGGCTTTTGGCATACAGAACGAGCATGGAATCATCAATCTCGTATTGTTTTTCAATATTAACAGTACAAATGTCTACAGAGTTTTTCAGTTGGAAGATTATACAAATACGTTCGTTTTTATAGGTAGTATTAAAATAACTTTGAAGATTTTTAAAACATAATTTTTTTCAGGCGAAAATACGGAATCTTATTCGATACCCAATTATATGCAACATGTTTTAATAAATGGGAATGAATATCTTTACATCGAACACATGGAGCAACTCCCAATTTTCGAATACTCTGGTAAATTTTTTGTTTCGACCATCCAATGGATTTGATCCTTGATTGTTTCTTTGCCTTTTAGCCTATTCATTTTTGGGTAAACTTGTGCGTCTGACTGATTATGCCAAATTTGAGGAAATACAAATATTCCCAACTAATGGGACGATATGTTTAACGACAATACGCTTACCAAAATTAGAACAAGAATGTTTGATTTTCGTTGACCAGCAGCGGCTCAAGGTTGATATTCTGTGCGATGAATCTGGGAACCAAAATTACTACTTATTTCAGACGATTTTATTGGAACAAGTAGATAAGGTACGATTAGGTTATTTTAGGCACGGCAACAGATTTGGAGATGTTTTCCTCATTGCTACGATTCTTCGGTCTATTTAATTATTATTATTATAATATTAATTATTATTTAATTATAATAATTTAATTAAATATTTAATTAAACATAAGTTCGGTTTAAAAGTAGTAGGTTATGGAAGCTTGTTTAACCTCTTTAATAACGGGTTAACATTCGAGGATTGCGTGAGAAGAAATGTTGTACTCGATTGTATCAAGAATGTTTCTCATTTCTAGAGTGTTTGTCAATGAAAGCTAGATTGAAGAGTGAAAAGCTACTGTTCACATCTTTTATTTTTCCTTCTTGCTTAATAACATGATTTTTATATATCGAATTTTCTGTATAATAAATGCATAAATGACAATCAAATTTAAATGATCTCCCAATAACATTATTTAGAATCTAAAAATTTTCGGAATATTCTAACTTAACACACTTTTTAATTATCATTTTATTGTCAATAAGCGTCGTTAATTGCTACTCTTTGATCTATCAGTAGAGGAACGGCCAGTTATGGCCAGGATAAAAAAACACTTTTGATAAACCAAACTTATATTTGTGTAACATGGGTGTGTTTCGTTTCAGTATCATATTAAACATAAATGAAAATAAACAATTACGGTTTATTTAAAACAATAAATCATTAAACTACATTTGGTCGATTTTGCCTTCATAGGAAGGTACAACGGCACTCGCATGAAAGCATAATGCATCTCAATATAATATATTTAATCCTTGCATTTCGAAAATGAAAACCGCTTCTTCGTAACAATTATTTAATAATAATAATTTAATTAAATCATTAATTGAAAATAAGTTCGTTTTAAAAGTAGTAGATTATTGAAGCTTGTTTAACCTCTTTAATAACGGGCTAACATTCGAGGAGGCTGTAAGAAGAAATGTTGTACTTGATTGTATTAAACTGGTAAGAAATGTTTCTCATTTCGAGAGTGTTTGTCAATGAAAGTTAGATTAAATAGTGATAAGCTACTCTTCACATCTTTTATTGTTCCTTCTGGCTTAATAACATGTTTTTGATATATTGAATATGTTCTGTTATAAATCAGGTTTGCAGATCAAAGAATGTCAATTTTTGCTTAATTATTATCGAATGTTCCTGTAATATTTAAAAAAATCAGTCAGTTGTGTCGAGAATTACTAATACATATACTTAACATAAGAAATCGGTGTTTATGTACTCAGCTGTGGACATGATGCACTTTGGTTACTGTCGCATTGCATTTTCTGTATAATATCCTGCATAAATAACAATCAAATTTAAATGATCTCGCAATAACATTATTTAGAATGTAAACATATTCCAATATTCTAATTTAACACACTTTTTAATTATTATTTTATTGCAAATAATAGTCGTTAATTGCTATTCTTTTATCTCTCAGTAGAGGAAGGCAAGGCAAAATGGTACCCTTAAAGTTATGGCCAGGATAAAAAAAAACACTTTTGTGTAACATCTTTCGTTTCAGTATCATATTAGACGTAAATGGAAACAATTACAATTACGGTTTATTTTTAAATTAAATTTAAAACAATAAATCATTAAACTACATTTGGTCCATTTTGCCTTCATAGGAAGGTGCAACGGTACCCGCATGAAGGTATAATTGATCTCAAACAAAGCATTTAATCCTTGCATGATTGGCAAATAAAAACCGCTTCCACGTATTTCAGCTTCAGCGCCAGCACACAAACAGCGAGCCCAACGTTTACACTTGGGACACTGGATCCAACTTTAGTGACAATACAGACACTCTGCGTCTTCTTCTTCACTTGAAGAGTACTCGTTTTTGTCGGAAAACTTCTTCTTTTTTCTATTTTTATCATATTGAACAACAAGGATGGTTTCTTAGGCTTCAAATGACTCATCAGAATATCTGCTTCCATCGTTGTCTGGTCCAGGTTGTAAAGTGAAAAGAAACCCCATTAAACCCTGCAGCCCTTGCGAAAACTAAGATCGAGATTTCGTCTTAAAAAATTATCAAACCAATATCTACCGGTCATCCTGCTTGGTTCATTGATTCTTCGGACCATTTTGGCCTCTTGATCTTTCTTTCATATCTAAAAATATTAAAAGCCTTCTTTAAAAGAAGTTGTTTAGGCAAAACGGACCGGGAACGCAAAATGGTCCAAATGGTTCATTTCGCTATATTCTAGAAACACTGCCGATCTCGAAATTATGTTGACATAGAACATCAAAATGTATGTATAGTTTGAAGCCTTAAAGGCTGTAATAGTATCTACGCACTTTATTATAGAAGAAAAAAGTGCAGGCATTCAAATATTGTTTAATTTGTATATTAAATTCCACCAAATATAGCTTACCTTGTCAAAATTTCTTAAGTCATTCTCTTCCGCTTGTGGCTAACTGCAAGAAACTTGTTCCGTTCAGCAAAATTTCATGTTAACAACTTTGGTACAAATGGTACAAATAGTATTTAAAAGATTTTAACGGACCCTTTTACTTGCAGGGTCCTAAAATTCCTATACTATATTTGTTAATCAGCTCTTTTTCTACAAAAATTCCTATGCTTAATTAAAACATTTCGCGAAAATATCTCTAGAATTAAAAAATTGATACTATTTAGTTAGACAGTACTTGAATTTGGCGTAAAACCAATTATTTAATTTTGTTTAGGTTTCGTCGGTTGTCGTCTACGATACAGCATACATTATCGCTTCCTGCGGTGCTACTAACGCACAAGAAGGTGGTTTGAAAATATTTGCAATGGGAAAACTGGACCAAAGATTCCAGTTGGTTCAGTCAATTTTTGACGGAGCCGAGGCTGTTGGCGTGGATGCTACATTCTTTGGAGATCAAGCTTTGATGGGAGTGGCCTTTCGCTCCCATGAATCGGCCGTTAATTTAGGAAGACTCTCAATTCGAAGGTACGGTGTGTTTCGAATCATCTTTTGTAAAGATGTAGAAAATACTGAAATCGATTTATCCATTTAATCTGGTGATAGAAAAGTGAGACAAATTTTGCAATAGGCTAGTAATGGGGATTCTTGTCTCCCTCTTGCTTAATTATGCCTATATATAAATGGCAGAATGAGGTGTGAGTTATTGGTCTTTGTTGGATTATTTTGTTTTCCTGTATAATTCTAAAATCTAAAATCTTTTACACACTGGTTAATCAAACAATAGTTTCTTTCAGTATTTGCAAAAAATAAATGTTATAATAATCTGACTTCTTAAGAAACCGGACAAAAGGCTTACATATTTATATAATTTAAAATTTAAAATATAGACATAAAATGCACAGTTGAATATAAATACGTCACTAATATATTTTATTTCTTGAAAAGGGACAAATCTAAATTATTCTTTTTAAACTTTTGTCACAACTAAGACAATAGGCGAAGAATATCAAAATACTTAATAAATTATTCTAAATCAAGTTAACAGTTTCTTTTGGTATATGAAATTATTTTGTTTATATAATAACTGGGAGCGTTATTATTATTTTTTATCAATATAAAATCAGATGATGTAATAAGTAGTAGGTGTAAATTGTTTATTTACCCACCAAATTGAACCTTCTCTTTCAAAAACTGTAGGTAAAATAGTTAAAATGTACACTCACCTCAGTTCAACAAAGAATCAATGATTTACCCTAAAACGAACTGCGTCACTGCTTCAGAATAACGAATTGTTTTAGACTGGATGAACATCAAAATCAGTTTGTTCCATGGCAATATTTTCCTATGACATCTCCCCTGGCGGTTAATTTCTTAAAACCTATTAAGAACGAACCACCACTTTTAATTGTACCATCTTTGGATGCCAATGTGCCACTGCTTGGTATAAGGTACGGAGGTTTGTCAGGATTTCAAGAAAGCTTTAGAAGTCCAGGATTACCTGCCGGTCTGTTGTTTCGGAAAGTAGGAGATAAATTCATCTTGACTTTAAATCGGGAGAACGGCGATGTTACCGTAATGATGGCTGTGTTTGGTGGCAGGAGAATTACCTGATAAATTTATTTTATTTGTGTTTGTTTTGTTATTTGTCTTTATTGTTGTGAGAATAAATTTAATTCGAAGCGTTGTTGTTGATTCTTTACATCCCATTTTGACAAAACGAAACTCTCCAATTAAACACTCTTTTACCTGAGAGACGAGGGGTTGTACAATTTTCTTTTCTGTGACTACGTATTTTATGTTATAATAATACTAATAATAAAAACGTTTATTGCTAACAGCATGAAAACTTGTAATAGATATACATAAGTGTAAGTAAATTATGATATCATGCAGCAAAACGCATGAAACAAATCGCAGCCATCTAGCTAAAGCCCAGATACTGTTAAAGCCTCGTTTGAAAAGAACAATCATTGTTACAGATAGCAAAGAAAAGGCCTTATAGAGTAGGTAAAAACAATCTATATGAAAAAGGGAAGGAAAGTTAACTAGTTAGGCAATATAGTAAGAATATGATCCTTTAAATACTTCTTTCTGTGCTGAGGTATAGTCAACAATCCCCTATTACGCAAATTATGTGCTCTAAAGGATATTTTATTAAACAGATAGCGAGGTGACTTATTTTTAATGATTCTATCTATCTGCATGTTGAGTCAAGCGGAGAAAATTTTAAAATCTTTGGCATGAGTTTTGAAGTTTATTTGCAATACAAGGGCTGTAAACACTAGAATAGTGGTTCAGCTGAGGCAACGCCATAGAGTTGGAAAGAAGCCTCTTAGTCTCTTGTGATAAGTAATATCTATAAGAATAAATTAGTTTTAAAATTCTGACGGAAACGAAATTTAGAATACAAAAATAAACTCAGGCTTTTACTAGAATCATAAAATTGCAGTGGAGAATCATAGAGCTGATTTTTTGAGCTTTTAACTTGAACATCGTTTTCGAAAATTGCAGCAGCTGATTTAGTAGATGATCCGTAGCAATATTATGTAAGCTATTTAAATCAGAATTTATATGTTTATTATTTTGCCGAATGTTACTGTGATTGAAAGTATAGTTGGATGTCGTCAGATGATAAGCAAGGTGATTTAGCGACCAGTGAGACTAAGAAGTAATAATAGTAAACAAAAGAGGACCCAAGATGCTGCTATATTATAACTTGCGGTGTTCTATTAGATAGATAGGATTTTAAGAGGTTTTGTAGATTAAGATTTAACGAAAGGAATTTTAAAATAGCAAACATAAGCTCAGCATGTCAAATGCCTGACAAAAATGTAGCAACACTATATCAGCAGCTCTGAATAAATCGTCCGTCAAATCGGCCAGAAAAATCTTGATTGTTTCTCTGCTGGTATTTTGTTTGAGCTGGCATGGTGTCTCAACTGCCGCTCTACTACTGTTTCTAAGACTTTTGAGAAAGTAGAAAGAATGCTCATCGAACAAATATGACTGATTCTTAGTTTTTGGAGATCGGATATCATCTGCATGTTTCCAGGCCAGTGGGAAATAAGAATGGTATATGTGTGGTGTACGGGACAACAATAGGGCAACATAACAAAACGAGCGTTATGTTAATCATATCGCTGCCTAATGCTTTAGGTTTTTATGTTTCTCGGTATACTGAAGACATCCTCCTCTCCGACCAGTTCAAAATCAAAACCCTTTGATATATTTTCAAATACTTTATTATTATAATAATTCAGAAGTTCGGCTTTAGCAGTGGCGTTCTAGAAGTTAGAGGTAACAAATTAAACATTTGGTGCATTCACACCCTTTAAGTTTTCAGGAATAACCCCTTTTTGTATTTTTAGTAAGACTAAGCTTTTTAAGTTCACTTCATTTTTCTTATATGCTACAATTTTGAAATTTATTTTTTAGATATGCTTTTTTCCTTGCAACTGTCTGTAATATTCGTAGTTAGTTTAAATAATTTTTGAGCTTTTTTTCTCAGTTTTTGCATATATTTTATGTTGTCAGGTATTCATGGAGCGTATTTATGTTATTTTGATTATTACTGCAATAGTACTAACGCGCCTTAAAAGAGGGGAGCACGCCCGTTGTCCAATAAAAGGAATACCTACTTGCTTGTAGCGTTGTATAGGCGGGTTGTTGGTAACAGGCGCTGATGTGCCAGTAAAATAACGTTGTTCATTTGGCAAATCAAAGGATTCGCTCAGCGTTGCAATTAACAAATCAGTGATCAGTGATACTGACCAAATAAAAGTTCATACAAAGGTAAACAAACTATAAAGTAATTAATTAATAATAATATAATATTTAATAATCCATATTTATTTATTTATCCCTGAAGATATTGAATTCAGACTGGTCGTAACATCTTAAAACTTACGAGAAAATGAATACAAATATTTCATATCATCACAGACAAAAACACAAAAAACATGTATTTATTTGCTTTAAAAAAATAAATAAAAATCGATCATTTTAGTATTTTACTCTGTCTCTCTGTATCCCGAATATTTAAGCATTTGTTTACCTATGCTAATATGAACTTTTAAAATCCACCTACAAAAAAACTGATACGTCCTGTATTTCACTCAAATCGCACGGCCTGCTGCAGTAGGTAGTATATCTATTTCATACAAAAGAAAACACTTATCACGTACTTAAAGTCATTGAGTGTTGTGCTGATTTGTTAACTATAAATTATCTACTATATCTATTTCAAGTGACTATCAATAACATTTGATAAAAATTGAAACAAAAACACAATAAGTAACAGTAATTGAATTAAAATTATGTCCTCACCAAGGGACTGCAGGTAAATAAAAAACAAAGTAAATCTGCGATTCTATTATTCGATAATTTTTCATTTTAGTTATTTTAAGAAATACCCAGTTGTCGTTTCTTTTTGGCCGCCACAGCAGCAACTAATGCCGCCCCAATGCCGCTACCGTCTTCCGACAGCATGAGTTCATAGGTGTAGCCCGGATCAATCAACTCGTTCATTTTTGCAATCATCAAAGTACGAAAGTGCGGATGGTACTTATACAAGGATCCGTCGATGCCTACGCCGCAAACATTTGCACGTTGACAGTTGTTGAATAGCGACCCAAAAAAAAAACTTACCAACGGTCACTTTTTTAACACCCATCTTGTGTATAAGGGTAACCAAGGCGGTTGAGGCTAAATGGGCCGCTCTTCTAGTCAGACATTGACTTATAAATCTTATATTTATGCAGTCGACGTCTGTGGCATGTTCGAGGCCTTAAGCGAAATCATTATTAAATAATTTGAACGACGGTGAAAATTGGAGAATTAATTTATATTTAGTTCGATCTAAATATTGTGTTCTTGGGTCACTGTTTACAGCACTTATTAAAAAAAGCAGCATTTTTAGTCAATAAAAGAAAAAATATCATATAATACAAATTTATTGTCCTCTATAGGCTCTGTATCTCGATAGTCTTTTTAGTTTACGGGTTTGATCTTATAAAGCCCACACAGGTTAAACACTGATTTTTTTTTCTTATTACGGTCTCCGCTAGTTGCTGTGTTATGTGTTTTTTAAGCGGGAGACTGGAGAAAAGTCATTTGCTAACACATGCATTTATTAGGGGAATATTTTTATTTTGTTTTTGCAGATAAAGTTGTTTTTTTTCGCGCACAGCCCTATAAGATTCCAATTTAAAAAACCGTATATTTCAAAATGAAATAACGATAAGATTTTGGACGAGTAATTTAAAGCGAGTTTTCACGTATATTTTTTAAAAAAACCTGTATATGGATATGAAGAACCATTGAGAGCAGCTTTAGATACGCCCTCGAAATTATATATAACGGTATACTTCAACCAGAAATATAGTGCTTTTACAACCGACTCCGTGCCTTTGCCTACTGTTTATTACTAAACTAACCAAAACCGCAGCCTCTTATAGAACACCTTGCCGAGCAGACCAGTACCCGTAACCATTCCAGGACCGTCCTAGGAATTTATCTAGCTACACTAACAAGCGGGATATAATGATGTTTTCAATCTTTTTAGCTCAGCAATTCTTGAAGCATCTACATAAAAAATGACTACAAAGTAACAATTTATTACGTTCCATTTCATTACATTTCTACATGCTATCATTATTAATATATAAAATATGAAATATTATAATAAAGTATGTCACCTAAAAAATCGTCACTATCGCTACTGACGTCACCTAGTTCAATGATTAACTCCGCCACTAATCGTTCTCGATAAATATTTTCTTCTTTTATTACTCGTTTTTTACAGTTAGACCAGCTTTGTACTAATATTTTAGCTACTTCTTGCCGAATTACGTTTATGGTACTATTACTAGAAGTTGTTTTTTTTGTGTAGCTCTACTCAAAATATAAATCATTTTCGTACAGAAATTCTTTAATTTCTTCTTTATTTGAAGAAGCATTTGGATTTTTTCTGATTTGGGTTAAATGATATGAGGCACTATCCAAGACAATAACAGAATTTGACGATAGTTTTAGCAAGTTTATTTTCACACCAGTCCTCAAATATTTCCTCGATCATGTTTTCATGGCAATCCACACTTGAATCTTTGACGTTTTTGGCACACAAAAATAAGGCATCTTCCATCCAACCATTTTTGGACCCAGCATGAAGAATTACAATTTACTTCGGAACTTTGGACATGTCACTTGATGTTATTAATACTTCGACTCCTCCTTCTCAATTTCTTATAAAATTGTAAACAATCAAAACAATTTGTTTAGCATCCGAAGACAAATGGATCCGTTTTTATTTATTTGCTGAGGTAGTTTTTCTTCTAAATTGTCATTAGGTTCGACTATGATCGCCACTTCGTCTTCATATCCTGCGTTGTTTTCCATGCCTTCTTCTAACGGGGCAACATCCGCTTCATTCCACGGTTGCCACATTATAAAGTGTTCAAAAAATGTTTAATTGTAAGATTGTAACAAATATTTATCTGTATTCTTATGACGTACCTTTATCCACCTCAACTATAATCTATAGTCTTAAAACGACTATTGTTTACAAATCGAGAACTATGAAAAGACAAAAATTATTATTTTCAAACTTACCTGTAAGATAAATAGAGTACACGTTCTTACCCTCATCCTTTGACCTATCCAGTGGAGCTAACCTCGTAGGGTCAAAGCTCGAGAATCAGGTATATAAATCCGTACTTACTGGAAGGATCACAGTCAAATACCTCCCTAATATATACGAACATATTGCAATTTAGATTAAACTCTTAAGAACGATACATGTTAAAATAAACGTTTCTACTTATTTGAAAATATCTCGAAGAATCAATACGTAATCAAATTTAAAACGGTCCATTTACGTTTCAAATAAGAAGTTCAAGTTTCAACAAATATTCTTAACAGTCCACCTCACTCAAGACCGATTTAATGCAGAATAAACATTTGGTGGAATAGGTTTTACCATGGTCCTGCGAAAGTCTGCGGTTAAGGTATTGTAAAATATTTAAAACGTCAAAGCAATAAATGCACTATATTTTTGGTCGTGCGCGGTACATACCCAACTGATGTAGAATGTCTCTTTGCAGCTTAAAGGAGCCCGGTTGGTCTTTTTCAATTTCAGAAAGGTTGCTTGTCGGAAAACTGTCCCTGTTAAATTATCTATATTTTTCATCTGGACTACTTAAAAAAAACATCTTAAAAATTAATACTTGCGATAGACTAAGCAAGTTACTCTTAAAACTGCGAATATTTTAAAATTTTAAAATAATATTCATGAGCGTTGGGGGAGATTCGCAAAGACATTATATAATAATTTTATCTATAATTTAATTGAGAATGTAATGGAAGTTACGGGTTGCGAGCAAAACGTCGAAAAACGTCCTGAGGTCACTTTTGAGGAGCTCTTCGACTCTGAATTTGGGTTTTTACTAAAAAGTCTTATGATAAGTTGTCAATGTTAAGCACTTAAATACAACTAACCAACGTGCAAATTTTGTAAATTTCAGAAAACTAATCTCACATATAATAAAAATTTGTTCCATACAAGATATTTTATTGATGTTTACTGTTTCATGCGGCTATTACAAGTAACTTTCAGTTTTACGAGGTCATTTTCCGTAATTTTTTGAACTTAATTTTATTATTAAGTATCTAAGAATTAGGATTCTCAAAGAAATTTTTGTCGAAACGGAAATATACTTTCGAATTCATTATATTTCAATAGAAACGACAAAGGCTTAGAGAGACGAAGAATAATTATAAGTAATTATTGACTTTCCAGTCACGCACGAATTTTATTCAAATGAATAAGGAGTGCAAAATAAAAATATGTTCCAATTCGGGTAGATTTTTTTCCTAGCTATAGAGTTTTAAAGATCAATTCAATGTTAATTGACCGAAATAATTCCAAAAATGCAATGAAATTTATATTTATTTATATTTTGCGTTATGTCGCCATCACGTCGTTCTGGGATCTAACTGGAGTGGATATTTTTATTCCTTGAAGAGGGTTATTGGTAAATTGGACATTATAAACAAATAATAATTTATTATAAAATACATTTTGTTCGAATTTGACTAGTCAATTAAGAAGTGGTCAGTTGACCAGTCCCAATACTATTTATTAGTACACAATATTTATAGTAATAAATATAGTAAATCGGGGAAATTTACACTTATTAATCTTGCAGGAAGAGAGAGGGATTTCCGATAAAATACATGGCTATCCATGGCAATCATCAATCAATCTTTGATTTGATTTGAATTGCCTAGTTTTCGTGTCTGCGTTAGATTATATTTTACTTAATTGCATAACACTTAATTGATGCACAACTCCAGAAAAAGCTTACCAAAAACATTTATACTTACTGCGTTTCAAAAATAGGAGAAGTCTTTCCTCCAAGTATTAGCCCCTGCTGTGCGAATTTCAAGATGTAGCGTCTTGCCAGTTCGCCTAAATACATACCAGATATCATCTTCTCGTGTAGTTGTCTCCCCTGATTGGGATACTCTTTATCAATTACTCTATCCAGTTCAGTTCTTATAAAGTCTAATGCGCCATCGTCTCCGAATGCTCCGCATTCCAGATTTATGACGACATCACCGGAGCCCATATCCGGTTCATCGAATAATTCAGCGTTCGCCTGTTTTTCTATATAGCACGCATTGTTACCGGTTCCGACAATCATGCCTATCCTGGTATCTCGGTTCTTAAATGCGCACGACATAAGGGTTCCAGTGGTATCGTTTAAAATAGCGCAAACATCAATTTTAAGGTCTCCTCTTTTGTTCACTGCATTAGTTAGCAGTTCTCCGACATCTAGCCCTAGTATGTCTTTACAGTCGAACCCTTTCGTCCAGCGTACGACTATTGCTTTACTAAGGCCTTTTTGACTAGCGGGAAAGCTGAATGTAAATCCCAAAGGCAAATTTTGCTCAGCTACACCTCGCTTTTTAGAAAAAATTGCTAGACATTCCGCTATGTAATCAAATAGGTCATATCCGGAACCAGTGATCAGTTCGTTTGACATAGAAAAGATTTCTGACTCCATTTCACACTTATCGCTGTCAATATTAACCATAAGTACTCGAAAATTGGTACCTCCCAGATCTAACGCCAGGAATTTACCTTTCTCGGTACCGTCTGGCAAGTCTTGCACGTACGTCGGATAACACTTAACAATTGATGTTGGGTGGGTGTCTTTCTTAAGACCTCGTTCGATGTTTTGTAGAAACAACGTCGAAATTTTTTTAAGAGTATTATTGTCCAACATTAAGTCCTTCATGGCTTCATGAATTTCTGAGTTGACTTGACGGTCAATCCAGTCCTTGGTGCTAAACGATTGGGGATTGCCTGGGATGGGATTAGATCCAGCTTTTGGATTGCACGTTCGGCTAGGGCAGTTAGACATGATGCAAAATCACTAAAAAGATTTAGTTATGAATAATTGGTTACAGGAATTTTTTGATTTTCAATTATTTGACAGGAGTCAGTTATTTGACTAGTGAAATAATTGCAGTACCAGTTATTTTTAAGACATCTCTTCTTCAAAGCGTTGCCGATTCAGTGCTTATCACCAATAAATCAGGACATGGTTATGTATCGTTTATCCTGATAATATTCTGAGGTATTGCAAGGATCGAGGTCCACCTTTTCTAATTTATTTGTAATTACCTAGGGTAAATGTAGGTAATGCTTCAATTATTTATTCCTCTGTTCTTTTACTGGCTTAACTATCGATTGAGAGCAAATTTAATCACTTTGGTTTATTAATTAGGCTACAATAAAAGAAATAAAAAAAATACGTTTGGCAATACGCAATGAGGTTCTGCCGAATTTTTTAAACTTTCTCACTACTGACCTTCTGTGGCTTGCTTTTCTTTCCTGTTCCTGTTCCTTTTCCTTGCTTTTTCGCAGCTTTGGTCTTCTTTTTATTTTCCTTTTCAACTAGATGGTCCTTGATCAATGTAGATGTTAAAATCGGAGCGTGCTGTTTTTTTCTTCCTTGTCTTGTCTTGACAGCATTTACATTCTTAGGCAAATGAATGAAATTTTGAACACCTGGCAGATCCTTAGATGTTGATGTTATGTCAAATCTAAGCAACAATGCAGTAGCTTATTCAGAAGTACTGGGACGGAATGTATTTGGAATATTTTGTTATAACCCAATAGGAGCTGTTACAGATGATGCGGAGACAATAGCACCAGCAGACGTCAATTCTGAAATAGAGTCAGCATAATCTTGAACAATAATTGGCTCGGATTGTTGGATTTCTGCTGTTATAAAATCTTCATCGGAAAAAATATTGGGATTCATAGGAAATATGTCCGTTGCTTTGAATCCAGTTTCGCCTTACTAATGGATGCAACATTAGAGAATGCTGTTTTTATTAGCGAAGCAATATCATAGGGTGTTATTCTTTGTGAAAATTGTCTCTTCGTGAATAAATCGCATTATTTTCTATATGCAGCTTTGATTGAACCAAAAAATGCCACATCTAGTGGCTGCATGCGATGGGATGTATCGGGTGGAAGAGATAGCATATGGACATTGTTTTCCTTACAATACTCAAAGGTTGCCAGAGAAATGTGGCTTGCATGATTATCCAAGACTAATAGGATTGGTTCCTTTGCAGAAGGTTTGGCATAGTCGGTGAAGTGCTTGAGGCATTGAAGGAAAAGTTTTTCTTTATTCTATCTGTCATCTGAACATATTGCATTTTGGACCATCCTTTTCTGGAGAAAATAAACATTTGCGGATTATATTATGTATTATATTCTTACCCCTATTCCAACTAGTTATGGACCTTACTTTTTTTTGTCCCGTTGCAGCTAATATTTTTCTAGGATCTTGGACGGTGTAGATGCCGGTTTCGTCAAAATTATATATGTTTTTCGGTAAAAATTTGTATTTTCCAGCAGCTCGTAAAATCGTTGTACTTCAGTCTTATTGAAGGCTGCAACCCTATTAATGCTGGTAGCTTCGGGCTTCCGCACAGAAATATCATTTCTGGTAATAAATCCCTCAAATAAAATTCAACCAGCCAATCTGGAACTCGCAATAAAACTATGTTTCAGATTGTGTATTTGGGGTGCGCCCATAGAATATGTTGGCCATTTTCTTGATTGTGACCGCTAACTCTTTTTCCATCTCAGGATTGAAAACGGTATTACGGCCCAGACGAGGTGCCTTAAACGATTTTTTTTATCCCTTGTGAAGACTGGCAAATGAAATATTCATGGTCTTCGCGGCTTTTCTTATAGAATAATTCTGTTCATTAATAAGTTTTATAACCTTTTCCAAGTCGTTTGTGGTCCAGTTAGCTTTATTAGTGAATTTTTCGAAAACATCTGCGCTCGTATAAACATTTCATATCTCGGTAACGATAGGTCCTATGGAATCGCCGTTGCTACAGAAATGATCACCGTCAAAATTTTTTTTGTCTGTCCGTTTTCCGTTCTCCGTTTTCGTCTTTTGGTTTTTCCTGAATAACTTTCGAATCGTTGAAGCTACAAAATTGAAATTTGCCTCCTTTTTAACCCTCCACGTTGCACATAAGCTTGTAAGATATGGTCCTGATCGAAGGAAGGTATCCATCTTTTTTTGCGATTTTCGGCTGTTTTTTGGACCTTGCTCTGAAACACGATAAGTGTCCCAAATTTGAAGCAATCGACTTCATATATGTAGCTTTGTCCCGTGACGGAACCTATTGGGGGTCAGGGAGTATTCTAAAAAAATAAAAAATCGCGTGTGCAAGGCTCTACAAAAAACATTTTTCAAAAACTGTTTACGAGACCAAAAAAATTCTTGAACCAGAAGAAGCAGGCTCTATAAACTTTTATTCTCGACAATTTTTCAAAAATATACAGGGTGCGCCGCAAATTCAAAAAAACTGAAAAATGGGTCCCCCTATTATTGAAAATTGGTTCTAACTGAAAGATTATGATTCAGATCTCACTTACTTTTATATTGCGACATAGCCCGCATAGACAGCAAAAATTTATTTTAGGTTTTCACCTATTATACACGGTGTTCCCGATATTCCGTGCTAAATGAGAAATGTGTTAAGTGTCCTAAATTTGCAGACATCAACTTGAAATTTAGCAGAGAAGTAAAAGTTCGTGTCCATATTTAAACAGTAGAAATTGGGAGCAATCAAATTTTACCAAGTATTTTTTAAGAATGTTTGAACATTTTGTTTTGGTAATTTTACATTCGACAACGCATATTGTTTGTGCAAATTTTAATATTTATCGATATTTGCAGTAACTTTGAATTTCGACGAGATTTGAAAGACATTTTATACAGGGTGCATGCAGAATTTAATCACATCGATTTTGCGAAAGTCCCTCTTTGACAAGAAACCGCGAAGCGGCTTCTCTTTTAAATAAATAGCTGCTCCGCGCTACTCGCTACGAACTTGCCTCGCTCAGCGACGATTTTTCGATAGCAATCTTGTTACACCTAGACTACTTTTTTCAACAGCTGAGTACAAAAATCGCTTCTTTTTGACATTTTTGGTTTGTTTAAACCGCTCCCGCTTTTTCGTCTTTCAAAGTCTAAGTAAAATTTTCGTTAAAAAGATGTCCGCCAAATAACAAACCAAAGTTGCATTGCATTCACCAAAAATTGTGAAATGCAGGGAAACCTAAAATAAACTAAGTTAATTATGAAATAATATAAAATTAAACTGAAGTTAGTGGAACATGAACGACAAATCTTGTCTCTTTTCTCTTGAGTTTACTAGTCGCCTTTGAGAGATAGACTATGGGATATTGTTCAATTAACAAACAACGATTAGAGAGTAGGATACTTTGAAAATTTCGGTTCTGCTGGTCTTGATAAATTTTTCAAAAAGTGAAGTTTTAGCACTCCATATTATAATAAAACATCAAATTAATATTTTTAATGTTGTAGGAAAATGTAGGGCGGTAACTACGTCTTGTGTCGCCCGGTGAATGGTGATCAGTGGTTGGGTTACGAGAAGACTATGAAATGTTTTAAGTTTAGTCCTAGAGGAAGCCAGTGAAAATTGTAGAATCTCATTGTTATATAAGAATACAATTATATATGCAAAAATTATATGTTTTTTTAGCAGTTTCGGTTTTTCAACAGGCTGGTTCCAAGAAAAATTCAAAGTTCACTGCTTTAGAACATGTGTATTCGAGAAACGTTGAACATGAAATTCCAAAATGGTTCAATATCGCAAACAATATTTTGATTGTATTACCAAATGTATGCAATGTTTTTTAGATAACATTTTCTCGATGTGTTATCAGAAATCTTTTTGATGTTCAAGTGGTGGTTGCCTGATATATATGGAATCACATTTTCGAAACTCCCAGTTTCTATTGCATGCATAGAATGTTAAGGTAGCGTTTCTAAACCTTTTCTTGATTCCTCTATTTATTTATAATTTTTTTTATTCAGACAATTAGCTTTTATCGCAGCCTGCTGGGCTGTAGCTCTCGGATTTAAAGAAAACAATAAGGATTTACCGTATCCAAAAAATTGTTCAACTGTCGATTATTGCTCGTAAGTACTCTAACTACTACGCCTTTGGGTGTGATATCTAAAATAATTTATTTAATTTTATAGAAATTTGAGGAGTAAAATCCCGAGTCAAAGTGAAATTTACGCAGCACAGTTTGTCGGAATTGCAAATAAAGGGGTGAAGTTTTCCTTGAAGAACGGCGAAAACGAGTTGATGTTAGAAATATATAGCCTAAACAAAAACCGATTTCGCTTTATTATAGAAGAGCCGGATTCTCACAGATATAAGTTGGAACATTCGTTAGTTCGTGAACCGACAGTAAGAGGGTGAGAAAGTTATAAATTCTATAACTGTAACTTCACTTCATGTCTGTAAAATACCTGTAAAAGATTTTCTTTCATTTGAAATAAGAGAGAGAAATTTTCATAGTAGGCTATATGTAGGAAAACTTCTATCAATGAGAAATCCCCTATATATCTTAATTATTGCCTAGGTTTGATGAGGTAGAAGGATTTGACGATCATACCATTGCTACAGATACGGATGGAAACTCGGTTCGGGTAAATTATTCACCCTTTGAGATAAAATTTTATTCTGGCAAAACACTAGTGACAAAGTTCGATGGAGAGCGACTCATTATGGATAACGTAAGTAGGAAAGAGTCTTAGTGCTGAAAGCATATCAGCTTCTTAACTTGATAGTAATAATCGGTTAGTAAAAATATTTCGAGCTTGTTGAGAATCATACATCAAATATCCAGTATATAAAATGCTAATACGGAATTATTATTGTTACTTTTTTAAATCATCTAAAGTGGTTCGAGTTGGTTTCTGTCCGTCCCAAATAACAATTAGATTTACTATTTACACTCCGTTAATGGTTTCACTTTACTGAGCGACTACGAAGCAGTGTTTCGTTTTTGTATATCGCAGCGCTTTTCTATAATAGGGGTCGGATTTTAACGTCGTTTTTCGACAGGCGGCTCCGATCGCCGCGTATAATTTGTCTCGTCTTAGCTTTTGACGACAATTATCGAAATAGCCTGCCAGGACTGGGAACTATAAAGATTAAATATTTTATGTTTATTTAGATATAATAAAATTACATTAGTACCAATGGAAAATACGATGACACTAAATATATGCACGTTTTTATTCAAACTCTAAATCTGTTTCACTCTCAGGGTCACGGTCACCATTAAGATTAATTTAAAATAAGCCCGGACTTAAAATAGGAGCAACATTTTCCGCTCTTACATTTGATTTTGTTTGGTGCCACAAATTTTCTATGCAGTGATTTGGAGGAAGATGTAAAACAGCTAAATTATACACATTTTCATTATCATACATTTTCTTATTTGGAGGTGCTTTGGACTGACAGGTTTTACTGGAATTAACCCGACCCTTGGGGAGCGTATCGTGTGGCAAAGTAGGTAAATTCCAAATCTGTTTTCCTGCCAAGTGCCTCATTTGTGCGATTCCATTACCATTTTGGTTTTGTATTTAAATCCCATTTTACAATAATTCGCAAGGGTATTGGCGCTTTTGTAAGTATCCAGGTTTCTTTTAAATCTTCTTGATTAATTAATATTACTTTTGTTTGCTGTTTGAATTTGTTTTTCCTCTATTTACAAGTAATTTCGACTCATAGTAAAATGTGTTATTCAACACGGTCACTGATATCAGCCGACATGTGGTCGACATCTACCTGACTCACCTCGGTCTTGTCCCTTGCCTATTAATAAATTATTAGTTTTCGGGTTTACCCAGTAACTATAGGTATGAGGTCCTGATTACTTTTTGGGGAGGGTCCGTCAAATACCAAGACTATATACTTTCAGCCAAACTTGTTAATGTATAACAAATATGCCTATATAAGGATTTATTTTAGACTAAACAAAGTCAAGCTTTCGCCTTCTACGCCACCTTTCCACAGGCTAGTAAATTCGTAGGGTTACATGAACATGGAGATATTCTAGCGTTACGGCATACTTCGGATCAGAGTACCGACCCTTATAGATTAAAAAATACAGATTTTGGAGATGAAGAATATCACGTAAATACCACGGAAGCTATGTACGGCTCAGTGCCGTTGCTCTATGCTCTTGGGTGAGTCCATCTTGTTATTCACCTCTAGAAAATTGTGCAGGAATTTCCTAATGGAATAATGGAATAAACTATTTACTTAACGGTACTGATTTTTCATTAGAAAAGAATTTACGCCAGCCCTATTTTTACACAATGCTGCTGAAATGTACGTGGATATTGATAATCACAAGCTCGCGACATACTTTATGGTAGAAGGAGGTACCATGGATGTATTTGTTCTTCTTGGTCCCAAAATACGGGATAGCCTCCAACAATATATGGATTTAACTGGAACCTCCCAGCTACCACAGGTAAGCAACTATGTTGTTTGAATGTATTTAAAGATGGAAAAAATATAATTGCAGCTGCAAAAGGTAATTAGAAAAGTGCTAGAGGAAAGTCTGTTTAGAACCGAAATTATTTTTCAAATTCAAAGCATAATATTAAAAATAACAAACATATTAACAACATGAAAGCAGAATTCTCTATTACAAAGATTTATTTGAAGGCATAAGTACGTAATTCAACAGCATGGTTAAGGGATTAACTCGGAGATAAACTATAATTAGAAAGTTTTTATTTTATATTTATAGAGGCAAAAGTCGATTTTTAAACGCCTATTGTGAATTTGCTTATGAAAGCTTTTTCTTATATTTTTATGTCAGTAAATAAAGTTTATATATATATATATATATATATATATATATATATATATATATATATATATATATATATATATATATATATATATATATATATATATATATATATATATATATATATATATATATATATATATATATATATATATATATATATATATATATATATAGTTGAAAAATATGCTTTTCTTGGATCCTTGTATATTTTTTATAGGATGATTCTTAGGGTTTGGTCCACAGTGAAGAAAACTCACAAATAATTTTAAAACACTGTAATTGTCATTGACGTTTCGACCGGCAACCCAGGTCTTTCTCAAAAACTGCAAAACAAAGGACAAAAAAAAAAGCGTCTAACACAGAATATCTTAAACAGTAGACATATACGAATTTAAAAATTACAAATATTACAAAAACAAATGACATATATTAGTCATACTCACAAATTTATTATTATTTTTTTAAATGTTTGTGAAAAAGTACCACAACATACATCATTGCCAAAAACAATAACGTTGTTGTTTTGGCGTACGAATCACAAATAGAAGTGGAAAATAAACATTCATTGTATCTGAATGTCTTTTTTTTTCCCTCTTAGTTTATATTTAGTTATTTTTTTAGAGTGTACGTTTGTGTTAAGTTTAAGATCTACTGATACGCAGTGAAGCATCTGAGCATTAAAATGGTTTACTTTAACTCATATCACACAAAGATAAAATTTACCATAGAATATGAAAAAGATGACAAAATTAACTTCTTAGACATGACACTAATACGCAAGGAAAACAAAATCAGAACGATGTGGTACACAAAAGATACATGGTCTGGACGATACCTTAATTTTCACTCCCAACACCCAATATCACAAAAAAAGACTGTTATTATCGGGTTGGCTGACAGAGCTATAAATCTATCTGATCCAGAGTACAGAAAAGAAGCTTTATATAAGGCTAAGTCACACTAAAACTAAACAATTACCCAAGTGCCTTAATTAACTCTATTTTTAAAAGAAGGATACATAAATTCTACAACAAGATTTCTGTTAAGGAAAACACACAACCATCAAAACGAGAATATTGTTCGTTGCCATACATACCAAATTTATCGGAAAAAAAATCGAATGTGTTTAAGGGAAGCTCTGTAAGAATCTGCCACAAGGGTCAAAATTTGTTAAATAGGAATTTCAGTAAACTAAAAACACCAATACCCAAAGATAAAAAAAGTCACATTGTATATCAAATACCATGCAACGACTGTGACCAAGTGTACATTGGACAGACTAGCCAACTGTTGAAGAACCGCATCAATGGTCATAAGTACGACAAAAAAAACAAAACCGCCATCAGCAGCCATATAACGGGGAAAACACATACCTTTAACTTCGATGACACAAAAATACTTGCTACCGAACCAAACACACAAAAAAGGGAAATAATTGAGATGATACATATTCAAAGGAATAAAAACGCCATAAACGCGAAAACCGACATAAAACACCTGAGTGAAATCTATTTCGAATTGTTAAAGTAGACCATTTTAATGCTCAGATGCTTCAATGCGTATCAGTAGATCTTAAACTTAACACAAACGTACACTCTAAAAAAATAAATAAATAAAAACTAAGAGGGAAAAAAAGACATCAGATACAATGAATGTTTATTTTCCACTTCTATTTGTGATTCGTACGCCAAAACAAGAACGTTATTGTTTTTGGCAATGATGTATGTTGTGGTACTTTTTCACAAACAGCGCTAATAATAGACATTTATATATATATATATATATATATATATATATATATATATATATATATATATATATATATATATATATATATATATATATATATATATATATATATATATATATATATATATATATATATATATATATATATATATATATATATATATATATATATATATATATATATATATATATATATATATATAAATTTTAAAACCTAGTTTCTACAAAATGTTCTAATATTAACCATAGTTACAGTAAGCACTATCTTAAAGTTTGGGTCATTAAAAAATCATTTTTTAAGCTACCGTGCTATGAGTGACGCGATTATGTTTGCTTACCTTGCCACTAGGTGGAGTTTTCTGACAAGCGCAAAAGAATATTGTCAGACAAAAAAAATAATACCACTATATAGTTTTTTATAAGGGCCCAAAAACCGCCAAATAACAAAAACCGTATCTATATATTTTATTATAGAATTTAATGCTCAGAAAAAAATATTATTTTATGAAAATTTTCCATTTTAAGGTTAGATATTTATGTCTAATGATAATTAAAATCAAAATAAGATGTTCATCATTTTTGTTTATTATTTTTTTTCAATACATTCGAAGGACACTAAATTATCCTGTAGCTGACAGTGTCATGTTTTGACTGGTTCAGCAATTTGCAAGTATTCACTTATTCTTCCTTTAATAATTATTATTAGTCAACCACCCGAAACCTATCAGTTGTTGAAGATAAATCAATTTAATTAATTTTTGAATTATTTAAGTAGTGAAATGGGTATGTAAATAATCAAATTTTTTCGTAGTTCTAGGGCACTGAATTACGATGGATTTTGTATAAGAAAATTTTAGTGCAATAAATATTGCAATAAATGTTTAAGAAATTTAAACTAATAAAATCAGCGACAAGAAACAAATAACGACATGAAACATTGGATCGTTTGGTCCATGTAGCTATTAGGTAATGTAGTGACCCTACATTTTTGTAAAAATTGATGCGCCGCAGGCGGCATTGATATTGACACAGAAGGAAATGATTTCTCTCTCTAACCTACACGTTGTCCCATTCGTTTTCTAAACATCCATTTCCATTTCCACACACACTTAACTCGTTTTCCAAAAACATTTAAAGAGATCTAGGCGTATGATGAGGAAATACTGCCTTAAAAATGCCACAACCAAACTTACTGACGATCTGTATTGACCATATTGGTTCTTGAATGCCGCATGGTCGTTGGTTAAAAACGAGATTTTAAATCTAGTGAATGAGCATATTAAATGGACCCTTTCAATTTTTTTTTCAAATTTTCTTTATATATTTTTTCTTTATATCTCTAGTAGCTATATGGTTTTTTTTAAATACCTCAATAGTTAATTAAATTAATAAATCTCCAACAATTAGTGCTTATTTTTTAATTTTTAATGGAAGTGATAATATTAAATATTTGAAAACAGTTAAGCATGTCAAAAATAAGCTACTGGAAAATTTCAATGAATTGTAAAAAAAGAATTAAACATAAATTATAACATTAAACGTTACGATTCTTATATTAATATTTCATATGTTTCCCTAACACCACGGAGGATACGGCAAGTTTTGTTGTAACTGATATTTCATACGCATGTTTTTCTAATGATAAATATGTATGCAGTTTTTTCTCTACCCAACTTTCTTTGTATTGGTTTTCTTCATTGGTCTATGTGATCCTCGCCTTTTTCAATTTCCTCTCGTCCATTACATATGTCTTCTATTCCTGTCGGCTCTCCTAAGTGGACAAAGTAAACTTAGTATTTTTTTAATTTCTTTTTCTAGTTAATTTTAAGACCGAAGATATGTTGCATTTTATGTATAATGTAGGTTAAAACTCTGAGCATTGTTTAGTGAAGTTAAATTTATCTTCATTGTGATAAGACGCCATAAATAAAAGTTGTGGCAGATGAGATTTTTTTCTTATAAAGCGAGCTATAGATTTTGAAACTTTTGTTATTGGGGTCAATTGTTTACTTAGTTTTGGAGATTTAGTTAGCAAACTGCTGCGACGTGGGTGAATGAGACAATCTGTACAATTTTAGCTTTGGGCGTTAGGATATCACCAATGTAGGATTCAATACGGGTCCACGGAGGATGTTAAGGAAACAATTGGGGGTTTCGATTCTGCCAATTTTCCTATGGATACTTTGTGGTTAGTCAGATCGGCTACGTACGACCAAAAATGGTTTACTTGGGATTTTGAGGATTTTGCCGATCCGGTTGCTTTGCTTGAATGGGTAGATTCCCAAGCTCATAGAAAACTGACCGTTATGGCTGAATGTAGTATTAAGATTGACCCGACTTATTCTTTATACACCGAGGCAGTTGAGAATGGTCTATTCGTGAAAGACATTGATGGCGTTTCCGATTTTATCAATCTATGTTGGGCTGAAAATAGTAGCTGGGTAGATTTCCTAAATCCGGCAGCTCGAGATTTCTATGCCAAACAGCACCACTACGATAATTTCCCATCCACACCAGCATTAGGAGGTTTCTGGAATGATATGGACGAGCCTACTTTGTTTGACAATTTATACGAAAGAACTTTGCCGTCAATGTCACTGCATTATGGAAACGTTCCCCACCGAGATATCCATAACGCCTACAGTCTGCTTCACGTAAGTACAGTCAATTTCAGATATTTTTTAGTTTCGCTCTTCTGGTGTCTACGTAGTGTCCATTATAATACACAATCTTGTACAGCATTGTTTGCTTGGTGTAGTATTTAAAAAAAGAGTAGGCGGAGATCTTGAGATAACAAAAATTACAGACCTGTAACTCTCTCACCTACAGATGGCAGTTAGTTTTGCGCCGGTTCGGTTAGGTTCTTCTTCTTCTCGTTCCTTCTCCTGACGGAGGTTCGATATTATCATGGCTATCCTAATCTTATTAACAGCTGCTCTGAATAGTTGGTTTGATGTCATTCCAAACCATTTCCTTAAGTTTTGAGCCAAGAGGTTTTTCTTCTCCCTTAATTCCGTCTGGCCTTGATCTTTCCTTTCATAATGGTCTGTAGTATCTCATATTTAGGTCCTCTGATCACATGGACAAAGTATTCCAATTTTCTTCTTTTTAGAGAGTTAATTATTTCCTCCTGTTTCTGGGTCTTCCGTAGCAGTTCCAGATTCGAAACCATGTCAGTCCATGAGATTTTCAACATTCGCCGGTAACACCATCTTCTGACCCGTTACTGTTCTGCGTTAACGGGGTCACCTCGTTTAGGATGTGGTCCATCAGCACGCAGTACGGTCTTGACTGGAGAGAAGCTCAAGGCTTCCATAAGAAAGCTAACATCGCATCATCCAGCCCTGGGTTTTTTGAGGACCAGTGCCCAGCCATCCTGGAACAAAGGTACTACCTCTCCAAATACCGTTAACCTTTGGGTTAGTTTAGGAGTCTGTAATTTGTTTTTTTAGTTGGAAATCTGTAATTTTTGTTACCTCAAAATTTCCCCGGTTTTTTTGTTGCTTATTTTAGGACCTATTTTTCGATAAACTTAAAAAACTTAACAAATACTCAATGCACAACTTCACGAACATAGAAACTGATATAACAATCCCTTTGATGAGACTGATATAGTTTATGGACAGGATGGCATCATAACCAAAAGCATCAGACGAATTTTATTGCACGGATTCTACCATAGCCATTTCCTTAATAGAGTATAGCAACTTACCAAGGTCTATTGGAGCGTGATAATGGACGGTATAGGCCGTTCATACTAACCCGCGCAGTTTTCGCCGGAAGTCAAAGATATGCCGCCAAATGGAGTGGAGACAACTGGGGTTTGTACTTACACCTCCGTTACAGTGTTCCGATGACATTAACCGCTAATCTTGCCGGCATCGTGTTTTATGGAGCAGACATACCTGGGTTCTACTGGGGAGACGACTATGATGATCAACTAGTTATAAGATGGTACCAAGTAAGTACATCTTTAAGAAAACGAATTTCTATTATGAAACATTGTGTTTAACGTTAAGGCTTATAGACATTGTAGTTTGACGTTCGGTTGCTAAAACTGTTCCACCTAAGAAGGGCGTTGACTTCTATTTGAACTCTATAGTCTAATGACAGTTATATTACAGATAATGTGAAATGTTAGTGAGGATTTGATGCTTTTGTGTTGTCTTGATTAACCTTTAACTCTTTTGTAATTGTAATAAATTCTGTAGTGCAGTTCTTTAATGCAGCATTTGGGCGAATTGAATCTTTTTTTTAAGTTCATAACACGTTGTCTTAATCTAGCTGTTCCTTCAATAATATCCAAATGACTTTTAGTGTTTTTTAACTCTCTAGCTAACCAATAAATGGAATAACACTGAATGTTTAATGTACATGTGCAGTTTTCATGTTCATTGTGTAATGGTACGCAGGAAAATGTATGCCACCAGCATTGTAAACAAACCAAATATTTATGAACAGCACAGTTATTGCACAATTATATTAAAAACTTTATAGAATCAGCTACATACTAGGGGTGGCCTTTTCAATCTATGCAATTTGGATATGGAACCAATAACTTCAATTGACTGCAATTTTGACGTTTTTGAGTCGATTTTACTATTAGATTGCCGTATGGATCCCTTTCTTCCGAGCACATGCAGACAGCGGTGACAGACGAGAACCGTACACTTTTGGCAAGGAAACTCAGGACATTTTGCGTGAGACGTTTAGCTGGCGCTACAGTCACCTGCCTTATTGGTACACCATATTCTACGAGCATACGTTGAATGGAGACCCTCTCACAATACCGATGTTTTACCAGTACCCTGACGAAGAAGCTGGATACGACCTAAACGATCAATTCCTGCTAGGTATGTCACACGTATATTAAATTTTTTCATCAAGAAGCTCGAATAAGTTGTTATATTTTTTATAAATTTTCACATTGAGATAAGTTCTTACAATTAGAAATTTCTTCTAGGATCTGACATCCTAATCGCCTCAGTGTATGAAGCCAATGCGACTGGAGTAGATGTGTATTTCCCAGGAGGCAAGGAGCAATATTGGTATCAAATTGCGGCTAATGTCAGTGCGGTGTATGTGGGCAGCCAAACTAGCAAAGTACCCGTGAATATTAACTTTGTAAGTTAGACCTATCATAATTAATTCAACTCATTAAAGCTGTAGTTCGTATCTATTAAGCAATTAATTTTATTTTTTTTTTACAAACGAACTGTTTCATTTAAAATTTATTATTCTCATACTAAAGTGCATTACAAATTGATTCTAATACAAATAGAATTAGGTGCAATGTCACTCCAATATGTGAAATATGCCTTTGATACCTTGTCCTTTCTAGTTATCCCATTTGGTAGTTTAAGATACAATGACTATTCTCTCTCTATTTTTTTTAGATACCGATATTTTATAGAGGTGGAAGCATCATTGCGAAAAAAGAAATTCCCAGGAAATCAGCAACGGAAATGATAAATGACCCGTTTACAATTCATGTCATTCCAGACCAGGTAATTTACATCATTCTCAGTATTATTAAATCGTTAATTTTAAATTGTATTTAAATAATGCATTTATTTATTTTTTTTGGCTAAATGGATTTCAATCAAGCTATTTATTTTATATTCACTTTTATACTATGTTGTTCAATAAAGGTTTTTATCTCCAATTCCAGAATAAGAAAGCGGAAGGGAACATATTTATAGATGACTACGAAAGTTTCGAGTATATAAATAACAAAAATTATTTATATTTGAAACTTTCTTACGATGGAAGTAATGATCCCAATGTGATTTTTATAAGGTATGATATGTAAAATGTTTGTAGATTTATTTTTAATTGCATTACTAAGTCCTGGTTATCGCACGTTGATAACTATGCTACGCTTTAACTAAGGAATAAATCCTGTAAGTGGGTCGGGTCCAACACGGAGAGGTTTCAGTTAGGGATAAAAGAAAAGAAATAGTGAACAAATTATATGCATTTTTTGGTTTATTGTTTCAGCTTAATTGACAGTGATGTTAACGGAGATGGTTTAAAGTTTATATATTCAGAGATAAAGTTTTACGAAGTTTCGGATGATGGTGAGTGGTCGCTATAATCCTCGATAATTGCTTGAAACTAAATAAAATCTTTTTTTAGGAAAAACATACAAAGTGACCACGCACTCACAATCAAGTTCAGATGAGTCTTTTAGACAAATCGATGTTAATCAATTAAATAAAACTAACGAAAATATGAAATTTAGATAGTAACCATTGTAATTTAGCAGTTTTCGATGTTTCGAGCTTACGTATATTTTTTTGCCAACTCCAAAAATTAACGTTTTAAAATAAAATAACAGCGATCGATGGCCATTTTGATATTTTTTACACTTTATAAGCTCATAATCTTTGTTTAGTCTGCTGTTTAAGTTGCAACTCAAGCAATTGATGAAGTAAATAAATAAAAATATAATAAATAAAAAGCCGTTGCGTTTTTAATACGTTTTATTTCATCAACAGAAAACGTCAAATTGGTTGTGTATGCAACAGATATAAAGAAAAACTGCGAATCGCCCATTTAAATGTCTCTAAATTATGTAATATATCCATCCTTACACATACACGATATTTTATGTGAACCATTATGGAAAACTTAAAAATAGTCCCATCAGGTTTTAAATATGGTGACATTTATAGCACGTAGAAAGCGTGTTTTCGTAGGAATGTTATTTTAAACATAAAAAAGTGTTTTATAGTTTGATATGCAAATATTTAATAACTAATAACCTTCGTTTCAAAAACTGAGTTGCGCTGCTAATTAACAAAAAAAAAATCAATGTACAAACACAAATATGTTGGTGCAATAGAAATACAAGTAAGATTTTTAGTGTCTCCGAAATTTCCAGTTCAATTTGATTTCAGTTCGAGTTATTAGTACATTTTATTATTATTTATATATTATGTACATTTACTCACGTTAAAGTTTATGCCATTGCATTAATATGCTTTGACCCAAATCCAATCCAGTTTAGGCTAGCCCTGCATAAAAGTTTATCCATAAAAATGTACATTTAAAGCTTACAATAAACTATATAAATTGGCACAAAAATATCTTTTGCAGAACAGCTCTAATATAACTTTTAAACACTTAAATATTCTTCTAATTATCACATTGTAATAATTATTATGTCAGTAATAAATGGTTTTGGAGGATGTCTGCTCGAAAGAGTTTACGCTGTGACTGTATGTATTTCCTCAAATTTACCTTACGTTACGTTTATTATATTCAGGATTCATCTTTATATGCAATATAAAACCGTGATGGTCAGCGACAATAGATACAGAAAAAAAACTTTAAAAATAAATAAGAACTAAAAGTTCAGATTTTCAGGAAATTTTATATTTTGACATGACAATTGTTTCGACAACAACGTGTCTTTATCAAAATTTGTCGAAACAATTGTCATGTGAAAATATAAAATGGAAAAAATATAAAAATGGACTTTCATCAAGTAAAAGCAGCCACAGTTCAAAAAGGCTGTATTTAAATATGTCAATATTTTAAGTATCTTTACGATTCTGGAAGCGCCTTGACAAATGACACAGCGTACACTCCATCAAAAAAGGAAAGTAATATTTAATAGAATGAAATGACACAAAAATTCAATAGCCGATATCTTAAATAATTGGGATCCGCTCAGGTAGCACGGTTTCTGAAAAAAGCAGAAAAAACCTGTAATTTCATACATATTTACATAGAGCTATGAAACGTACGTATAGTAAGAGCAGTCGACATAATATTAGCTATTACAGATAAAAACATTGTTTATTTGTCTTTTTTTTATTTTCTACCTAAATTCGAACAACATTATGAGGTTGATTGGATGGTGAAAATGATATGACAGCAAGTGAGATGTAACAATGTGTTTGATCATGCCACCCCCATTCTGATTGACAAAGGTATCCGTTAAAATTAGCTCGGACATATCCGCAAAAAGATTCCCACTTTTAATAAATTGATAGAAAATAATGATGTTAGCTTCTGCTTTTTTTCTGTAAATAGATTATACGTCACACAAAGTTGTGGTTATTATGAAGGATACGATCCAGAAGCACACTTTTCACATTTTTTTGAGATATATGGAGTGCAAAAATCTCTTTTTGCAATTTTAACGGATTAACTTTTGTCCACGTGGTTGAACACGTTCTCGAAATTGACTGGCAGTTGAAAATACAACAACAAATTGACAAATTTGGTATATTTTATGTGCTTTTCCGTTATATCACCCAAATGGCCTTATTCATTTAAATTTTACAAATCGTTGCTCACTAGACATCACCGACGCCATGCTTTTCTTTCTGTTGTAATGACAGATGATAACAGATTAAATCGACATCCTATATGTAGGGTACATTTACATTAGATTTCAGATGCAGAAAGCGATCAAAGTTTTAATTTTAATTTATTAACATTTTTTTTTTAAGAGAAAGTATGGAAGAGAGAAGAGAGTGAGTAATTGTAGAGGTCAACGGAGTTTTTTCAAACAAAAATGATAAGTATTTCATACCACGCCAGTTCTCCTGCCGGATTCTTACCCGAGACCGCAAATATTGTAAAAGTAATTTACATTTTAGTGATTGATCTTTGCAAAAACTTCTTCCATATTTCACTTTTTGGTTATAATTGCGCATATATTTTAAAACGGAGCAAGATTGCAATCCTACTAAATGGAAAGAGTTAGTCTTGAAGATTCAAAAAAATTGAAACGTCGCGCTGATAATGGAGCTAAGGTACGAAGTACATACATATTTAATCATTATGGGACGACATTTTGATATAAATCTCTTCCAATTTCTGGATAAAAATGTCAGTGCCGTTCGTTTGTTGAACTCCAACTGGAATCCTGCAGACGTTTCGCCAAGATCTCCCCTGGCATCTTCTAAATCTAAATCTAAATTGAAAACAAAACTGATTTAACTACAAAATAAATCGAGCAAAGAAGACTAAAAAAAATTCAATTGATATATATATATATATATATATATATATATATATATATATATATATATATATATATATATATATATATATATATATATATATATATATATATATATATATATATATATATATATATATATATATATATATATATATATACATATATTATAGGAGTTCAATTTAGATTTAGAAGATGCCAGGGGAGATCTTGGCGAAACGCCTGTAGGATTCCAGTTGAAGTTCAACAAACGAACGGGTGATATATAATATATATAACAACAAGTTAAGAAATTGCTAATATTTAATATTTCCTAATTTGTTAATCTAGTCATTTTTATATTTGCCATTAGTTTTCTCTTTGAGCAAATTTTATTGTAAAATATAATATATAGAGGCACAAAATATTCGATAGCAAAAAAATTTTGAATTTACTTACTTCTTTTTCTAATTTGATTTTGGCATGCTAAAAAGAATTTTTAAAGGAATGAAAATATCCAACTTTTTCATTTTTTAAATTTTTTCGAAGTCGAATATTGGAGTATAAGCGGCCCTTCTTATCTTGTTAATCCACTTCGGTTTTTAATTCGTTTTACTAATGCTTTTGTAATTAATTACTTTTGACATATTGACTGCCTTATTAAAAATAAATAAATCGTACACTTTAATTTTTGGTTTAAAGGGCTATAGCCTATTCGTTCGTAAAAGAGCATTATAAAACTAAATAATGTATTTAGAAATACTATTTATGTATCGGCTGTTCTGGGACTTTAAAGTGGCTTTGTATTTTGTTTAAAATACTTTGCTTAAATAATAAAACGTAAAACTCAATGTTACAATAAAAAATAAATATATTTTTTAACTATTATATTAGATTCAAATTTTTAATTAAGATATATACCACTCGATAGTGCGAATGTTACAGGACAAAAACCTGAAAAATAGGAATCTTTTTTCTAATTTAAAAGACAAATATGTCAAAAAAAAAGCACGTGTGATTTAAATCAATAAAGTTATAGAAGGTATTGATGCCGGTATGAGTTATTCAAGTATTACTTCAAAGTATAGGATCCGAAAAGCTTCAGGAACTGATATAAAGAGAATCAAAGACAAAAAAATGGCATTTCTCCACTAAAATGATGTCTGTCCTTCCAACAGAGAGACATTGAAACTCAGTGCAACTCCTAAAATCGAAAAGTCGTTATTTACGCTGTTCTGTCATTAAATTACAAAAGGTAAGTTTAATTCTGGTCCATCGTTATAAAATATTATATTTTTCTATTTTTAAGCGATTTTATTTAACTTCATAGAGCCAGGCAGTATATCAAATCTTGCAATTCTTTTTGATACAATTCCCTTTTTTTACAGGTACACCAATTTCTTGTTTTTTTTTACAGAGAAATAACAACTTACACTTAACACTTAACACTTTCAACCGACCGCGATGCAGTCTTGCCATTTGTGGAAAACTTTGCTGGAATAATGAAAAAAAAAACCTAACCTAAGTGGGCTTTTGTGGACAGTTCTTCCAAACAAAATCTTAGCGCATTTTCTCCAGGGCGAAAAGTCGAATCACTTTTATGCCCTCTTGCAATATCTCTTGATCCCATAAATTAAAATTGTTGTTCCTAGGTAAAGGTATGAAACCACGTTCTTTTAGAAATGTTAATATTCCTATTTCGTACAAAGGTCAACGCAGAGCTTGGGTGACGAGAGAAATTTTCACTGAGTGGTTTCACAGTGAGTTTGGTCCATCAGTAAGAAGTACAATGAAATAATTTAACCTTAGTTCGATGGCAATTCTAGTCCTGGACACTTGGACACCCTACTCAATTGTATAGCGACGATAATCAAATTTCAATGCTTTTCCTTCTCCCAAATTGTACGCCATTGATACAGCCAATGGATTAACGTGCTATACAGGCTATAAAATTGTTTTATCGTAACAAGTTGCTTCAAGAAATTGTTGGTACTGATTCTGATATTCCGCAAGCATTGAAGGATATAACATTGAAGGACGTTGTTTTCTCTTCGAACGAGGCTTGGTTAGCGCGCTTAGTAAGACAAATTTGAGATTCAGGATCCAAGGATATTTAAAATGGTCTAGAAGAGATTAGGGAGTTAGGTAAAAAATTTAACAAGTGCTTATCGAATGAAGAGATCGAAACATGGGATAAGGCAATCAGCGACGCATTGACTGAAGCTAGTATATTCGGAGAAGTTGTCGAAGATTCTGACTCTGATGGGAATTCCGAAACTCCATGTTTCATGAAAGATGATGATGCAGTGTCAAACAAAAATTACAAATTCCTTTACTGTTCCGGAAAGGAATTAATGTTTTATTTTTTAGGTTTGTTTTTGTTCTTTAAAATAATATTAGGTGCATGTTTTGTTAGTTAATAAGGTACATTACATATGTAGTATGTGAAATTTAATATATATACATATTAAAAATGTAAAAACTTACACAGATGTTTTTATTATATATTCGTTAATCCGTACAATTTAATAATCTGAATTGGGCCTGAGAGTTAGGTGTTTGGACTAAAGTGGTTGCACTATTCTAAATAAAAAATTAAATTTTAAGAACCATCTATAGAAGTACTACCAGAGGTTTTGTTTTTTTATATTATTTTTTAGCAGAATATTTCTATCGGCAATAAAATGTTATTAAATAATCCTCTTCCTGTCGTGAACAGCTAAATAGAGGGCACTGCACTTGCAGTAGAGATTATATTATTGGCATTGAATAAAGAAATTAATAAATAAACAAGTTCAGCACCGTTTTCCTAGATATATAGCTTTTAAGTTGAGTGTCGCCTTGGCTAACATCGATTATGTGGCTCTTGAAAACTCATTAAGTTTGAAAATGCTTTAAGCTCGTCGTGACGAAGCCGACCTGATGTTGCTGTTCAAACTTATTAATTCCAGTTGTTTTTATCCCTCCATTCTATCAAAAATTGGGTTTTTGACACTAATACGAATTCCGCGTCCAAATAGTACATTTTTGGACCGTATCACAGGACCAACTATGGACGGCTGGCCAATGAAAATGTGCACTACTGAGTGTAGGTTTAGGAATCAGATTCAAGCAACCATAACATAACAAAACATAGCTTACAATAGTTATTTATTTTTCTCTCCTTAGCTTGGGAGATTGTGGCCTAGGTTTTTACTTTAAGTTCTTACTTTTGTATTAAATTTAGAAATGTAAATGTAGAAATTGACTCCGTCCGTAAAATTAATGATAAATAAATAAATAATAATAAAAACCACTTTTGATTAAACGAGGTGTTTTCAACTTTGCTGTTAGTACTACCGTGGATTTAATTTGATGGGGTTGACGATGATGAAGCTCACATACCTTAAAATGAATAATTTTTGATAAATTTCAACTTGCCCATCTTGTGGCCTTTAGATTCTAAGTCGCGTGGCCGCATCAATTTTTCCTATAGCGACCTGGAATTATTCTCCTTTTCGTGATGGCTCATCGATTGTTTACAGTCGTTTCAGCGCCTTTTTGTAGAGGTCATGGTGCTAAGACACGTCGATTATTGTTTTGAGATAAGAAAAAAAAAAGACTTCTGCCAGATGTCTTTGTATGTCAACGAGTTATCACTGAAGTGCGAAGTAAGTGAACTTAGTCATGGCATAGAAGTATATTGCTGTGAAAATGCAAAATGTTTCAACATCTTTGATCTGATGTAAATATACCCGAAACGCACAATTTTTTTTTACCGTGACTGTACAAACATTAAGGCTTAGGAAATCGGACATACCGCCAAACTAACTATATAAACTAAGAAACTAACCGTAAAACTAAAGGCACAGGGAAATTTAGCGGAAATTGTGAGTCCGTGATTTGGTTGCGTTCGAAAAATTGACGTGTTGGTAAATTCACTTATACCAGCGAGATTTCTCGTCGCCGCTCTTACTTGGTAAAAGGTGTTTTTTTCCAGTCCCGTCAACGCGTAGGCTTTATCTGAAATACAAAAACGAGCTTTATTTGTGTTTGATTAATTGAGTTTTAATAGAAATTTTTTTTTGAATCCATATACCACTGAAGCCTAGTTTATTATCACGTCCTGTTATGATTGAAATGTTAATAATTGGACCTTAAAAGTTTAGAAGTTATAATCAAGCAGACATGACTGCCTAGGACTAAAGCAAAAGACAAATTGGTTCAGAAATTCGTCTTCAAATTGATATTTTTAAAATAACCACTAGAGGTCCAGCGTTAGAAATGAGTTTTTTTTCATTGAATTTCTTGAACTGTATATAATATAACCCGAGACAATCAATTAAATTATACAGCTCTTTAAGCTATGAGGTACCTTGCCGATAGCTTTAATTTAAAAATATACTAAAAGTAAAATCAATATTACATAAAGGTTCATCATATACAGATTTAAATTCTTGATTTGTTAATTATTCTATTGTCGTTTATCCTTAAAAATATTAAAAACAATCTTGAAGTAAATGTAAAGCAAAATGATTACGCAGTGTAAAAAGACAGGAAAAAACAATATGAGCTTTTCTGCAGAAAACCAATTTTATGTCGAATATAATTCCGGTTCTTTTCGATCCATTCATAAACGTTCCCCATATAAAATTTATTTTGTCCATATAACTTGTACTTGTTCTTATGGGCCCAAATATCAATAGCTTTAATTAAGTTAATTTATTAATTAAATACTAACCAAAACTAATCGCGTGTTTAATACTGCCAAATAATGATATTGCCAAAATTAAGTACGCGAAAAGCAAAATTGTGCCTTAAATTATATATAATACTTAATGCATAATTTCAGCTTTTTTCGTATGCTACGATATTATTAATCCATCGCCTTCCAACTGCTTTGGTTAGTTTTGGCTATAAAATATGTTTTGTTTAAAATGGCAGTGTAGCAGATTGTTCTCATATTATGCATTATGCAAATCACTCATCACAAGTGATCAAAATCTCAAGTCCAAATCATTCAAGAAGAAGAAAGAAATTTGAAATTTGGTAATGATATTTATGTGTGTTTCAATGCGATTCACAAGTTGGCAACTGAAAGTTAACTTAAAAGCTCTTAAATTTACACAACTTTTAGATGTCAGAATAAATCAACTATCAGTGTCAAAATTAGCTTAAGAAATATTTTTTGGTATACAGGATTGTTATTATTATTATTATTTTACGATTTATTTTATCTCAAAATGTGGCAGCCAAATATTACATCATTTTGACGAATTGTACTGGAGACCTTTGTCTAGGGCAAACTGTTCTCAATTAAAATTATCGTGACGTCTTTTCTGGTGTTTAAAGTTACTATTTTTAGAACATAGAAACAATGACAAACATGTAATTTAAAACTTTATACATATTTAATGCTACCCTGCCACAAAAAATTGATTTATCAAATCGAAATATTCACTAAAAATATATAGCTAAATCGGGTTATAATAGCGGCTAATTGACAAATTCGCCTCATCGAATAGAAAATGCCTTACAATTATTTCATTGACTTTGATTATCCATGACCTAGAGCACAGGCCAAATCGGGATCAGCTGAAACTAAAACTGATGACATTATTTATCCCACAGCGGAGCGATTGCTAATTAAACCAGTGACTTAATCAACATGTATACTTTTTCCACTGACATACGCTTTTGCGTACAAGTTTGCAGAGCAGCACGAATACACTCACTTAGTCAACGTAATTATAATAAACCAAATCTCATGTCACTCACCTTCTGCTAGTTCATAGTCTTTTTCCATCCATTCGGTACTATTTTTCGATTTATATTCCACGCGAAATCCGGTAATCATCATTGTTTCCGTTGTGTTGTCTATATCTTCAGGACCTTCTATTTCCAAATCCAGGTGATCGAAACCAGCACTTTTCAATTGAATGGAAGATGGCGGATCGGGAATGGTTCCTAAAAAAAATTCAAATTATTAGCAAGGCACATTTTGGTGGTAGTGGTTTTAGCAGCGCCTTATAGACTTATCTTGTCACAACATCATCCATAACAATTATCCATAATAATGGTGCTAAAACATTTGTTTGTCACTTAGGTGAAAGAAAAAGGGTCTTTCGCGATATCAAAATTCTCTTTAAGTTTTCACATAAAACAGCAATCCGTAATGCCATTTAAGAGAAAATTTGCAAAAGATGGCCATAATTGTTGATCTTTTTTAAGAGTTTCTATAAATAAGAAACCTGGATTAGCAATTATTTCTGTTATCTGTCTATTATCGCGTTTGAAGCGCCAGGCCACTCTAATAAAATACATCCAAGCTTCCATAAGCGGGATTTAAAATTATATTCTCTCAAATCGGATATACAGTTTCCATTAAAGCATCTACGAAAATATTACGCTCTGCGCCAAAATCTCATAAAACAAATTTTCCAGTGGAAATAAGAAAATAGTAGTTATTAAGGCTTAGATGATATTGCAAGAGAAAGCTGAAAATCTCTACGGTTTAGGTTTACGGTTAAAGTACTACTTGGTCGAGTTCATTCAATAACAATTGTAAATATTTTAAAGATTTAACCCAAATCACTTAGATCAAATAAGTATTTTCATATTTTCTTGTTATTAAAATTGCTCTTTTATTTAAAGTGTAACAAAACCGTTATCTTGAAAGCTACAATTTGTTTTTAAACGAATCTATTCATTGGAAGAAACAGCAATAAATAACACCATGATTTTTGTTAATGCTGATCGCAGTTTCATTTGATATAATTAATAAGTACCTACACCAACTGTGGAGCTTTACTTCCAAATATCAGGCAAAAATAATGATTTTATAGTTACAATCAATTATTGCAATGGCAATTTTTCCAGTAGTGTAGAATTTGGCGGGAGACAACAACTGAAATTCATATCGACGGTCTTAAGGAATTGAGGAAAATAATAGAGTAATTAAGTATTTTTTAAAATTATATTTGATATGTTGGACTAGCAACACAAATTTTTGGTCGCTAATAGGGAACAACAATAAATTTAGTAAGAATTTACCAATGTATAAGAGGCTGTAAGCCATGATTTTTTATTTAAAAGTATTGGATGAGACTGACAATATTATTTGTGACATAAAATATTAACGCCATTTTGCAGTTTCTTGGTATCGAAAGTGGCCATTTATAGAACCCTCAGGCAATACATTGTTAATGATAGTTATATAAGAGTTATTTTACTGAATTTTCGTTTGAATCGATATTACTGAATCCAGCAAAATAACGTCTACCCGACCTGTGTCAGTATTATTACAGCTAATAAGCAAACACAAATTAATGAATTCTTATTGTCGATCTCACAGAAAACATTAGACACTTACCGTTTGTCAAGGTAAAATGGACTTCTAGTTTTCCGTGGGGGTTTTTAGCTATGCAGGTGTAATTTCCTAGTGCTTCTTTGGTCATTTTCAACTAAACATATTAAAGTTATTTTATTACACTTACAAAACATATTGAAAACTCCAAGCCATTCGAAAAAAGAACGTTATAAATATACAGAAACAAGGACCACTCTCAATTTGACCATATGAATTAGATTGTCAGCCATGAAAGTAACAAATGTAATCACTGCGATTTTCCGGGTTAACCCAAGCTGCTACTACGGTAACCATCTTTATTGGAGACTACATTGTAACGCGACAACTGTGGCACTACTGATGCCGGTTGTCTAAATCTTACCTGGTTTGGGACCGTCGGACGTGAGGTGGACTGAGCGGTTACCAAACCGATGTCTATTGTTCATTTACGCCTTCGTGTGCGTTTTCGGTGGATTTTATGCCATATTTGCTTATCTGTAACCTTTTTTCACGCTTTTTCAACTTGCTTGTGTGTTTATGAATGTCAATTGAGTCCCGATGTAGTCTCGTATGTAGTGGATAGAACTCCCGTGTTGACGAATATTGTGTTCACCCTTTATATATAACCAAACAAGCAAATGGCTACAAAACTAAGGGAATTCAAGACGAAGACAATATAGAAACGCATCCGGACGGTGTAGTTTTCCTTCCATACATCACAGTAGTAATGTAGCGGGCCCGCAAAATAATAGTTAAACACAACATAAAGTCAATCTTCAAACCCATAGTACAAATACAATAATTGCGATCAGGTAAAGAGTCCAGAAATCCACTGTCGGCAGGGTACATCTATATGGGTATAACGTAATGGAACATAGGAACATTTTTCGAAAAACGCAAAGGAAGCCTTATAAGAACAAGGAAGAAAGGGGCCTGACCGGTTTGTTAACCGTTCAGTATGCCTCACGTCCGGCCACCTGAAAGTAGGTATACTCCAATTTAAATAGCTATTGTACGACCAAAAATATAGAGCACTTATTGCTTCCACGTTTTAAGTATTTTACAGTACCTTAACCGCAGATCTTAGCAGGACCGTGGTGCATTAAGTAGGTCTTACCTGAGATGGACCGTAACGAATATTTGTAGAAACTTGATTTTTTTATTTGACGCTTAAATGGACCGTTTTAAATTGGATTAAGCATTGATGCTGCGTGGTATTTTCAAGTAAGTAGAAGCGTTTATTTTAACATTAGGTGAAATGTATCGTTATTAAGAGTTTAATCCAAATTGCAATATGTTCGTATATATTACGTATTTGACTGTGATCCTTAAAGTAAGTACGTATTTATGTACCTGTTTGTCGAGCTTTGATCCTGCGAGGCTTTTTTTCACTGGATAGTTCAAATTGTAAGGGTAGGTACCTGTACTCTATTTATCGTACAGGTAACTTTCAAAATAATCATTTTTGTCATGTGTTCCTGTCGATTAACGACATTCTTCTTCTTGTATTTTTGTGTCTTTTACGTATTTCTTCGATTTGTAAACAACAAGAGTCTTTTCAAGACTATTTTTATTTTTTTGAGGCACTAGATTATATTTGCGATAGATAAAGGGTCATAATAAGACAGAAAAATATTTATTAGAATCTTACAATTAAACATTTTTTGAAGGTTCCTGTTTTTTAACACTTTAAAATGTGGAGATCGTGGAATGAAACAGATACTCCCCTGTTAGAAGAAGACATGAAAACAACCTAATGACAATTTATAAGATGAACAACCTCAGCAAATAAAAAACGGATCCATTTGTCTTCAGATGCTAAACAAGTTGTTTTGATTGTTTACAATTTTATAAGAAATTCAGAAGGGGAAGTAGGAGCAGCAATAAAAACAAGTGACATAGAACGTAATAAATTGTTAGTTTGTACTAATTTATTAACAACATACTTATATCTCTCTTGTTAGTGTAGGTAGATAAATTCCTAGGACGGTCCTGGAATGATTACGGATAAGGGTCTGCGGTTTTGGAGTAAAAAACAGTAGGCAAAGTTAATCACGGGGTCGGTTGTGAACGCACTATAATTCTGGTCGAAGTATACCGCCATAGCAGCTGAAAGCTTTGGTATGAAAAGCTACAGACCATGCCCTAACGGCCTAGAAAATCGCAGTGATTGTAAACCAATATAATTATAATATTTATACCAGTTTTACTCTTTTTGCAATCTAATTTAACGAAAAGTTAATATTACGAATGTTAACCACATTACCTTCAATATAGATGTCATTCCGTTTGTGGTTGCCATTCCAATTTTGCGCCTGCCATTTTTTTCCATCCACTGAAATTGTGGGGCGGGTTCTGATTCGACGTCACAAATTAGGTTTACAAATTCGCCCATAATGCCGTAGACTATGTCTTGCTTTTCGTATTTGAGCGTCCAAATTGGTTGGTCTGCAATGAGCAATAAGTTATAAATATGTCTCAGGATGTTAAATCTCACCAGCAAATGGAACATCATAATGAGGAATAAATGTCGTTGCTACATATTGTGCTATAGTGCGATACTAAAAGTATTTTTAATAGGTTCCCACGATTTCTAATATGAAACAGACCACGTGATGTTTAAGTAATTGCTAGTTTTCCAGTTCAACTTTTCTAGTGGCAACAGCACATTTTTAACGGATGAATCTAAAACCCATTGTCAGTACTTAAAAAAAAAACTAACCGGCTAACCAATTTGGATGAAGCGAGTAGTGCGAATATAAATTAACAACCACAAAATTCAGATACAGACCGCAGTATAACAGATCGTTGGAGGTCGAACGGAAATTGCCAACGAAGTAGATAATATATTAATGGTTTTGCAACTCCGTTGAACGTCACGTTGCCATCTTTCTTCAACAACCCTTGTAAGATTAATTTAGATTTGGGTGAAACCCCAATTAACACGTTATTTAGAGCGTTAATCTCTGCCTAATTGAATTGGATTTGCAAAAAAGATTATAAGAACAATAACATGTAAAAAGAGTACCTTTTCCTATAGAGACCTTTTCAAAGAACTGAAGAAACCCTGTGATTTCATTATATGTTTGCATTTTTTTTTAACATCTGCAAAAGTTCACAGTTAAATACTAGAACGCCTTATTAACGAGTTCCACGGCATAGGTTGACTAGTACCATGAGAAGCAGCTATATAATACCTCTTAAAACTTATAATCACTTACCAGAATGATACTGAGGGAGGGTATAAGTGATGCGCGTGAAGAAATTTTATATTTCGTCTTGTATTGTGCTGTATTGAATTTTTTTGTAGGTTTTTTTTACCTTTGTACCTTTTCTGGGTGTCAATATTGTTGTGAATTTGATGAAATTAACAAATAAATAAAAATGCGGTTGGAGCCACCCAATTTTTGGTTAATTTAGTGAAGTGGACCAAAGCAGTCATTTGATATTTAATTACCCAGATTCTGAATTTTAGTTCGCTGTTTGATCATTTATAATATCCATTTTACCTGTTATATATAATAAAGAAAAAATACATTACTGGGTTTCATATTCATTAAACTTTTTCTTAGTAATTATCAGCTGGGCTTATGGTAAATTCCACATGAAAATTGATGTGTATGCATGACACGCCAATCGGTTAGCTGATAAAACTAATTCATTCCCAAGAACGAGATAACCATAGCAATTTTTTTTCTTGCAAATTCTTCTATAGATCGCGATCCAGTTTTCTATTGATACATTCATCTAGAGGCAAAATAAGCAAAATGGCCAAAATTAATGAAGACAGAGTGGCAGCGGCACTAATAAAATCATTTCCAAATTAAAACAACAGAGAAGGACTAATACATGTTTACACATATCTCTAAACGATTTATTAAAACACTAATATACCCTTAATAATAGAGTTCTGCAATATAATGTAATGTAATGTTGATAGTAATAAATTCTATAAATCCGTATTACTACCTAAATTTGAAAACATTATAGGTTTTGTAATCTCTAAAAAGGCTTTGTCACCACTTTATATTAGTTGAGGTCATAAAATTTGTTATTGAAACTTCAAGAAAACTAAAAATGTTATTTGCGATTCCATTTACTTCATGTAGGCGTGTTATATGAACTCACGGCTTTATCGGAAGCTTCTTACATTCGACCGTTCAATTACAGATGACCTTCGTGTCTAACAATAGTTTGAATTTACATAGTTGTGCTTTTTATCGATTTTCGTGCACATTATTCCGATGGGTCATTTAAATAGAGGTTTTTTGGCACCGCAAATGATCGCTTGGCCTCTACTGGCTGATATTTTCTATATAAATAAGTTTCGTTTGGTTGTTGGTGAACAAATTCCATGATTGCTTAATGACACTTATTTTATTATGATACAAAATGCCACTGTTTTGTCTCTAGGTGTATAGCTTAAGTAATGGAAGTAGCTATAAAATTTAAAAAATTGAAGAAGTTTTTATTTTTGTGTTTTATCGAAAAATGGTTTGCTATAGATCTAATCTGAAAGGATTTTATCCTACTCCCTACTCGAAAATACCCAATTATTCATTCACTAATGCGGAAAGTGTCAATTCTGAGGGTCACGTCACACGCCACTCAGGCACCTATTCGTGCTGTTTTGCAAAAATGTACAGGCTGGTCTGTTTAAGAAGGGCCTAAACCTTATCTAGGAACATACGAGCGTTACAAAAAAAAATAAATACAAAAGTTGTTTCTATTAAAATAACATTTTTTTAATGGTCCCTTTTTTCTATACAGGGTGGTAAACAAAGTTAAATTTTTTTAAATAGAACACTCTAAATTTTTTAGTGCATTTTTAGATAGTCCTTTTAAAGACAAATTCAACGGTATGAGTATGGGTTTGTGAGGCCCCTTTTAGAACTTATTAGCTATTATCTTCAGAATTCGGGTTACGTTTAAACAATCAGTGTCGGGTTGCTTAATAACTTTTTAATTTTGTTTATCTGTTATTTTTACGAAAATAATAATTTTTTTAGGCAATGATCAAATTTAAAATATTTTCTTAAAATACACGGTGTTGCCACTTCAAAATGATATTTTTGTCAATTTTCTTAAATGAGACACCCTGTATTTTATTGGGTTTTCGAATAGCCACAGTTTCAACCACAACATAGTACGGGTCTCTGACTTACCGTTTTGGCCTAATTGGCAGATAAAATAACAGAACTGGGTATAAGATTTAAATATTGAGATATGAAACTGGATATTAGCTCTTACTATCTTGTTCAGAAACCGATTTAGAGCATTGTTAAAAAGTCTTATTAAAAACAGAATATTAAGCTTTGCACAATGTTGTCAAATTTTTCAAATTACTTATTTCTCGGTTTAAATGTCTGCGTGTAATGATTACAGAAAATTAACGCTAATGCATATTGCTTGCAAGTAAAATTAATTAAATCAGTTTTTCAATATGTCCGCCGTTTTGAAGAATCAAGTAGTGTATGTTATTTCTAAATGGCATTTGAGACATAATTAGTTTCATTCAGATAGTATATTGCCTCTCGTATGTGTTATTGGAAAATAATTGCCAAATAATCCAAAAACGGTAAGTCAGAGATCCGTACTATGTTATATAATTGAAATTGCTATTAAAGGGGTGATTCGAAAATCCAATAATATGCAGGGTGTCTTATTTACGAAAATTGAGAAAAGTATCATTTTGCGAAACGTGATAACACCGCGTATTTTGAGAAAATATTTTAAATTTGATCATTGCCTTAAAAAAAACATTATTTTCTCTATGGTTCAAATTACTACATACACACTATAAAACTTAATGTGCCTAAATTGACTTTTGTCGGTTTGGTTACGAGTTCAATATAAAATAAAAAGTTTTAAAACATTTCCCGAGTGAGTACAAGACATTTGTCAAAAATAAATTGGTCCCGTATTATTGGGACACAGACTCGAGCTGCACTTTAAATCGTTCCGGCGAGCATGGGCAAACTTTAACGATCAAATTAGGGCCGGGTAACACAAGAGAAAATTATTCAGGATTAACCGCATTAATCAGGATTTGGGTTCCCATTTTTGTTTGCGCGAATTAGGCAACTCCATGGATATAGTTGATGGTTTACAATATCTAAGCCGCCATGAATAGGTTATATGAAAAAACGAGCCCTCGTTCGAGTTTTATTGCTGCTTCGAGTAAATTGAATGCGATGAAATATTAGTTATTTTCGTTTCTAAAGAGGATCAGGCTATGAATCGAAATAAAAAAGCTCACAAGTACATTAAATTTGCAACAAGCCAATAAAAAAATCAAAAACATATATTTCCCCGACTATAATACACGAGATAATAAAAAAATAGACAACAATTTAAAACATATATCTTTTACACAGTGATATAAATATTTTAAAATATGAATTAAATTTTTTTCTTCTTTATATATTTTGAATAAATATTTCTCCTATTAATAATTCTCATCATTGTATTGTTGTGTTCTGTCATTGAATTTTTATTGTAATTGACTACCTCATTTGCATGCACTATACAGGGTGATTCACGTAGATGGCCGATTAGACAAGGACTTATTTTAATATTCTGACTATGGAGCTGGTGATAGTAATGTCTCAGACAAGTCAGAATTTCTGAAAAATAGCTTAGAATTTCGGGAAAATAATTCATAATTTCTGAGGTAAATCTAAATCATTATTTCTGACATAAGTAAGGGACAATGCCAGTCGAAACATCAGATATACTGCTTGATTCATAGAATGATCGATCTGTATACTGGAGATACTTTACACCAAAATATTAGGATTGGATTAGGATTAGGATTCTCCAAACTGGACAAATTCTGTATTAACAACTCTAACTGTATAATTCTAGTAATTGACCAAATTGACAAAACTTTCAACGGCATACATTATGGCCTTAAGCTTTAATAATAAATTAAAAAAATTAGAAAATGCAACCTCATAAGACTAAGTAATCTGCGGAAGCAGCAAAACCGCCTGGCTCAAATATTTTAAAGCTTGGTTTAGATTGATTCCTGCGTATAAATCGGTTATTCGGTTAGAGAGATACTTACTTCAAGTAGGTCATCCGGTATACTGGAAACACTGAAATCGGATGAAGTGTAAAAGAAATAAATAGCGATTCAGAACAAATCATTTCATTGGGAAATATTTTCAGACCTCGTGGGAGGTCAGTTGTTGAAGCCGGATTTTTCTAGCAGCTAAATAAGTTCTTAATTAGAAGACTAACAAACCAGACAAAATCGCGTTGTTTTTTGCAGCACTGAAGTCGGCGAAACCAAATTCTCATCCGTGTTACTTAGTGAAAGACGCCTGTCATTCGTCTCCTAAGATCAAAAACAGGACTAGATACACCGGAGCGTATTCCCTGGTTTTGCGACATGGAAATGGAATCAGCCACATCACTGCACTTTGACCAAAATAGACGTCGAATGTACGTTATACGGGTGTAACGCCAATTATATTGCATGTTGGCGTATTCTCGAAGCAAAACTAATTAATTCATGTAACAAAGATAGAAGTTGGTAAACATGGGGGTTGATAGAATCATTATACCAAATTAAGGCCACCAACAAAGTAGGCGGGGCGAAAACCCTGTGGATTAAAAATAATTTAAAGCGCTATTACCTTGATTATGCCCACAGATGAAATATCTACCTAATCAAGTGTTTTTCTCCACTAGTATAAGAAAACCTAAAATATTTAGATTTTATATTTTCTTTGTTTCGCTTTTATGGATGTCTTTAGGGATAGTTCGCACATTTTACCTCTATAACTCGTGTCACATAATGATAAAAAAAAAATCCAAAATTAAGTTTCATTTCGTTCGTCAGTTTTTCTATACCGATCTTTTACCTTTTTTTGGATTAAGTTGAAGACTAATCGATAGATGTAAATATTTTGGTGCATTAATTTTAATTTATTTTAAAAATAATGATAAATAATAAATAAAAATAATAAAAATTGACAATTGGAAAATATTTTAATAAGAATTGCTAACAAGTTTCCAGGTGTTAATTAAATTGATCAAATTATCAACTTTGATTTGTTAATGACTAAAAACTGTATTTTGAAACTTCGTGAAATGGCTATTAAAAGATGGAATTTCTATATTTACAAGAGTGACACCAGAATGGGATCCTTAAGGGAACATCACAAAGGTTGGTCGTAAGCAAGTCCGTTTCCTTGACTTTCTGCCATGATGCTGCTGAAACTGAAGCAGCATTAGGTTTTAATATAAATAGTTAAAGAGTGGGAATATCAAAGGAGGTATGTGCTATTTTTTGATATATTAACATGTCCTGAGGAAAGGAATTTGTGCCTATCGTTATAATTGAGTAACCTGCATTTGCCTTATTTTTACGGACACCTGCAATTATAACCATCGTTGTTAATTTTAGCAGTTTTTCTTGATTATCTCAAAAATGTAATTTTTGGCATTTCCGCGCTTCAGTTGTCGCATATTAAATGCAAATCTAAAATTAAATGTATATCTTTTCGGGATTGGCAGCTCAAACACTGATAGAGCGCCTACCCGAATATATTTATGAAATTGGTATGAAATCCTAATTATATTTCTTAATGCCATTAATCTCATTACCATTATTACTCTAAAAATTTCATGAAATGCATCTAAGCTACGCCGGGTAGTGTGGCTTCATAGTTTTATACGCTCTTTGGCCGTGGAATGATAATGCACTCTTGATTTTGTTGCTTCATTAAATAAAATAAAAAAAAACAAAGCGGTGCTATTAAAAAAGTTATTTTATTACTGTTTTTTCTTGATCAGGTACTCTAATGAAATGATAACCTAAAATATAGTGGTGGCCATATATGATTGTGTAGTAACAACGGATATTCTTGGGTAGCAATATGAAAAATGACTTTGCATTAGACATAGACAATGGCCTCCAATATGTATAAACTTTGTTTTTGTTGAGCGCAATTTATTTACAATTCAAAATTAAATTCCAGGTTCAAGCTCGGATAAAAATTCTCTCGAATTTTGGGCAACGGTGGTTGGTTTATCTGCCACTTTATACACTGGCACAGATTAATTCGCGCTAATAAATTCCGATACCCAAATAGAAGTGCCGTTTTGCGTGCTATCCATCTGTATGAATCGGCCGTGAAGCCAACAACGGATATTTTGAATGACGTTAATTAAACAGCCGGTCAAATCTGCTTGAGCGAAACTGCATTAAACCCTGTTTACTGCTTCTCCAAAACAGCTTTTTTAGGTCATAAACAACATGCGAGGCGTCCGTGTCAACATTTTCGTGGTCGGATTTTAAAAAAGTATTGCATTTTTTTTTTATTACTGCGATTATTCACGATTTCCACGAACATTCGGTCATCGAATTTTTCGTTTTTTTTTCTTTCTCTACGTGCCAACATAAAACACCTGCAATAAACTTTTTTACTTTGTTGGAAAATGGTCCTATTGCATTTTTACTTTAAAACACTGCCAGTTCCTAACGTTTATCTCTATTGTTTATATAATGTAATTACCTGTCCCATATGGATCCAGTCTGAAATTTGATGAAAATAAATATTATTATTTAATAATTGTCATAATTATCTACGGCGTATGACATTCGTGGAAAATTAATCGAATATTGGATACAATATTTTTTAATGCAGTTTCCAGCAGAGACTAAACTCCACATACATTTTGTTTTAAGTAGGACACTAAAGAAGTTACCTATTTTTGACTACTTGTGACTTCGACATTTTGCTGTCGATGGAGAATTACCAGCCTGTGGTGCTATGTGTTAGTGGTGCAGTCATAAGGTTTGTGAATGTAAGGCAGCGAAACATTCATTGTTGGTCATGATTTTGAAAAAGCTGACGAGTTCTTATTATTCTACACCGAATTGCACACACCGATCGAGTGTGTGGAAAGTGTCATTTTACGACATCAGTTTCGTTACCTACGGCTGCAGGTCACTGCATCTCCGGGATATCACCCACGGATTTGAAAGCAATGTGATGATACCGTATAAAGTGCATAAAATGAGAATGATGAACATCAGGGGAAAGGGAGTTTCTGAAATGGGACAGTTGTTCAAGCTAGAGGAGGGCCGAAGCCTTACTAATAAAATATGATAATTTAATCTATGTAGCTTTTACAGTTATAATACCTTTTAAATATATTCTTAATCAAATGGGTAAAAATAATTGCCAAAATTTATTAATTCCCTTTTGCAAGCCGCTGGCGTAGACCTTTATACATAAAGAACTTAACAGGAGTCCCCCCCCATCTTCTTACACATAGCTGCATAACGCGAAGTGACCTGTCAACATGTTTCAGAAGTTTAAACATTTATTTTTAAAGTTGGAATATGTACATGTAAAAATATATCTCTTCGTCTTTAAACGGAAAATTTAACGATCTAAGTTCATAGATTCACTTTTCAAGAAAGTTCAAGTTACCTTTAAAGGCTTAAAATCTAACTCAATATTAAAGAATGGAACTTCATGACTCTTCACATCAGGAGCTGGCGGCATTGTTAGCATTTTGGTGGCCAAAAGTTAAATTTTTAAATTTTCTATTTCAAATATATAAATTGAAGCATGTTTCCAGAAAGGCTTCATTTCAAAATAACCAAACTTTAAAATACTTAAAAACTTAAAATGAAATCAAGAAGTGAAAATGAAAACAGCAATCCAACTTATCAATTTTCATTAAAGTTAGCGATTACAAAAATTTGATTTCAATATTTTTCTCGATAAGGATCGCAGGGAGAAAATGAGGCATGATTAGAAATATCCTCCTGGACATTCAAAAAATCAGTTAGCATGTTATATTGAAACGTGACCATAATTTCGTAATAGCTTTCAAATTGCAAGAGCTAATAGAAAGAGCTTATAAAAACACTTGAACTTTAACACTCTGTAGATCGATCGCGAAAGGATCCGTGAGAAACTTGATAAAGAGGTTACAAAAAACGTAATAATAACAATAGTAAAAGGTTTTAAAAAAAAAACATACCAACAGTATAACAAAAAGAAAAAGAAAAGTGAGGCCCCCCAATTAGTAATATCGAGAACTATAAGATAAATTGAAATGTGTTATTAGTTCACTGATAAGAGTAAAAGACACACAAAGGCTTATCTTTTAAACATTTTATTAAATCGTTGTTTTTACTTTATGTTATGTAAATTAGCATGTATTATGTTATATTATGTGGGGTCAATGTATGATACAAAATATTTTCCCTGACTGTTTGCTCAGTATGTAGTATTAAATAAATTATTTAAATTTCCTCTCGTGTTGTAATTGTGACAAATCAAATTGTTAAATTTTTCATTAATATCGATAAAACTACATGTTACTCCTAAATCTAAGTATATCTCCACAATACAAGTGTGATTTTAAAGTACTGACTATCCAATAATTTATTTACTTACGCTCGACTATTACGGTAATTTCTTTCTCTTTAACGTCGCCCGACGATTCTCTAACTGCTCTGCATATATATTTCCTTTGGCCATCTTCTCTCGTAAGATTGACGATAAGAAGACCGTCCCCTAGTATTACGTACTTTGGAGCTGAAAAAATAAATTGATTTATAATAAGATATTATTATTGTTCGGGATTCTCCCTCATAGTTCATAGAAATATTTGTGTTATTTAAAATTGGACTATTTAAATGAAAGAAAGAATATTATGTTGGGAATTTTAATATGCATTTATTTTCTTTCTGGGTCTTTTATCGAAGGAAACTTTTATTGTCGCGATAATTAATTCTCTCGCGGGATCGCTATGTGCGATATTTTTTACGTTTTGAGCTGGCACCGAAGCGCGCACTGGCGGAGAAAAGTTTTTGGGTAGTACGAGTAGTACCTCACGACCTGTGGTAACGAAGTGAACGCGCGCGTATTAAAGACAACCGGCCTAATTTGACGCATCTCCAAATTTTGGATTACCACTACACCACCACCGGTTAAGTGTCGTGGTCAAAACCTCAGGGGTAAAGGCCCCAACAATTATGTTTATTAAGTATAAGGATTCCAAAGAAATTATATTTCAATAATAATAAAATAAAGTTGTTTCTTTAAACATTTCCAAAATATTTTTGGTATCAATCAAGTAGCTACTATTTATATAAATACAGGCACCTTTCAAGTCAAAGAATCAACAAAACAGCACTTCAAGACTCGCTTTCAACTAATTAGATCTGTCAGCGCAAATCTCGGTTTCAAGCAATAAGGCCTTGCGGCGTTCAACAATCGAAATTGCCGTTGACAGTTCGATAGTTTTGTCAGAATCTGTAAAATTTTCAGAGTAAAAAAAATATATGAAGATCGCTGTTTTGAAAGAAAAGGCACAGAGTACAGGTCAGTGGGTGAATAGTTGCGAGGAAGATTCAATTCTGTACGAAAGTATCATAGCCGGCTGAGGGACTAAGGGGTGTTTTTTTTCGATGTATAGAACTTTAAGTTGCAATAAAACAACGATGGATTATTCGATTGACATTAATTTTATTTATCCGAAAGATAATCTTGTGGCATTACATTTTAAATATGATTTCTGACATATGACCGCCATGGCGCGGATGTAGTCCAATCTGGACGTCCAATTTTCGATAACTTTTTCCAACATTTGTGGCCGTATATCGGCAATAACACGGCGAATGTTGTCTTCCAAATGGTCGAGCGTTTGTGGCTCAATACAGTACAGACCAATGACTTTACATAGCCCCACAGAAAGTAGTCTAGCGGTGTTAAATCACAAGACCTTGGAGACCAATTCACAGGTTCAAAACGTGAAATTAGGCGGTCACCAAACGCGTCTTTCAATAAATCGATTGTGGCACGAGCTGTGTGACATGTTGCGCCGTCCTGTTGAAATCACATCTCCTGGACTTCATGGTTATTCAATTCAAGAATGAAAGAGTTAGTAATCATAGCTCTATACCGATCACCATTGACTGCAACGTTCTGGCCATCATCGTTTTTGAAGAAGTACGGACCAATGATTCCACCAGTCCATAAAGCGCACCAAACGGTCAGTTTTTCTGGATGTAACGGTGTTTCGACATACACTTGAGGATTAGCTTCGCTCCAAATGCGGCAGTTGTGTTTGTTGACGTAGCCATTCAAACAGAAGTACGCTTCATCGCTAAACAAAATTAAAATCGGTCACTTCAAAGAGTTGCCGAGTAGTAGTAACCTTGTCAGCTGAGGGTAAATAGTAACTTGGACGATTGTTTAGTATCTGTCAAGGTTCCGAATCAAGCGAAGTAATTGCATAGGGGAGAGGCAATATGCAATGAATAGTTTTTCCAATTATTTATTGAAAAATATATAATTTCGAATAATACAAGCTACGTCCTTCTTATCGAGTGGCAAAGAACCGAATTTTAAATACTACAACACTAAAACTGTTTCTCTAATCTAAATGACAAACAACACAACAGGAATTTATTTTGGTCTGTTTGGTCCAAACAGTCATTTCATTCTTTGGCGTTCGAGATTTTGTTTTTAAAAACAGCACCTCAACAAATCGGTTTCGAGTATAATTAATAAAATAACCAACATAGGACTAATGTGTAATGCGTGAGCTTTTGTATTTTTTTGCTGTTAACCATTTAGTGGCTATTTAGATAATAAAATATCCTCATTAATGATTAATTTCAAAACGATTAGTAATTACTAAGTATAATTTTGCCCTTATTTCACGAAATCAATACCGTTTCGACTAAGTGAAATTCTAATCGAACTACCATTCATTATTTAGCAGTTCTCATACCCTTCAAGATAACATTCTCATTGAATTAATGTCTCATTATTTGTAGGACATGATTGATTTTTTACAGTCGATTAGCTGCCGTTAATATATATGTGTGTGATCGATTTCAACGACATGATTTATGATACATATATGTATTCACAAGTAATATTGAAAATGCAATCGAGACAGGTATAAGATTGTTGATATTGGCCTAGAAATCGATGTACCTGTTAAGTTAATGGTACTTTAATTTGAATAATAATATTCTCGAAAACATATGACCAAAAATAGAATCGCGCATTGACTGATGCTAATCTCAATATGACGATGTGTACTACAATATTTTTAATAAATTTGATACACTCAACTAAAAATATAGATAGAAAACCACGTAAAATAAACCTACTGACCAAACGGAGTACTAAGTATATTCAGATATGTGACGATACATGTATTTACTTTTCTTTTTTGTAAACCTGCAGCCCTAATTTAATTTAGTTTTTTACACAAATGCGGAACACGGTCAAACATTTGCAAAGCTGTAATCAAATTAAATACAAGCTTTGCGAGTCCTACGAATACGTACGTTATTTGTCTATGCAAAACTCATTAATAAGCATTTGCAAACATTTATTTAGCAAAAGCTTAAAGAATTATAATTTAGGGCATAAATATAGCTCAAAACACTTTGTCGCTTCAATATTGGCTGCACAATGGATTCATAAAAACCTTTGTGTCCTTACCTATACTTCGGGGAGACTGGAACCTGTGGTGGAAGATCAACAAACTGACGTTTATAACCACTACTGCACCACAACTTTATTTAGAACACTGGACACGTATTTCGCCAACCAAGTTGGCATCATCGGCAAATGATATAAACTGTTTATATCATTTATCATTTATCATTTATCATTTATAAACGTAAGTTTGCTTATTTATACTTATTTAAAATAGTAATATAAAATATAAATATGAATAATATATAACATAACACATTAACACAATATAATAACGAAATGACATAAACTATGAAGTAGACAATTAAATGCAGAAATTTCTTTCAGCAATCCAAGCATTTATTTTATTTAATAATTTTTCTGTAGGTCTTCAGTCTAAAACATTGAGCCAAAGCATTGGGCCAGTAAATTTAACATGTTTTTGTAAAGCCAAATGTTTAACGAAAGGTAGTGTGATACCATTCCTAGATGCATTTTTGGTTAAACATGAATCTTAAAACTGCTTTAACATACAATTCCTCCAGCGCGTAAAAACCTTGCTGTCTTGGAAAAGCAGTTGCGATGAATATGTTTTGTTTTGAAAAGCATAACTTTAATAATATATTTTGCGTAATGTGTAGCGGCGACATTACGGATTTAAGCGCACAACAAGAGAGTGATATATCTTTTTACGGGCTTCAAAATGCAATATATTTTGTAATTCATGGAACTTGAATATTAGTTTTCTTACTTATTTGTTACAAACTCTTGATCCTTATCATTCAAGTTCTCGTCAATATAAACTCGCAAATATCTTAAGTCTCTCAGTCTTGCTATTCTGCTTTAGCATTTAAATCACTGCTTGTTCTGGTTCCAATTTTGTTTATGCGACGTTATACTTTGAATGTTGTGGGTCTGGGTTAGTCCGAAGTTTATAAATTTGGTTTTAACCACATCCAACAACAACAAACTACAATCTAGAACCTAGCAACCGTCATTTTCGTGATTTCTAATACAGATTCCCATAAATATCACTTACTATCAATAGAGGTGGGTGGGGCAAGGCAGTGCGCTTAAGCTTTTTATTATTTTTTATGGCTTTTACCCATCAAGTCGATTTATTTTTGACTAACTTTAACTAAATTTATCCAAATTTTGGCGAACCTTCTGGCCGTCCTGCCCCACTTCTCCCTATTTATAATGCTATGTACAATAATTATAATTATTTAGTTTAAAGAAAAGTTAGGTACTGGATAGTAACTATTTTTCTATCTATCAAGAAATTGGTTATTGGTATTTATAAGATTTTCGCTAAATTTATAAGATTTTAGGCTAAATCCATAAAATTGTCCAAAAAATAACACTTTCAATAAATTAATTATGATTCGGTTATAATAATATGAAATATATATATATATATATATATATATATATATATATATATATATATATATATATATATATATATATATATATATATATATATATATATATATATATATATATATATATATATATATATATATATATATATATATATATATATATATATTTAAATTTAGGCCGTCCATTTTTCCCTGGTATTAAGTAAAGGGCTAAAAATATACAAACTAACCCGAATTTATGATTATAATAACGAAACAAAAATTTTGATTAGTTTTTGAGGTTGGCCTCCTTGCCCCATCCTCCCCTACATTATAATTTGCACAACAAAAAAAATGTGCTGTCACTGAATAGTGTCCATAATGATTATATACCATTCGAATCTCAACTTTTATGTAATACTAGATATATAGGATACCTTTACACACTGTGTTCTATCACTAATTTTAAGATATTACTTAAATAAGTCATACACGATTCCTCCAAGACCTATCTTATGAAGTTTGTTCAGTAGGATTTAGTGTGCCACACTGTCTAAGGCTTTAGCTAACTCCAAAAACCCTACCTCCACTTTCTTTTCTTCATCAAGATTTTCTAAAATTCTTCCCTAACTTTACATAATGCATTCTCAGTATTAGTATATTTCTTAAAAGCATACTGATTTTTTGATAACAATCTATATTATGTTGCAACACAGATCGATCATAGGTTAA